TTGCTTTCGTTCAAGAATTTTTACGCTCGACAAAACATGTTGGAAATGTTGGGGTATTGAACACAGCACAACATGGTTAACAGAGTATATACATTGATATGTCATCTAAAAGAACAGGTAAAACATTGAAATTACAGTAGAGTATCGGCATATAAATCTGTTGTTCGAGTACCTTTGTTGACATTTTCTGATTTTACAGCGAGGTAGGCAATTTGTATGATATAAAAGCGTATAAATTGTTGATGACATGAGAATGCAACTTGTCTGAATAATAACACAGTCTGTGATTTGCTGAAACAGAATGAATCATGTTGATAATATAAAATAGTATATAGCTTGTAGGAAATATAAAGGAGTATATATGTTGAGTCTGTGCCGAGTTATCGGTGTATCCTCAGTGGAGTGGAGTGTACAGAATGAGATCTATCTGACAGCCTGCTGTTAATTGGGATCGATTGTTGTAATCAGTGTTTAATTTGACAGGTAGTGATATACAGGCTGGGGGCACCTGCATCGAGCTTGATCGAGCAACCCTATATCAACTGTTAATTTGGTAATTTGAAAGTAAATTAGGCGTGATAACTTATTGAATTTCCTGTATGTTTTGCATGTTTACTGATAGAAGTATGGTGTTTACGTGAGGGAGTAGTGTGGTTCAGTTTTAATCAGACTATCTTTGAGACACCACTACGGGTAGTGCATGGGCTTTTGTTGGTAGACCTAGCTCCATGGTTTGTCATTGTTACTGGTATAGCTAGCTGCTGATGCATCCCTGTTGTTCCTTTTCTCCCCATCACTTTTAGAGTGCCCAACAATAGCCGCACAGCAGCAGATCTTTGAACAAAGGAAGATAACTCTAGATATTTTTCACAATATTTTGTTTGTACATGGGAATTACGAAATGTTACAATTCATTCTCCGTATGATTTGAATATTATTGTAAAGTTCTGATTGCAGCAGAGGAGCTATGATGCCCAGATGTTTCAGACGGAGTGAATATAGTAATTCTTGTTGATACATGACAATGTTCAAGTGTCCGGTTGAATTCAATTATACTGATATTATACTTGATTTTTCAGGCTTCCTTCACAACCCATTGGGAACGTAAAAGGAATAAAATATAGGAGATTCAGCGGAGCCTATGGTATACATATGTAGCTAGCCTCAGAGTAGGCCAATAATTCTGTGTAGTGTCGTCTAGCACAGTATGAGCTGGCTATTAGCTTCTGTTCATAGTAGAGTCATGTACAAGCAATAGTGGTAACACGGAAGGCATCTAGGAAGTAGTGACAACCTTCTCAATGTTATTGTGCATAGTGGTGATAGGGAATCATAAACAGATTAAAACCCTTATTGTGTATCATTGTTTCTTCAGTATTCAGTTCTATTTAGCCCATTTCCAATCTCTTTATGTTTTCTTACTTTTGACATATCATCCCTTCCCAATCTGATTTATTTCTTCGAGTGAATATTATCCAGATTCTGCATGATTTTGCAAAAGTTCACGTGCTTTATCATTTTTCTCTAATTTCAAAATAAAAAAAAATCAAAGCTAGATATGTTTCATACACTGTATACTGGACATCAACAAAGTTTGTAGTTTCCTGGGTATCATACAAAGTTTGTAGTTTCCTAGGTATCATACACTGTTTGTAGTTTCCTAGGTATCATACAAAGTTTGTAGTTTCCTAGGTATCATACACAGTTTGTTGTTTCCTGGGTAACATACAGAGTTTTTGGTTTCTTAGGTATCATACAAAGTTTGTAGTTTCCTGGGTATCATACAAAAATTGTAGTTTCCTGGGTAGCATACAAAGTTTGTAGTTTCCTGGGTATCATACAAAGTTTGTGGTTTCTTAGGTAGCATACAAAGTTTGTAATTTCTTGGTTAACATGCAAATTGTGTAGTCTCCTAGCAACCATGAAAGGAATGGTAGATACCATTTTTATGTGTAAAAGAGATCTTGAAATATGTTAGTGACAGAAAGTCATGAAGTTTGTTTGTGGCAAAAAAAGCATTTTTGTAGGAAGTTTATTCAGCCTTGTTTAGTATAAGACATTTTAAGGAGATTTAGCAGAGGAAGGTAAATAATTAGAGATATAGTGGCTATTGTACAGTCAGACGTAGGAATGGCTTTGTCTCACTATTTGGTACCTTTCTTAGTGCATGAAATGTGTTAGACAGCCAATATGTCGTAATCATATATACTTCACACTTCCGGAATGAGCACTTCATGATCACCTCGGTCCGTTTCTTTTATTGGACAAGATGTTTGATATTAGATTACCTCAGTTACATATTGAATCAGGCCCTTTTAATGTAGCATCATTGGGTAGGAATCTCTACAGGCTGGTGTCTGGATTTCTATCATGATTGACATCATATACATAGAGATTAGACATAGTGTATATTTTCACTATTTGAAAATTTCTAATTTCTTAACTCTCTAAATTAAAAATAATAATAATAAAAAATGTACTTCTTTATGTATGTATATATTTGATATATTTCTCTTTTTCGTTATTTTATTTATCAGGGTAGGTAACTCACAAATTGATGTGTAACCATCATGCATGGTTGCGTGTTATGTCTGATGTAGATTAACGGGCCTATAACGTGGATTCTGGTAGATTAATTCCTAGTCAAGCTGTAATCTTAATACCTGTTTAACTAATGAGCTACACTAGTATAGGTAATATGTCATAGTTTTTGAAAAACAATGTATTTGTAACTTACAGATGTGATGACAGTTGACATGCCAGGTTTAGAAGCTTTCAAAAAAGAATAGAATAACATATATGATATGGGTTTAAGTATTGAGATGACAGCATAATATCTAATGTAAAACAATTCAATTTTTCTGTTCAAAATGTTGTAAATTAAAAATACACATGTAGTTTAATTTTCATTACAAAAAATTGAATTTAGTTGTTGAAGAGAATCTGAATTACCATGAAAGCGTTTGTAAAATAAATACGATGGCCCCCCCCCAAAAAAAACCACCCTGATTTTATGTATATATTCTCCTCCTCTGGGCTTCTGGAATTTTATTACCTTACTTCTACAACATCAGGCAATGCAAATAATGAAACAAACTTTTCTAAAACTTTAAAAAAAAACACTGTAGGGAGGAAAATAAATGCTATTTTAAATTCTGTTTGGTTTAATGTTTCTTTGAAAATGCCATTGTACATTTAGTGTGTCTTTCAAGTGTTCTATTACCATGTTACTTGGTATTGAAAGGTATAGATCAGGCGAAGGTAATTGTGTTAGTCTCATCCAATTTGTCCGGTTCTCATGTCAGAGATACGTGCAGCCATTGTCTGGGGGCCTTGATAAGGGGAAAACAGAAATTCAGCTGATGTAGAAACAGTGAATAAGTGGGCAGCATCACAAAACAGAAATAGACAGAATTGTAAAAAGTCACAGAAAAATTCAATAAATTTTGGAAAGATAAGAAAACAAACCAAGAAATTGAATTTGTAGAGACAATATTTTGTAGGAATGAAAAAATCATTATTGACTATGTTAGAAAAACAAGAAAAATTTGTAATCATGACATGTTTCCCCACAGACCTGCTTTGTTTAGACTTGTTTAGTATTGAATCGCAGGGCGTCCTTGGCAGACTCTGTCCCTTGTTTACCAAAACTGGGGTGGAAGGATATGACATAAAGCTGATAGAGAACAGGACAAATATGTAAACAGTCCAGTTTTGGCTGGAGATATTATGATCCTGGCCGGGCCAATATTGACTCTGTCACTGGCAAACAGCGACTTGTAGCACTGACCACTAACAGTTACACAGTCTTTGTTCACCACTATATAACATTATCGATTCTCTCCTTGTGGAATTAAACATAACCAACAAATATCTTAAACAAACATTTGGTGTCGACTAGGCAAATATAGGAGCAAGAATGTTGTCTAATATGAAAGATATGGTGCCCGCTATTTTTGTGAAATGTTATTGAATAGAAATACGGAGACACGTCGCTCCTTTGATGTGTAGGACAGTGTTACCTAACAATGAACAGTTATTTGTAATTCTCACACCTATTCTTATAGACCTGTTCCAATACTTTACATAGTTCCTCGGTACACATTTTAGAAATTTAAAAATATCAAAACCTTGTTACGTTTTTACCCCTTGATGTCCTGATCTCTGAAGTTGACTTGTTTCATCAAATGCACTTTTAAATGATGCATTGACTTCTGCGACCTATTCGACTGCCAATACCAACATAAGAATGTCCATTGACAATAAGCAATTTTATCAAATGTACTTTAAAAGACAACAGACTGTTTTGTCACTTTTAGATTAGTTTTGGAAGACACTGCTCTGGTGTCAAGCACAAAAGTGCAGGTGGAACAGTGGTATTACCCTGAACCTGCATTGAAATGCAGCCTATGCAGTGTTAGGCCTTCGGTAGCTCTCAGTGTAGCTTTCACCAATAACCACACACAACTTCCCACCGGTATCTGACCATGCATTGTAACATGCGAAGAAAGATTTATTTTAATTTTTGAATTAAAGTTTCATTGGCATTCTCCAGTTTTAAAATTATAATTGTCTTTGAAATATAGATAATTAAACTAGAACTAAAATAAAATGAGTGGAGAACTATTCTACAAGGAGTTGAGAAAGCACTGTTTGGTTGGGAGGTGTAAGGGAGGTAACCCCTGTACTCAGTAATTATATATGTAGGCAGCAGACCTTTTCATTGATAATCTTATACATTTCTGAAACTACTGATTATGTATTTGTTTTGTTGCATTCCTTTGTATGGCTCAGATCATTATTGTCTGGTTACTTTCACTATATTGTTATCTACAAATTTTCAAAGGAATAAACGTTTGTATTTTAAATAATTTTTAACCTTTTAAAAAAGTACAATTTCAAGTGATTATTAGCCAGATGGTAGATAATCTAGACATATTTGTGTGTTGTATTTGGTATTAAATAACCGATGACTTATTCCCCTTGTTTTTGACTTTCAGGTTTTGGGTTCGTGACCTTTGAATCTGAAGATGTGGTGGACAAAGTGTGTGATATCCACTTCCATGAGATCAACAAGAAGATGGTAAGTGACAACTCTATTGATCACTCTTCCCTTCCACGCACAAATTTTTGTATAATTCCTGACTTCTTTTATTGCAGAATTATTGCCATTTTTTTGCAGCTGAAAGGCTGATTGTTGCATAATTATGCCAATTTAAAGGAAAGCTATTAATTCCTATAATAAGTTTATATTTAGAAATATTAGAAAAATGGTGGGCAGAATTTGAACAATGGAGATAAATTGACTGGAATCGCTATGGAACTGTTGACACTTAAACTAGACTCAACACATTAAAAAGTGACATGCTCTGCAGATGTATTACATTTTGCTGAGAGTGGCGATTAGTTGTTCCTAGAAATATTTACTCGAATGCATTCCTTGTATCATGAACATATTATTTAGAGTTGAAATAACACACTTGCTGTAAAAAATGTCAGTATATTGGGTAATCGATCATTTTAATTTTAGGTTAAAAATTGTTCAAATGTGGTTTGTTATAGCCACATGTCTGGGGGTTTTATGAGTTTGGCACAATTATACAACTGCATTACAAAAACAGTGTTTTACTGTATTTTCCTGCAGTTTGTACAAAATCATTATAGAAGCAGAGTAATTGTCAACGTTGAACACAAATCCTTGCATAGCATATATTTCATATTTAGTCCATAGTATTCTGCTTGATATAAGGGTGGTTATTGTACATGAATTCTTTTATTCCACAACATTGTGTCATTAGATTACATAGGCTTCAGTCAGTAAATTTTTGATGAAGTCTTTCTAACTTTGCTGGAAAAAAAGGAAAACTTCTTAAAGATTTGTTTGGAAAATTTCATAATAAATTAAAAGAATTTAAATTTCGCATGAAAATAGATTTGACCTAACTTGGTGTAATGATTTAACATCTTGTATTTTAGGTGGAGTGTAAAAAGGCCCAGCCGAAGGAGGTCATGTTACCAACAAGCCTAGCTCGGGGTAGGGGCCTAGCAAGGGGCACGTTCAGTGAGTTCTCTTGGTTTGATGTAGATCTGGGTTATTAGCATTTATATCTGTACTGTTTATCTACATCTCCGCCCGTCAGACTCCACTTGCACTTTGACCTTTTGCCATTTTTTTTTATAATTATTTTATGGCAAAAATTTCGGAAAAAAAAATTAAATACAGAACAGCAAAAAAGAGAAAAAAGAACAAGTGATTATTTCGATTGCATGCCAAAAGTTTTAGCAGTTGGTATTTTGTATTAGCTGTGCCCAGTTTGTGAAACATTAGCGAACAGTATGTGGAACCTGGAGTATGTCCATTTTGTTACTTGTCTGTATACCACTCGACATTGTGATCAGAAGTCTTCCCTGTAGAATTACTAGTCTTGTCCTTTCTCCCATCAGTTGTCATGGAAACAGGAACATGGCACCAAAGCTGTGGTCAGTGCCAGTAGCTTCTTGTAACAAGGCCTTCATAACCTTCATGTAACCTTCCTTTTGGAAAACGAATTACTTTCAATTTGGCGATTTAATGATAACGCTTAATGTGCACAGAATCACTGACGCAGTGGTCTATAATGTACTCTTTCTCAAAAGACTCCTCTTTATCTCATTTATCAAAAAATACAAAATTTTAAATCAAATTTTATCCTGCACACTTTTGCTGCCTTATATCTTATAAGCTTCCATGAAACTTTCACTCATTAATGTAGTTTCAACCTATGACAACCTGTTTGTAGTGAAGGTGTGTCGTAGTGACAGTACTGGAGACACTTAAGCTCTCCTGTCCACGAAGCATCGGTCGCCCATTTCCTGTTTTCTGCAGCTGATTTGAGAAAGTGAAATAACCCTAAGTGTTACCAGCCTCCAACCAGAAAATGTCACCGAGTTGTTTTTTAGGACTGTAGACTCCTCTCCTCTCTGCTGCCATTGTAGTGTTTGGACAAATTTCTCCTTCAATTGCATGGTTACCAAGTAACCCTATATATCTTGATCATTAATATTAATATTTTATAGAGGTGGAAGCGCGGTAACATTTATTGTTATACTTTCCCATCATAGTTCTTGCAAGCTAGACTTTTTTTTGTTCGTTAACTCTGACAATTTACAACTAATTTTGACACATAATGTGTCATCATTAATACGGCCAGCCAAGCAAACTACTTTGTCAAAAGAAGATAATTAGACATATCTTGCATATACGATTTCTTCTGCTACCAGCGTGCTTCTTTTCTTGTTTTGACACAACTGAGTGCTGGTTGTTAACCTATGTACAGACTGAGGAAGAAATTTGCTGTAACTGACCAACTGCTATAGAAATAGAAAATGAAAGAATTTAAAAAAAAACAACAACATTTTTACCTATGTTATCATGGGTGACCGTATTACGTCCCTCTAGTGGTGGAACTGAAAATTGGGGGGGAAAAGGAGAACTGGGATCTGCACCAAACCAAGAGAATTACAACTTGTATTTGAAACGTTTTGAATTGTAACCCTTTCTTCATTTAACTTGTCTTGTCACTGTCGGGGATCACACTGGTGTCGTCCTCGGGGGTGAGGGGCTAGACCTATTCCTGGTAATCTGCTGTCTTACTTGGGTCACTGCATTGGCATTTTATCATTTTGTTTATTAATTGACTTGAAAAACAGAAATGCAAATTTGATTTTTTTTCATTATAATATGAAAAATTTAATAATGATAATGATGGTATTGACCACAAAATTTGAGATGTAAAAGCTGAGAAATCCAAGCAGTCATTAACATTAGCAGTAGAAGATGGGAATTTCTGGTACATGTTGTGTATGTCTGTTGACTCTTTCACACCCGAGGTCTTTCGCTGCGAGCCTAGTGTTGCGATCGACCAATGAGATGGTGTGACAGAGTCAAGATTATCACTGTAGAACTATGTTGTCGTAGATGATTTGTATATTTTTTTTGCACTATTGGTGTGAGGTGCACTGGGTTAGATCATATTCGGAAGGACTACTTATATTTACATCTGTTGGCTTTCATAGTGTATCGCTGAATATAATGGCTGCCCGCAGTGACACTTTTGTCGGAGCTCCAACGTAGACCGCAGCATTCCGGGGAAGTAGATGACAAGATGTTGATATGGAAACAGTCTAGACCTCCCTGTGCCGCGTGGACACCCCTGTGGCAGGGGGGTTTAGACTGCGGCCAGTAGCGGGATGGTAGACATCAGTGGGACCTATATCACTGGGACCCTAGCTCTATACATGTGTGTGCTTATCTCTGCTGCCACTAAAACTTGTTTCCCTTTTTTTTCTAATCCTTTCGTAGTGACGAATGAAGATGGCGAGATTGTGTGGGATTTATCAAGCGATATTATGATGCCAGAGCTGTGTAAGTTCACCTCCCTCCCCTTTCCCTATTGACCCCCTCCCAAATCAGCCCCTCGTTTATGCCCCAACCATTGTTAAAGGGCACAGTTGGGGTTGATGAAAGGGTGGTAAAATTTGCCCGGCCAATCCGATGTCCAAACATAACAGGTGTCAACTTCATCAAAACAAACTCCTTTTTAGATTAAGCTCAATGATTGGTCAAAACTTGTTTTTTGTATCTGTTTTGTCCAATGAGAGGGCCTAATGGTGAGTTTAATGTTGGTGAATTTGGGGCTTGCTGATTTTTTAACAACTAATATTTTATTGCTTTTGCTGTTAGATCATGTGACTGAGACTTTAAAAATTTACATTAGAAGATTAATATGCATTTTGTCAGTGAAAGTTTGCTTTTGTTTTCATTGAGGGGGGCATCCAGTTTTGAAGACAAATAGTATAACACTGTTTTGAAATCACTTTTCAAAGACAAATCGGAGAAAAAAAAATGGAAAAATTGTTTCCTGAATATAACTGAAATCTTGAAAACGCCTCGGTAACAGATATGATGTGTGGACAGACTGGTTTATGGCAACCAGTCATACACATTGAATTTTAAAATCACGTGAACTCAAATTGAATTGTCTAAATTGATAGGGTTATAATAAAAAATAGTATTTAAATGTGTGTCATCACCCCAGCAACCCCACGCCATCAGCTGTTAACATGGGCTATCTCTGTGACATTATATGTAGGTTGCATGACAATGATTAGGGTCGGGTATCCATAGCGATGCCTGGCCCACCAATCAGAGTAGAGAGAAATCTGTTCTGTGGAATACCGTCTGTACATCTCGTTCTAGTCATTAGATTTTGCATTTTGGCATCGTAGTGTTTTGCTGTGGTGCATGAAACTGTCTAACAATTATAATCTAACTTTATTTGATGTCATTTCTTTTCCAGATCATATGAAGCAGAATCATTTAAAACATATTCTATCATTTCATCATTTTTTCCATATTTTTAATTTTCCAATTTATTTTTGGTTATATTTTAATGTAGGAGTATGTTCAGTTAACAACTGTTAAACAGTTCATCTCTAAATGTGTACAATTACAAATAAAATAAGAAGAGATATATCTCCACAAAAAAAGAAACAAGTTTGACCTGAATTGGCCATTTCTGGGTAGGGTGTGTGCGCATGCTGTTTAATATGGCTTTGTGTGTGCCCAATGTCACAACATGTCCGCTACTACATATATATTAGTAGTGTAGTAGTTGATGCTGTAATAACATCGTTAAATTTCCTTCCTGTAAATAAAATAGATCAATTTTTAACATAAGTTAAAGAAAGTTGTAAAGGAGGTTCACAGATAAAACATAAAACACATTTAAAACCATTTAATGCCATTTAAACAGAAATAGAGCAAAGGCACTGAGTAACCATAGTAAAAAGTGGGATAGAACTGAGTAATCCAGCTAACTATAGAGCAGGGTAACAATAGAATAGAATGGGATAACCTAGCTAACTGTAGAACAGGGTAACAATAGAATAGAATGGGAGAACTTAGCTAACTATAGAGCAGGGTAACAATAGAATAGAAAGGGGTAACTTAGCTTACTATAGAGCAGGGTAATGCAACGGACAATAGAATAGATTGGGATAACCTAGCTAACTATAGAGCAGGGTAGCAATAGAATAGAACGGGATAACCTAGCTAACTATAGAACAGGGTAACAATAGAATAGAATGGGGTAACTTAGCTAACTATAGAGCAGGGTAACAATAGAATAGAAAGGGGTAACTTAGCTTACTATAGAGCAGGGTAACAATAGAATAGAACGGGATAACCTGGGATAGAACTGAGTAATCCAGCTAACTATATAGCAGGGTAACAATAGAATAGAATGGGATAACCTAGCTAACTAGAGAACAGGATAACAATAGAATAGAATGGGATAACCCAGCTAACTATAGAACAGGGTAACAATAGAATAGAACGGGATAACTTAGCTAACTATAGAGCAGGGTAATGCAACGGCCAATAGAATCGAATGGGATAACCTAGCTAACTATAGAGCAGGTTAATGCAATGGACAATAGAATAGAATGGGGTAACTTAGCTTACTATAGAGCAGGGTAATGCAACGGACAATAGAATAGAATAGGATTACCTAGCTAACTATAGAGCAGGGTAATGCAATGGACAATAGAATAGAATGGGGTAACTTAGCTTACTATAGAGCAGGGCAACAATAGAATAGAACGGGATAACCTAGCTAACTATAGAACAGGGTAATGCAACGGACAATAGAATAGAATGAGATAACCTAGCTAACTATAGAGCAGGGTAATGCAATGGACAATAGAATAGAATGGGGTAACTTAGCTTACTATAGAGCAGGGAAACAATAGAATAGAACGGGATAACCTAGCTAACTATAGAGCAGGGTAATGCAATGGACAATAGAATAGAATGGGGTAACTTAGCTTACTATAGAGCAGGGTAATGCAACGGACAATAGAATAGAATGGGATAACCTAGCTAACTAGAGAACAGGATAACAATAGAATAGAATGGGATAACCTAGCTAACTATAGAACAGGGTAACAATAGAATAGAATGGGATAACTTAGCTAACTATAGAGCAGGGTAACAATAGAATAGAATGGGATAACCTAGCTAACTATAGAGCAGGGTAACAATAGAATAGAATGGGGTAACTTAGCTTACTATAGAGCAGGGTAACAATAGAATAGAACGGGATAACCTAGCTAACTATAGAACAGGGTAACAATAGAATAGAATGGGATAACCTAGCTAACTATAAAGCAGAAAAGTGTAAGTGACAAAAGAATAGAATAGAATTGAGGAAACCAGATATAACTGTAGAACAGAGTAATGCAACGGACAATATAATAGAATAGAATTGAGTTACCCTGCAGATCATAGAATAGAATGGAATAACCCAACACACCATATAATAGAATGGAATAACCCAACACACCATAGAATAGAATGGAATAACCCAACACACCATAGAATAGAATGGAATAATCTAACAGACCATAGAATAGAATTAGATAACCTAGCTAACTATAGAACAGTAATGCAACTGACAATAGACTAGAATTGAGTAACCCAACAGTCCATAAAATAGAATGAAGAAAACCATAGAATAGAATGGAATAACCCAACAGACCATAGAATGGAATGGAATAACCCAACAGTCCATAAAATAGAATGAAGCAACCCAACAAACCATAGAAAAGAATGTAATAACCCAACAGTCCATAGAATAGAAATCAGTAACCCAACAGACCATAGAAAAGAATGTAATAACCCAACAGTCCATAAAATAGAATGAAGCAACCCAACAAACCATAGAATAGAAATCAGTAACCCAACAGACCATAGAATAGAATGTAATAACCCAACAGTCCATAGAATAGAAATCAGTAACCCAACAGTCCATAGAATAAAAATCAGTAACCCAACAGACCATAGACTGGTTATTAAATAGAGCATTGAGCAGAGCTGTTTTTAATTGAGGTTGAGGCAGACCTTTGTTTGTGGTTTTAGATGACAAATAGACTGCCATTCCATCTACCTCCAGGTGATTCTGGCCTGTAATTATGTTGATGTGCAGTTTTTGTTCAGACAGATTCTACACTAGTTTGATATCGGGGAAATGGGACCTGATTAATGATAGTAAATATGGAACGCTGTAGTTTGAGATGAGAAGCAAAGCAGACAAAATGTGATTTTTATAATGAAATGGAGGCAATATTATTGGTTTGGTGGTATGTTAGGTAACTAGAGATGATCTTTGGTGTGCCGTCCAATTACTTGTCATATTAATATGGTGCCGCAAGCAAGCCCAGTGTGCAAAGCTTGGTAGCAGTACTGATAGCTTCAATATAGATAGAATTCGTCTTCATGATAGCAGAATAATATCTTTTGAACATAATCCATTTAGTATGCAGCTCATTCAAACACTGATAGTCCAGGACGAGATAGTTAGGATGATTTATATGATGAAAAATTTGCCAGAATGGTTTCTGCTTTAAATGACCCGCAGCTTCTGAAGATAATAGCAATTCCTATAGAGAAACGTCATGGATATTTTGTAAGGTTGTAAATAGATCTGGGAAGATGCGAGAGCTATCACAATAATCAATATTACACTTGGGTTTTTTTCCAGAAAGAAATAAACTTTACCATAGGAAAGATAAGGGGTTCCTAGTAACAGCAGACAGGAGGCAATTATATTATATAATAATAAAGTGGGCGGGTGAGGGTTTAAAGAATGGTAGAGAATGTAGTAGATATATGCCCTAGCCCAGAGATACACCCTTCCCAGAGAAACTTGTGTCATTGTACCCCTTGATAAATATGTGAAAAGTCCTTACTTAATACAAGAAGATAGAAAATGTTTAATGCAGGCAAATTTCATACGTATTTCAATCTTAAAGATTCAAATTTTTATTGATTATTGATTTAAACGTAATTTTGTTTTTAATTCTTAATTGTTGGAATCTGAATATTTTAAATTGTACATGAACAAAAACATTGTTTAGAATGCAGAAAAAAAGGAATTCTCGCTTATTTCAGTGACCTCTCCCCATCTTGGCGGTGTTCCTTTGACAGGCGGTATGGAAGGTTGGTATTTTCTCCTGGTCACTAACAATAACTGTAGCACAGGTTCAGTCATTGGTCAACATACTGACCAATCATATCACAGGACACAGGCCTGATTCTGATTGGTTGACATATTGATCAATTTCCTTTATTGTTCAGCCAAAATCCATGTCAATAGAAAAAAGACCAATTCTTCCTATCATCTCTGTCTGCTAATACCTGTAATATTGTGAGATGGAATTTGATTGCATTTTGAGTATTGATGTGATGCTGTGTTGTCTGTTATTATGTTATATTAACCTGCTTATACAATCATCGTAATTGTTTTGAAGTCTTGCCCAAATGTGTGCTTCTTTCATTTTCTAAAACACACACAATACCATGAGTGCAATACAGATTCCTAGCTATATCCTGGTCATTTCTTGGTTTAGTCTAGACATCAATAGAACGTGGAATAGCCATGAGACTGCCTAGCAGGATTTTAATCATTCTGCTTTTTCAAAACCTATCAAAAAGTGATTTGATGGACAGCAGTAATCAATGAAAACCCTACACCAGTAATCCTGCTAGGCTGGTCTGTAGATGTACCTGTTGACCTTTGACCGTTCAGAATGCTTGGTGTACTTACCTTCCTTCTCACAAAACTCATACTTGAAACACCTCAGGGTGATGTGATCAGACTTATACATGCTTTTGATGTTATTTTGCTGATTTTACTAATTTTGAGGTAGTGACATTTTGGTTTATAGATAAACCAGTTTGTCAGCATGGCTCACGCCTGCATGGTACTCTCTCACCTCGTAGTCCCTTGTGTTAGTTTGTTCAACCCTTACACCCCTGCACATGTTAATGACATTATCCATTTGAGTTGGACAAGTCCATTCACAGATCATGCATGGGTGAACTGGGTGGGATTCAAAATCTACAAGTTGCCTTTAATCCTTTCAAAATATTTCTAATTAACTTTGAAAACTATTAATATGTATTCAAAGAAGAAATTGTGAGAGTAATAGGTAAAATCTTTCATACCTTGATGAGTTCGCAGTGTAAGGCAGCTTGTGTTACTACGGTGGACGGTTATAGTCGCAACTCTAGATTTCTCCAACATCTTACCATCCCCTGACACTCCTGTGTCTTCCATTACACCATTCGTTATCTGTTGTCCAGTACAGCATTTGTTTTATTGTTGGTTGAATTTGACTACTCAGAAATGATGCTATAGATATAACAAATTGCAAAGCCAGTTAAAAAGGGAAGAAAACAGATATCATTAATTAATGTCACATTTTCATTTATGCTGATTAAATATTTTCATCTTTCCACTTTTTACAGCAGACATTACATGATACATTCATTAAACCCTTGTCATTTTTCAAAACTTTCACTTTCCAATAGATTAACATGAGATGAATTACTGAATGGCTATGTGTTTCCTTACAGGTTTCCTGCCCCATGGACTACACACTGCTGCCTATCCCTATGCTGGCCGTGGATTTCCAGCTATAGCCCCTGCTGGCTACTACTATCCAGGTATGGAAATATTAGACTTAGGGCAGTGGTACCCCTTCTAAAAACCACCTCTCTGTCTGCTTTCTGTCTGAACTCTGACCTTAAGTTTTCAGCCAATCAGGAAGGAGGTGAACATTTGACCTTAAGTTTTCAGCCAATCAGGAAGGAGTCAAACTTTGACCTTTAAGTTTTCAGCCAATCAGATAGGATGTTGTCCCAGAACATTAAGGAGACTTCTCGACATTGGAGGAATGTGTTATCTCAAGTTTTAGATGTTTTTTTGGTGGAAACATATCAGAATGATTTGTAATGACAAAACCTAATGACTATACAATAATATAAGTGTCTAACAGTGTGTTAGCTTTCTGTTTCCTTTCTTAATTGTCACTATTTGTGGAAAGTGGTAATATATTTATTATATAAGAGATTGATATGGTTCTGAATGGACCAATGTATTATGTATGAATATGTACACAGAACAACATGTCTCAGATTTAACCGCAATCTTCTTGAGTCACACCTCACCTGTGTAAATATTATTGTCATTAGTTTGGCTGTGAATCCACTGCCCAATCATTTCTACAGAAAGTTTAGAATCCAATGAAGTTCTAACATGAAAAAATTCAATACATAAATAATCTTAAAAAAAGTATTATGGCAGAATGTTTTAAACAAGCTGCTGTAACATTCATTGATAGAGTTGTTGTCAGTCCCTAACACCGAGAGGTTTGTGATATTTTTAATTGACGTCGAGACAATTCCTCTTTTACTGTTCAATTCCAGTAAGAGGAAAGAAACCTTGAATTGAGAATAAGTGGAAAGGTGCTAAAATGAACAGAAGCATGGCACAAATTATGCACTATGTAGAAAATTATTGGTATCTGAGACATGATGATCTGTTTGGTGGGTCATTACCCAAACGCTACTTTACTGTGAACTGTGGTGGGGTCTGTACGGGAAGCTATAGCTGTCATCACCAGTACTATGTACCACCCCTAACAGTCACTGACCACTGGTCAACTCCAGTTCTTGTTTATACAAGATTTCGGGGCAAAAGTATTTATTTTTGTGTCACTCGTGTACCAGAGCTGTCGCTGGCATAAACAGCAGCCATGTTTACTAATGTTTGATGGGTAATTATTGTATGTGAACCCACCTTTGCACTTTTAACGCAGATGTGCCAAATTTTACCTGAAGGAAAAGCATTAGTAAAGTTACTGGTTTTAGTGAAACTAGTTATTTCACATGACCACAAGACTTGACACAGCCAATGGTAATTGATGAAAAATGACCAAACAAAAATAGTACATTTGCCTTTGTTTTGCTAAATTATTTATTGAATATTTAAGATAGCATGGTTGCCATGCTACCCATGTACAGGTTTATTTTTGTCTGTTTTTGTTGTTGAAATTCAATAATCTATTTATAAGGCATGTTTCATTTGTAAGTGTAGTCTTTAAGAGTGTGTATGAATCGTAATGATTTTTTTTTTGTGTAGGTGCTATTTTTCTGTATTCTACAAATATATATATCATTCATTGTTTTATTACTTTTTGCAAAACACTTACTGAACATAGTATGATATTTAAAGATGTATTTATAATGTATCAGAAAGGTAGTTTTAAGTAAATTAAAAACCATTTGAGTTGCAAAGTATACTTAGATTATAGAGCTTTTAATTAAAACATTTCATTAACCTCTTTGTAATTTAATGTTGTCTATATCAGCCGTAATGCATAGTCAGTCAGTTAATTTCAAAACACTGAAGTTCCTGATCTGTTGAATTTTCATCCCAGAAAATATGAAAAAAGTAATTTAAAGCTTTTATGCCGTTTAGTTGAGTACATACATTTAAGAGATCCCACTTATTCATTGAATTTGTTACTTTTTACACTGTATTATATACTCAGAAACTATCGGAAGATATTACTAAATCATGCCTGTCCCATTAGTTCTAAACATATTACAGAGGACTAAAACTATTTTTATGGAGAACAATGTATCAACCTCAGGATTGTTATGTATTACAGGCTTTCAGTGACACAAACGAAATGTACATTTACTTGTTCTTGCCTATGTAAATTGTGTTCCTCAGCCTAAAAACGAATAGTTATCTCCCTTGTCTTGTGAAGTTACCTCCCTTGCTAGCAATATAAATAAGGTTTTACTAGTATTGTACCTGATTATTGTGTACTTCCAATCCCCCATTTTAAGCACATTATCCTGATTCTTTATTCTGTATTGGTTCAATCTGCCAAAAATAGAATCTATAGTGTTCAGAACAAATCAGGCATTCTTTGGTATGATTTTAAACTATATATATTTTTTTTCTTTTATTAAAATAAATAGAATTCATGAAGAGTAATAGATTATTTTGTATTTTACAAAGAGAGATGTTTAAATGAATCATAAATGTGCTATTATATAACAAATGTGCATTGTCCTCTAAATGGGTGATAATGATGAAGAAATTATCAATAAAAAGTGTAAACAATGAAAGTAGCTAACCACACTACCTCATTCACCCAGTATCCTTGGCAACTAGCCAGGACAGGAATGTAAACAAAAAACACTACGCCATATGGACGTAATTATGCAAACTGCCTGACTCGTTATATATTTCCAATATATAGAAAGTATTGAGATTTTCCTGTATCTTTGTTTTATGTAAGATTTATTGTTTAGACATTCTCAAAGGTTTTAATTTAAGGGATATTTAAAATCAAACCAAAAAAAAACAACACTTTTCTTTACATTTGTTTTCCAACCAAAAAGGCATTCAGGGATTTTTTTTTTATCCTATCCATAATTTCAAATCGCGTGATCTCAAAAATACGCTTCAGTATAGCAGTGAATCTTAGCTATTTATGTAAACACTTTTAATTAACTTTATCTGATTCCGTTTTTTTGGTATACTGTAAAATCTTAATAGTCATAATTAAAAATGTTTTGGGGAAAAAATCATAAAACCTAAAAAATGACAGTGTGTAAGAAAGCTTTGTGTGTGGTCACCTGTGATAGCTCTGTATTGCTGTGATCAGTTATTTACCCATAATTCTATTTCCCGACATGTTGATATATTCGCATAAGCAATAAATATAAAACCCAGGAAACAATAAGTTTTCTACTATGGATGTTTTGCTTATTTTATTGCTAGGAGACCTAAGTTGTTCGTGGTCACCTGGCAAAAAATTAATTTATTATGAAATAACAGGGCAAACATTTGTACATAATTATAAAACATTGTTGTCTTTCTTTATGAATCTATGCATGCATATTTATGAGTTGATGAACATGAAATTGCCAAAGGGTTTCATTGAAAGAAAGGGTTAAGATAAGTGCAAACAATTGTTGCTTTTGTTATTATTGTTGGAGAACATACAATTAATATAGAAATTATTTTATTTTTTGTTTCGACTTAAACTCATACTTTCTTCTATCCATTTTTGTCACCTACAGAAAGTCCTAAGCAGACTCTCCATTCAAATAAGATATAGGATTCAAGACATGAATGTATTTCCATGAATTTAATACATTTTGTTTTGGATGATGATATTCTGTTTATTTTTATGAAATCATTATGGCCAGAACAGTTATCTAAAACAGAAGTTCACATATTTATTTATATATATGCTTATACATTTTAAATTATTGTGGAAAATCATTTTGAACTGAGCTTTAATTTCATTCCGCTAGTATAATTTTAACCGCCATTATGTTTATGCCTTAAGGCATTGAAAACCAGCCAAATGTTTAGCAGATAATGTGTTTAGAATGTGATCCTTACATCTAGTGTGTTAATTCTAGAGATGTTGGTGGTATGCACGCAGGCCGTACATGCTGTTGTGGGTAGGGTACCACTATTTAATATTACAAGGATACAAAATGTATACATATCTATGGAAAATACTTACATTCTGTGATTTTTGTTAAACATATATATCTAGTCCAAATTAGAATTTTAAAACTTTGAAAGTGCATATTATAATTTCAAATATTTCCCATTAGAGAGTTGGGTTTTAGATTTAAATATTAAGTATGCTGCTCGTAATACTAGTAGGTAATGTGTTATGCTTAAATTAGAGTAACTGAAATATTGATTTTTATCTTGTTGAAAATCTTGTTGCATAGTGGTACCATATCCCCAATATGTTGGTGTCCTGCGTTTTTTTCCCATGCAAGAATCTTGTCAAATAAACTATGTTCAGAAGGCTGATGAAGATCAACACTGAAACACAATTGTATCAAGCATAAACATTTGTATTTTAAAACAAATTCTTTTGCTTGGGAGCATCGGTAAGATTTCAGTTGATCTTAGTGGCTTAGGTAACTGGTTTACGTGTGGTAGGGATAGATGAAGTAAGGATATCCTTACAGTCCTCGTAGTAATCTCAATGTAGGAGCTTTATCAGTAGGGTTTTATTTTAAAGACGAAATAATATATTAATATATACATAAAACTGCTTTGTTTGTAGACAGTTATAGACTTGTCTGAATAGTTGTGATTTTTGTTAATTCTTAGTAATACTGCCATATCTACACATGTGTATAACTATACATTGATGTCTTTGTCAGTGGCTTATGTCATCACTGTCTCAGAATCACTGCGGTTAGGAGGGGACTAAGGTGCCCGGTTACTAGGGCTTTAAACACCATGTACAAGTTTCCATAGTGACAACTTACATACATTGACTTGCTCACTCGGATTAGATTTCTGATATTTGGAAAAAAAAAAGAAACAAACTATAGTCCCGGACAAATTAACCATACATTTTCTCTACTTCTCTCTCTTTTTTTAGATGATTTTTCAAATCATTGCAATAACAATTGCTTCATGTTAATATATTTAGATATCGGATAAACACCCAATCCTCTTGGTCACCTTAGAAACCATTGTGGTACTGAGATGTGATTGGCCATTTTTCATTGGGTGCAGCTGAAAGAATGACATTTTCAGTTATGCCACTAATTTCTGTTCATCGATGTAAGAAAAACTGTTCTCATTAATGATGTGACTATATGGTTGGAATGGTCTTTTTATGGGAATAAAATTTTGTTAACAAGATTTCTTTCTTTCTTTCTCTTCTCCATTGTTTTCTGTGGTTTCCTGGTACTGCTGCCATAGCAACAAGACTTGCACCTTAGTTACAGTGGAGTAGACACACACAGAAATCATAGTAACGGGCAACAACAAGGAATTTGTAAATAGCAGTTGTAAAGCTTAAATGATTTTTTTATAATATTTGAAAGAAAGACAAATTTTATTTAAAAAGGAATATCGTAGATTTTATTTAAAGAATTTGCCTGCATTGTGGTAGAAGTGCAGGATAATTAAAATAACAAAATTATTTTAAACATCAAAAACAAATATTGAAAGAAACAATCTGTATTTACATATGCCCTAGTTTGGCCCTGTGTTGGTACCAGGATAGAAAGCCATTTCTGACATCTGTTCATTGTTTGTCACATGCAGGACTTGGTACAGCGTATAGTCCGTCCTCAATGGTCTCGGCCGCTGCGGCACGCAGTGTGGTTGCGGCCGCAGCAGCCCGTGGCTCCGGGGTGCCGCGTGCGGGACGGAGCATTTTAAGTCTCCCCTCTACTCCCGGTAAGCCCCACTGCTCGTGTTCAGTCCACACTTGTAAACATATTGCCACATCCTTATATTAACACAATCTCAAGTGTATCTCTCCGTAGCAACATGTCACATACATTCTCAATGTTTCTTGCAGGTTTTGTGTAGAGGATCAAAATTAAAGGATTTATCACTGAATTATATATAAACAAAAGGATTGAACTCCTCATAGTTTGGGAAAAAATGATTGTAAAACTGAGGTCAGTCTTAACACTCGGGGCTTGCGTAACTATGAATGCCTGAACAGACTAATTGAGTGTTTATTTTGGGACATAATGTTATGGAAACACTTGACATTGTACCGATGACCTCCTACAGGGGTTGCTTTCAGCTTTTTCTCCATCATTCCTTGCACCGTGGTGTTCGTATTGGGTGCAGTCATGTGGTGTGGCGTCCAATGTACGGTATAACAACTAACTGCCTGTAGCTGTGTATATTCCCCACAAACCCTGTGTGGCGGACATGTGTAGTGTGTGGATTGTAGATATTTTGAATATTTGATTAATGTTGTAATTATCTCCCTTGTCTTCAGCAACTTTTAAGGCTGTTTGTTTATTGTTTATGATTTATTTGTTATTTTTCATCAGATCATTTTTGTAAATATTGTCGTGTTGAATATTAAAGGGAATTTTTTTTTTTTGTGAAAAAATCAATATTGAAATTTTTTCCTGTGTGGTCTGCTCTTAATGCTATGCCTAAGTATTTCTAGCTTGCTTTGATTAACCTTGATGGTTGCTATGGTAACCCAGTATTTTTTAATTTGAATGTTTTGTCTTTCTTCTTGAACTTTGATTTGATATTGTGCTTCATTTTGATGTTCACAAATTGTATCTTTATTATAGAAATTGCCATTATTTTAGATTTGACTTGTATTATGGTGTGGAAAAATTACCATTATAATTGTTTCACAAATTAACTTTCGTAACAGCCAATCAATTTCCTGACTATCTTTAGTAACAATGAGACCTTCAATCAAAAAGAATTTTACCAAAGTTAATTGACTGTTCATCTACACAGAAGATTAGATCTTAACAGAAAAGAATCATGTACATTACGAAATATCAATAAATTTACTGGCACTGACTATCTGCTAAAAATATGTCATAATTTGCAGTCAGAAATAATTAGCCTTTTATCAATTAAATTCTGGCAGTTGCCTCTGAAATGTTCATGACAAAAACAGAAAAAAAATCATCTGGTAGATTGAAGGTCCTATGTAGATTGTTCTGAATTGATATGTGTATAATTGACGTCAGGGAATACTATATATATGTTCAAGACTTGGCTACAAGGATGAAAACATAGATTCCATTTATTTTTGACATCCAAATCTCAAACTCAAACACTATTCTAAATTACATATATGAATTTTTGGCTTGTACCGAATATGACCATGCTATTTTGAGTTGAGGTCATTGGATGTGTTCACCACCATTAATTGTACCAAGTCCTTTACCTGTTTACTAGTGCTAAGTCAACATCCCTATCTCAATCTGCTGCAACAATGGTGCATATTCTGCAGGGACGCTTCTTAATTGAAAATTTTACTAAAAAATAAATTGCAATTCCAAACTGCTATTTTTAAGTCCCATAAGTCAAGGGAATCGCAGACAAAAATGTATTTGGTAATTATAGCAACTTTGATTTTGTCAAAAGTCACTGTTGCATCTTTTTCAAAATCCAATTAGAAATGTCCTTGCGTGGGTATTACATGGTGAGAGGTGGGGATGTTCTGTCACCAGTGTACGGTGACCTGTTAACCCTATTGTTGAACCAAGGCTACCATGATTTTGCATGTCTAAACTGTAGTCGACACAGCACACTGTTGTTTACTCTGAAAATACTGCTTTTTCTAGAACTTAGTTTTATAGTACTGCTTGTAGTGGTATCATGCATGAGATTGACATAATCCTGTCCTTAGTCGAAAACATTTTACCCCAAAATGTATTTTTTTTTTCGAAAAAAGACTAAAACCCATAGAGAAAAAAAATGAAAGTCTTGTTATTCCAACAACCAAGCTCAATGTTCTGGACAAATATTCCTATTAAATGCTTCAAAAATTAGCCCTGTTTGGTGGAGTAGAGTACACGATGGTGTTTATATACCTGTAGTGTCTAGATAGTCATAGTCATTGTAATGTTTGTGTGCAGTGTGACTCGGACTTAGACAGTGCAAAACCAGGGAAGCCAGATACCTATTACATATACTGGAATCATGTGTTCTCCATAACACACTATAGCTCAGGCTGTTCCCATTGTTGTATAAGGCCAAATGCTCTATATAGCAGGCCTATAGCTCACCAAATCCATTGGGACTCCACTCAAGTAATACAAAAATTAAGGGAGTTTCATTCTTATGCTCTCAGATTGTTTGACCTTAAACAATCGAATGCCTGGAAGTTTAAACTGAAATTGAATGGAATTTGATGAGTTGTAGGCCAGGAATGCCTTTCCCCATCCTGACGTCTCTTGTACCTATAGCTGTATTAGGTATATGTGGTATAATGCCCAATGTACCTAGTGTGGTTATATACAGAAGACTTTACGATGTGTATAAACGCTGCGTATGTTATCTGACGAGGATACCATAGGCAGTGTGAGTAAGTTTAGAGCTGACATATAACTGGCTTAGAGACGTGTTTCTGCTCTGTTGTTTAGGGCTCCCTGGTTATGCTGGGTACCTCCCCTCCGCCCCCTCCGCCCCAGGGGAGAGACACATGTCTCCCATCTATGCCGACCTTGGTGCTGCGACGGCCAATCAATTGACCGCAGGCTTACAAAGGAGCGAACATTCGCCGCTGCCAGTCAGCACGTCGCCTCTCCATCGTGTTGGCGATCATATACTTACTGCCCAGCGTGCTACAGGTATTGGTTTGTCTCCCTTGTTTTTATTCTCCATCTCCTATATGAATATTCACAGTATAGATGGTCCCTTTTACTTCACCACGACATTAGGAATAGATGCTCCCTTTAATTTATATAGTTTTACCATTGTCAGATTTTCACCTAAGTTAAATCCTCATTTTCATTGGAAAAGAAATTATAATTGATAATTTACAAAAAAAGTATTATCTCCCTTGCTTAAAATAGACTGGTTATCCCGCTTCTTTCTTTGAGCATTTGAGAATTCTTATTTACAAGGAGTGTGTGTGTTAATCATTGCCTACTCCCTTGGTAAATCAACTGGTGTTCGGATAACAGATGTAGGCAGTTCCTTCTAATACCACTAATGCAGTCAGTGCAGTTTTCTTGATTAAATTATTTAAGTTATTTATTAAACTTTTGAACTTCCCTATTGCTTTTATTTTTCCAATCTCGGAAAAGTAGCTGTCAAATCAAATTTTACATTTCTCCCTATCACAAATGTGATTTTTAATTTGTAGAAGGTTTTATTTCTATTTTGTCCTGTACGATTAGATCACTTGTATATGTACACGAGAGTAAACATGTGTAATAGTTACCTTTATATGTTATGTGAATGCTGCTACTCGGCTTAGAATGGCTTCATGTGTATACATATTAGCAGTAGACTAATTTATGTTGTAGAGCAAGATTTATCTCCCTTTAGTAGAAATGTATATTTATATATGTTTATGATAGCACACCTTATTTGTGCACAAACCATGGGTACTAATTTATAAATATGAAAAATTAACAAAATTAATTTTTCTACTCTTTATGAATCACATTATAACTTCTTTTAGAAAGCAATTTGTGAGTTCTTTTACAAGAAATCTCTTCTGAATTTCAAATTCCTACTGAATTTCCTGATTTTCTTTCAACTAATTTGTATTTCCTTGCTGTCTGCTGTGTTGAACATGGGACAGATTGGAGTGGTTTCTACCTTACAGACACAGTATAGGCCAAGTTACACTGATCAATAACACCATCCTCTCTCTGCTGTCCTACACCAATGTCAGATTTAAAAAACAAACGTCTTCTTAACAAATAATGGTACGTCAGAGTGAAGGTCGAAATTCACAATGATGTAATATATACTGCCATAAACAACGGCGATCTTTACATCACATCCATCATATTGCACCGCAGTGCTTTTACATAAATCTTGTCATATGAAATATATCAAGGTTGCACTTGGGAATGAATTGGGAAATAAGCTTTAGGTTTGTTGGTACATGTATTGTATAAAAATTTCAGCTATAATCAGAAAAAAAATAACTCACTCGCCCTGGATGCCTACAGCATAGTTATAATATAAACAAGTAGCGTAACACCAAATGAAATAGCTTTTATGATTGGCTGTACACAATGGTAGTGTAAGAGTGATCTGATCTTTCATTGGCTAAGCACAAATTGGAGAACTTCTCAGAACTTAAGGCTTATTTCTTAATTAAAGTTTTCTGTACCTGTTGTCTGATGGACACGGGTCTATCAGTACACAGCATGCTACTCCAACTAATGTACCAGGGAATAGACCCTATAGAGGGAACACGGAACACCCAACTTATGTACCAGGGAATAGACCCTATAGAGGGAACATGGAACACCCAACTAATGTACCAGGGAATAGACCCTATAGAGGGAACATGGAACAATACACTGTGTAAAACCGAAAACCAATCAGCCACGCATGCTGTTGAAAAAGGAACAATCGCTGGAGGCAAGCAGTACTGAGATCAGTGATCAGACTGGATGTGGTGGGCACAGCACACATTAGAACAGCAGTGTCTGACTGCGGCAATCTATAACAGATTAGACCAGGTCTAAAGTTAGGTGTCGATCGTAATACAGAACAAAAGTCAACCCAATGTCGGGGAAAACAAGTAATTCGTTGAAACAAAATGTGACCTGTAAGCGTTCTTGGCAGATGAAAAAAAAAGGAGATTTATAAATGTAGTGAATATTAGAATCTAGTAAAAATAGAAATTGTTAGTGTACAATTCTGCTGGTAACCTAAGGACGTCTCCTTTAAAACGTGGTCCTCACAGTACCAACACATCACTCAAAAGTATAATGTTAATAATTGAGAATTGTAAAGTTGCAGTTATCACTGACATTTTTTGGTAGAACTGCTATTGATGATCAAGTAAAGCCATGTTAATAGGTGTTTGAAGAGCAGTTTATACGGCATGATTGATAACCAGATAATACACAAAACAGCCAATTCTTAAACACATCCGACCGCTCCAGAGTGGCAGAGAAATTGTCACCATTGCAGGAGATTATTGGCGCCCAGCACTTAATCCTCGGTTGCAGGAGCCTTATTGTGGAGTGATTGATGAAGTGGACTGTCACATGCCCGCATAAGAGATGGAGAACCAGCACTAACACATGCAATTTTCTGTTTAAAAACCTGTTTCTCTCTCTAAATAATTTGTTTTCTCTCCCAAATGAAAAAAAAAGAGAAAAAAAATCAGATTATGAAATACAGAATTTAAGCACAAGAAAAAATATTTTTAGAGAAATTGTAACCAATCAGAATAGACTAGTGAGGTCATGTGATACTGTCAGCTGTAGCCATTCAGAATAGACTATAATTTTAGGTCATGTGACTCATTTGCAACCAATTCGGAAAGATAAGCAAGATCATGTGACTGTTATTTGTAACCAATCAGGATAAGACTGGTGAGATCATGTGACTGCCAGCTGTAATGATTTAGTTGTAACCAATCAGGAAAGATTATCGAGATCATGTGACTGTAAATTGTAACCAATCACGATAAGACTAGTGAGAAGATATTAAACTGACGATTCTTATGAATTAATCTAGTTTTGTTTGACACGATCCAAGGTAAGGTTTCAATTTTAAAAGCTTGTTATTTAATTTTCATATTTGAAATCAGATAATTAATGTTGAGAAGGACAAGGATCTGTGACCCTTACAATGTACAGTCATATCACAACAATGCACTATACTTCCAAACTTCCACTGAATCTCAGTAAGAGGATGTGGAGGTAACATAAACATTTCTATGGCCTCAGCTTACTGTTGTAACCTCTATCTACATGTCAAGGAGACTAACTTTGTAACATTTGAATGACCTTTGTTGACATCCTCTCCTCCTTTCACCCCTACAGACCACAATGGACTGGTCAGTTTAAATGGAATGGAGAGTTTAATGTGGAACCTGAGGGGTGAAAGGCTCTCCGGTAAGTACGACGCCGTAGGTAGACGAGGTGACATCAGGCATCAGGATGTCATCTCAGCTTACTTATATTGTTGATGACCTTGAAATGTCTTATTGATGTCCTCTTTAATTTTGATGCCATAGTCATATCATGTTGTCTTTGATTTTGGTGCCACATTATCATTTATACATGATGCCCCAATAGTATACTGTTGATTTGATGTCAGTGTTGTAAACATGATATGTTAGAAATGTTTTTCGTTGTGACATGATTTAAATGCCACAAGTGAGACCATCACTTGATCTCTCCCATCCTCATGCTGTAGGCTGTTGTAAATAGCCTTGACAATAAGTTTTGACTTAATCTGCCATTCAATATGCCCTTTATCTGATTGACCTTGTACTGCCCTGACCATGTGACCTTTAACCTTCAATTGTAAATGTCAATAACATCAGCTGTATCATGACAACATTAACTTTTAGTTGTAGTTGACCTCATTGACCTTTTATAATGTCCCAGCTTTACATTGTGTGATGTTTTTGTAGCATGACACAGTGACATCACACCAGCATGACACAAACACCTATATGACCACTGGCTATTTATGACATTCAATTTTCCCTATCTAGAATTGTCTCCTCCTGCAGTTAGCCTCTCACCTAAACATTCCTTTCTTTCTTGACCTTAGCTCCTTATATGGCATTTGCTGCATGCCTTTCTGACTTAAGCCCCTCCCCTCTCTGATGTCAGCTCCGCCCCTTTCTGATTTTAGCACATTTTATGACATTAGCTCCACCCTTTTCTGACATAAGCCCCTCACCTTTTAGACAATAGTTTCTCCCCTATATGATATTGGCTCCTCCACTTTCTGGCTTGTGCTCCTCCTCTTTTTGACATGGGCTCCTCCTCTCTGATTGTAGCTCATCTTCCTTACACGATTCCTATCTTATCTTTTATCAGCTTCTGATTTTTGACTTTTAACTCCTTCCCATACTGACGTAAGCATCTCCCCTTATGACTCAACTCTCTATCCCTCATTAATCTTCTCCCCCATTTGACATTTGCTCCACCTCTATTTGACGTACGTTTCTCCCCCTTTCAAACGTTACATGATATCCCGAGACAAGGCCCATCCCAATGACATGTTGAGTTGTTGCCCGGCATTATGTTAGTGGTGGTGGTTCACTAAAGGCTTCTGACACTGTTTAGACCCCCTCACTGTTATCATTAGGCACCATGGTGACACGCTCTGATTCACACGGGGCAGTGTGCTCTATTAGTCATTTCGTTTGTGCTTATAGGCTACATCATTGGTACCTACGTCAGATCAAGATTATCTCCTTTTCTTGTTTTGAGGAATTGAACATTATGTCAATTTATGAAAAAAAGAAAAACAAAACAACTTTCATTTATTATTGAATCTATTGGGTAACAGTAACGAAAAAAACCACAGAATGAAAATTTTGTTAACTCACTTCTAAAGTTGTAAATATTTGGTAAAATTTGCCATTTGTACTTTGTTGACCTGGTGCCTATGTTGTTCCCTGGAGTGTTAAGATGTGGCTGTGAGAACGTCCTGCTGTATGTCCGGCGATGTCCACCACACTTTATATGTCAGCCATAGATAGATGTACAGCATAGGTTATATGGCTTATCAGCTGTTTTAATTTCTTGTTTGACATTCTAGGATTAAGTCATTCCAACCTTTTCTTGACAAAAATCATAATCTTTTCTGCAAAACACTAAAAAGCATGATTTACCATGATCCTGAAGATATTCTGTAGCAATGGTACCTTCATTGAGAAAAAAAAAAATGTCTGGAGGAAAACAGTTGATTTGTGCATGAGTCGTTAATTCTCTCCTCCACATTTTGTTTCCTCTATTTCCTTAGTAGACATGTTGGATTCTTCTGTTTTACCAATAGTAGTATTTCCTTGCTTACCTCTGCTGACACAAGGATGGAGGGAATACAGGGTGAATTAAGTGTTGCTCATGAAACATTCCTACAACGTAGCATACCTACAATTTGGTGCAAAACACAAAAATTCCAATACAGATATAAAGATATTTAGATTAGAAACAATGTTAGACCCGCAGAAAGTGGAGATAGGGTTGCGATGAGATACTGACACAATTGGATGCTAGAAGGAAATTGAAGATTAGAAAATACCAAACTTGATTAGCTTTAAAGATTTATATCAGTAGACTTCGGCATCAAACAAAATAGAATAGTCTTTTGGATAGATTAGGAAACTTTGAAATTGTAGAGAATGTAAAACAGGATATTGTAAAATTGGAAAGTAATTGAAAAGAGCGAATTATGATAAAAACACCTTGAGGGACTTAGTCTTTCCGCTAGTCTTTCCACTTCATACAGAGCATGGTGTAACAGGAATACACATAGCTAAAACTGATCATTAACAAATTGTTGGGGCAGAAATATAAGGGGGAAACACTTGGAAAGAGTGCTTCCCTCCTGTCTGGTTTGTCCAGTAGGCATGGGCGACTTTAGGGTAGTTAGGACAAAATATGACATGTCTATCAGAAGACAGAAATAGCATACCAGAAAATCTTGCGATATATGTTGGTCAGCGAAAGTAAATTGTACCACCAGACTTTATCACCGATACAATATGGAGCCATTTGCGCCCTTGCAGCATTTACAAAACATCCAAAAGGTGGTACTCTGTAGTCAATGGGCACCACTTAACTAAAACCCAACCTTTCCCTTGAAGGTGTAGGAGGAAAAGCATTGACTAACCGATGCATACAAATGCATACCGACGGAAGGACACAACCCTACCAGGTCGTGGTCAAGTCCACCCAGTCCACACAAGGTTGGTCGAGGCCAGGCACCTCCGTGTTTTGCTATGTAGTGGTGTAGTGCCGCGTGTTAGACACGCGTAGTTGTGTGATGTATATACAGCACTGTACACAAGCTTTTCCCTGGTCGTTAGGGACACTATAGTCACCATGGTGATAGGTACACACCCGATCATCACTCATAGGCCACCTCTGACTTCAGCTTTAGCTAGGGTCTAGCTAAACTCTGACAAATATAAAACACTTTCAGTCCATGTTTGAGATTTGACCTTGACATGAGAGACAGAATCAGGTCAAAGGTTTGCAATAACTTGAGAGCTTGAGCTGAAGTGTAAGATGGTTCTGTGTAGTTGTGGTGGGACATCTATTCTGTTGCACATCTTTGGATTCCATGGTTACATGGTAACCATGATAACGGTAAGGTAACAAAACACTAACCATGGCAATACTCATCTCTTTCTCTTAGTTTCTGTATGTAATAATTACTACAGTTGTCACATAACACAGAGACCAATAATTTTAATGCGTAATATTTGTTTTTTCTATACTAACTAAACATCCTAATAATAACATTGTCCTTGACCTTGGAGAAGCTTGTGTACTTATTCCCTTATAGAATATATGTAAATGTGTACAACATTTCAGGCCTTCATCCATTCCTGGGGGGGTAAATGATTTATCTAACAATTAATGTAACTTTGATTTATTATAGCAAACTGGACATTGTGTGGTTGATTTGCTGCTTAAATTGGACATTGCATATTAAAACCAACTATAAGGTCTCTAAAAAGGTTTTCCTACACCAAAGTATGACCTTACAAACAGGAAGTCTATCCCTACACCAGGACTTCCTCTGACAAGCAGGAAGAATGTGCCTACATTGAAAATCCCTTGGTTAACAGGAAGTCTGTCCCTACACTGAGGCATCCCCTGGTAAACAGGATGTCTATCCCTACATTTAGACATCGTCTCGTAAACAGGAAGTCTGCCCCTACACTGTGACATCCCCTGGTAAGCTAGAAGTTTGTCCCTACACCTAGCCATTCCTTAACATTGAAAATCCCTTGGTTAACAGGAAGTCTGTTCCTACACTGAGGCATCCCCTAGTAAACAGGAAGTCTATCCCTACACTGAGACAGCCTCTTGTTAACAGAATGTTTGTCCCTACACTGAGCCATCCCCTGGTAAACTGGAAGTATGTCCCTACACCTAGCCATTCCTTAACATTGAAAATCCCTTGGTTAACAGGAAGTCTGTCCAAACACTGAGGCATCCCCTAGTAAACAGGAAGTCTATCCCTACATTTAGACATCTTCTCGTAAACAGGAAGTCTATCCCTTAAACAGGAAGTCTGCCCCTACACTGAGACAGCCCCTGGTAAACTGGAAGTTTGTCTCTACTCTAAGACATCCGCTGGTAAACTGGAAGTATGTAAAAAGGTTTTCCTACACCAAAGTATGACCTTACAAACAGGAAGTCTATCCCTATACCAGGACTTCCTCTGACAAGCAGGAAGAATGTGCCTACATTGAAAATCCCTTGGTTAACAGGAAGTCTGTTCTTTCACTGAGACATCCCCTACACTGAGACACCCCCTGGTAAACAGGAAGTCTGTCCCTACACTGAGACATCCCCTGGTAAACTAGAAGTTTGTCCCTACACTTAGACATCCCCTGGTAAACAGGATGTCTATCCCTACATTTAGACATCTTCTCGTAAACAGGAAGTCTGTCCCTACACTAAGATATCCTTTGGTAAACAGGAAGTATGTCCCTACATTTAGACATCCCCTGGTAAACAGGAAGTCTGTCCCTACACTGAGACATTCCCTGGTAGACAGGAAGTTTGTGCCTACACTGAGACATCCCCTGGTAAACAGGAAGTCTGTCCCTACACTGAGACATCCCCTGGTAAACAGGAAGTCTGTTCTTTCACTGAGACATCCCCTGGTAAACAGGAAGTCTGTCCCTACACTGAGACATCCCCTGGTAAACAGAAAGTATATCCCTACACCGAGACATCCTCTTGTTAACAGGAAGTCTGTCCCTACACTGAGACACGCCCTGGTAAACCGGACGTCTGTCCCTACACTGAAATATTCCTTGGTAAACAGGAAGTCTGTCCCTACACTGAGGCATCCTCTTGTTAACAAGGACACTTACACATCCCCTGGTAAACAGGAAGTCTGTCCCTACACTGTGACATCCCCTGGAAAACGGAAAGTCTGTTCTTTCACTGAGACATCCCCTGGTAAACAGGAGGTATGTCCCTACACTGAGTCATCCCCTTGTCAGGGAGTCTGTCCCTACACTGAGACATCCCCTTGTAAACAGGAAGTCTGTCTCTACACTGAGACATCCTCTGGTAAACAGGAAGTCTGTCCCTACACTGAGACATCCTCTTGTTAACACAAAGTATTTCCCTACACTGAGACATCCCCTGGTAAACTGGAAGTTTGTCCCTACACTTAGACATCCCCTGGTAAACTGATAGTCTGTCCCTACACCTAGAAATCCCCTGGTAAACTGGAAGTTTGTCCCCACACCTAGACCTCCCCTGGTAAACTGAAAGTTTGTCCCTACACCTAGACATCCCCTGGTAAACAGGAAGTTTGTCCCTACACTGAGACATCCCCTGGTAAACTGGAAGTTTGTCCCTACACTTAGACATCCCCTGGTAAACAGGAAGTCTGTCCCTACACCTAGACATCCCCTGGTAAACAGGAAGTCTGTCCCTACACTTAGACATTCCTTAACAGGAAGTCTGTCCCTACACTGAAATATCCCTTGGTAAACAGGAAGTCTGTCCCTACACTGATACATACTCTGGTTAACAGGAAGTCTGTCCTTACACTGAGGCATCCTCTGGTTAACAGGAAGTTTGTCCTTACACTTACACATCCCCTTGTTAACAGGAAGTCTGTCCCTACACTGAGGCATTCTCTGGTTAACAGGAAGTCTGTCCCTACACTTACACATCCCCTGGTAAACAGGAAGTCTGTCCCTACACTGTGACATCCCCTGGAAACCAGGAAGTCTGTTCCTACACTGAGACATCCCCTGGTAAACAGGAATGCTGTCTCTACACTGAGACAGCCTCTTGTTAACAGAAAGTGTGTCCCTACACCTAGACATCCCCTGGTTAACTGGAAGTTTTCCCCTACACTGAGACATCCCCTGGTAAACAGGAATTCTGTCTCTACACTGAGACATCCTCTTGTTAACAGAAAGTTTGTCCCTACACTGAGACATCCCCTGGTAAACTGGAAGTTTGTCCCTACTCTAAGACATCCCCTGGTAAACTGGAAGTCTGTCTCTACACTGAGACATTCCTTGGTAAACTGGAAGTATGTCCCTACACCTAGACATTCCTTAACAGGAAGTCTGTCCCTACACTAAGGCATCCTCTGGTTAACAGGAAGTCTGTCCTTACACTTACACATCCCCTGGTAAACAGGAAGTCTGTCCCTACACTGTGACATCCCCTGGAAACCAGGAAGTCTGTTCCTACACTGAGACATCCCCTGGTAAACAGGAATGCTGTCTCTACACTGAGACAGCCTCTTGTTAACAGAAAGTGTGTCCCTACACCTAGACATCCCCTGGTTAACTGGAAGTTTTCCCCTACACTGAGACATCCCCTGGTAAACAGGAATTCTGTCTCTACACTGAGACATCCTCTTGTTAACAGAAAGTTTGTCCCTACACTGAGACATCCTCTGGTAAACAGGAAGTCTGTCCCTACATTAAGACGTCCCTTAGTAAACAGTACAGGAAGTCTATCCCTACACTGAGACATCCCCCGGTAAACAGGAAGTCTGTCTCTACACTGAGACATCCTCTTGTTAACAGAAAGTTTGTCCCTACGCTGAGACATCCTCTGGTAAACAGGAAGTCTGTCCCTACATTAAGACGTCCCTTAGTAAACGGTACAGGAAGTCTATCCCTACACTGAGACATCCCCCGGTAAACAGGAAGTCTGTCTCTACACTGAGCCATCCTCTTGTTAACAGAATGTATGTCCCTACACTGAGACATCCCCTGGTAAACAGGAATTCTGTCTCTACACTGAGACATCCTCTTGTTAACAGAAAGTTTGTCCCTACACTGAGACATCCCCCGGTAAACAGGAAGTCTGTCTCTACACTGAGACATCCTATTGTTAACAGAATGTATGTCCCTACACTGAGACATCCCCTGGTCAACAGGAAGTCTGTCTCTACAATGAGACATCCTCTTGTTAACAGAATGTATGTCCCTACACTGAGACATCCCCTGGTCAACAGGAAGTCTGTCTCTACACTGAGACATCCTCTTGTTAACAGAATGTTTGTCCCTACACTGAGACATCCCCTGGTAAACAGGAAGTTTGTCCCTACACTGAGACATCCCCTGGTAAACAGGAAGTCTGTCTCTACACTGAGACATCTTCTTGTTAACAGAAAATTTGTCCTTACACTAAGACATCCCCTGGTAAACTGGAAGTCTGTCCCTACACTTAGACATCCCCTGGTAAACTGGAAGTATGTCCCTACACCTAGACATTCCTTAACAGGAAGTCTGTCCCTACACTGAAATATCCCTTGGTAAACAGGAAGTCTGTCCCTACACTGAGGCATCCTTTGGTTAACAGGAAGTCTGTCCTTACACTGAGGCATCCTCTGGTTAACAGGAAGTCTGTCCTTACACTTACACATCCCCTTGTTAACAGGAAGTCTGTCCCTACATTGAGGCATCCTCTGTTTAACAGGAAGTCTGTCTTTACACTTACACTTAGACACCCTCTAATAAACGGGAAGTCTGTCCTTACACTGGAACACCCTCTGATATATTGATATGGTTTTGGGATAGCACATTTATGGCTTTTAACATGCATTGTCAAGTATTGTATAAGTAAGTCTTGTTGTCCAGTGTCCAGATTATCCTCTAAGTATCTACATCCTGCTATCAAAGACTCGGAAGGGTAAAAGTCAAAATGTTGTACACATCCTTGATACACATTAGAATTAAATATACATTTGTAAAAGTGTTTCCTACCAAATATGGATAGATTTCTATCTAGATCTTCTTGATTTCTAGTTTAACATGAAGTGTTTCTTATCTCTTTTCTAAAGGAGAAACTTTCTGTTAGTTGTATGATGTTTGACATTTTCATTGTTTTGACGTCCATTTTTTCTGTTTGTACGTTGCATGAGACATGGACTTTGACCTAGGAGAAGCTTCTCCCGGAACTACTCTTGTTACTGTCCACCAGACCTATCATCCATAGCCTATTGTCCCTGATGGTTGAACTTCCATCTCATAACATAATTGTCACCTTCTTTTTCCTAAGAATTTATAAGCAAAGTTCTTCATCAATAATAAAAGAACCAACATGAAATTTAATCAAAATAACATTGAAAAAGGAGTGAAAATTTGGTGTCTATGAGTGTATGTGTTACACTTTTCCTATCAGATATATATTGCACTAATGTTACAGTCTTGGACAATCAAAGTTTTCAGTCGGAGCCAATTATGACACAATCCAGATTTATTGATTTTACACTAAGTTAGTAACAGAGAAGAATATATTACGTCCCTTAAGTAATGTAAATCAGTGTTAGGGGTCACAGAGGTCACTATCGCTGGATTGGAATAGTGATGGATTCACTGACACTTCGGCCCTCTGTCTTTACATCCTAATTAAAGTGTGTGGTGGGTAAACATAGGACCAACATCCACACCCCACTTGTCAATGACATTGACACTCTCTCCAGTGGGACGGGCTCGGCTCAATGTGCAAAATTGATTGCAGACTCGTGTGCTGTGAATAGATTAAGCCAAGACAGGCACTGCAGTCGAAGTCTGGACAGGAATTTAAGTAGATCAGAATAAAACCTCATTTGGCACTTGATGAGAATAGGACCACCGTCACAACTAGATAAAAATAGGACAATTATCTAAACTAGATGAAAAGGACTTTGTCAAAACTAGATGAAAATTGGAGAGCTGTATCAACTACATACAAATAGGACAAGCAATAAAACAAGATAGAAAACTATAGAAAATACATAAAAAGACAACTGTTAAATAGTTGAAAAGGACAACAATCAAGAGTAATGATAGTACAACCATCAACACTAGGTAAGAATAGGACCACTATAAAAAATAAAAAGGATTATTATCAAAAAATTAATAGGACCACTTTCAAAAATAAATGATAGGCCCACCATCAAAACTGAATAATGGGACCACTATCAAAAATTAATAATTGGACCATTATCAAAAATGAATAGGACCACTATCAAAAATGAATAAGACCACTATCAATACTAAATAATTGGACCACTATCAAATATTAATTGGACCACTATCAATAACAGAAGAAGTAAAAATAAATTGAATCTAATAGTTTAAACAAGGGAATTAAGGATTGCAACTTCAGCAGAAATTTGGTAAAATGAGGAAATCGGAGACAAAATCCTCAAGATATAATTCACACATTTATGTCTATGGACATTTTCTAGATTTATCACTGTTGTGGATTTTTTTAGTCAAAGAAACTAAAGGATTGTCACATCATCAGTTCCTGTGCTTTTGAATTTCTATCTCTCTTGACATTTAAATTAGGCTGATCTCGGCTTTGATGGATTGTGTGAGTCTTCCTAAGCTGACCTACCCACTGAGAGCCTTGTGCAGTTACTCCGTTGATAATTCTGGGAGAACTATTGCTTTCTGTTATATCTAATGTTAAAAACAATTAGCTGCTGTGCAATATAAACTGATCTAATGGAAGAATTTACCCCCAGGACAACCACTCCTTAACCCCCAAACACCTACCTCTTCTAAACCTCAGAACAGCTACACCCCCAGGACACCCACTCCTTAACCCCCAAACCCCTACCTCTTCTAAACCTTGGAACAGCTACACCCCCCGGACAACCACCCCTTAACCCCCAAACACATACCTCGTCTAAACCTCGGAACAGCTACACCCCCACGACAACCCCTCCTTCACCCCCAAACACCTACCTCTTCTAAACCTCCGAACAGCTACACCCCCCGGACAACCACTCCTTAATACCCAAACACATACCTCTTCTAAACCTCAGAACAGCTATACCCCCAGGACAACCACTCCTTCACACCCAAACACCTACCTCTTCTAAACCTCGGAACAGCTACACCCCCAGGACAACCACTCCTTAATACCCAAACACCTACCTCTTCTAAACCTCGGAACAGCTACATCTTTCAAAGTATTATAGAAACGCTAAACTAGCACAACCAGCTAAGTGTTTCGATTTCCAGTAAGGTATGTGCTCTGTCATCAGATGTAAAATATGTACAAGTTAGTAATATAACATCAACATTTTAGTGACAAACTGTAATTCAACATTTGTTGGATGACTCCTTAAAAATATATAAAACAACATAATAAAACAGCAGAAAATATAACCATGTCCATTAATTGTTTACCACTACTGTAAACCCCCACGGTATTTCAGTGAGACCTCGTGATGCTGTGTTCCCACTTCTGTTCCCCCAGTGTAAACATGTTTACTTACTGGATGTTAAAGCAGAGTTTAAATAGATAAGCATTGTCTGTATCAGTCGGTCCAACTATCTCCTAAAGTTAGAAATCGCAAAAATAGCAAGAATGCTTTATTTACGCTCAACATAAAGACCTGTTGATGATTCTTGTCACCGCAGTTTCAAGACTAGATCAAAAAGAATGTTAACACTTTATCTGAATGGTGGCATGTGCTACTTCAATCCACGTTAACCACTTCAAAATGAAGAATTTACAAAAAACATTTTAAAGTGGTGTGCTGTAATGGATCGGTAAGAACATTCCCTAGCGAAAGGCGTGCATTGTGGTAATTAAAACAGTTGATTATTTGCCATTTTGATTTTGAAAGTTTATTTTTTATTACATTTTGAGGTGCTTCCAGGCCTGCCTATGTTTAATGGCCATCTAGTGAATATTAAACCAGGCCCTGCCTTGGCCACAATCAACTCATTCACCCCTAAAGACACATTTGAACTCTTCCAATCCAAAGGTTGGAATAGTTCATTATGAAATTTCAGGGGTGGATGAGTTAATGGCTATCGACACAATAATTAACCAGGCCTGTTTTGACAAAATTTAATGGATCTGATAAAATGTTCTGCTACAATGATAGAAAACATTTCATCTTTGAATGTTCAATAATTGAAAGTGTCCAACTTGTTACCTACGAGTGTTTGAGGACCCTAGGCTAGTGGAAGAGACACATTGATCAAACTATCAGAGTTACTACAGCACTTGTGACAAATAAGATCAAGCAGGCTATATAGATCAACAACAGGAAACTTCACAAGGAAACAGCCATTGTTTGTGTTCTGTACCTGTGAACTTTCAGATAAGTTATCTTGCAAAAGAGAAATTAATTAATCCTAACTTTCGTAAAGAAGGAATGTCATTTGTAATCAGCCTCTTTCATTGGTAAGCAATCTAGTGCTGCTCTAGCTAGTTCACCTAAGTTTCCAATCAGTTGTCTTTCCTGTTCATGGATCAACATTCTCTCTCTAGATGTTCTATTTCTCCCTTATATCTTCTTTCTCTTAGACTATTTCTCCTTTCTCTCTCCAATTTCTAATCTATATTTCACACTTATATATGAATTTCTCTTCGTACATCTTTTTTCCTTTCTGTTCTGCAAGTTTTGCTTCTGCTTTGGTCCGATTTGTACTCCATATTTTATCTGTTCGAGTTCCACATCTGTATGTCCTTCTGTATATCTACATCCATTTGTTGTATCGACATCAGTATAACCTCTGTCATTGCTTTTATTACATAACATGCAATGGGTTCTGTCCCCATGCCAGGACATACCAAAGTCCCTGAAAATAGTTTTTGTTGTTCCCGCATTACGGGTAATTGCAACAACTGGTAACCCATTGTCAGTATAATGTGACAAGAGTGGAATACTATTAGGAGTCCTTCAGCACGGTATTTCAGTGAGGTAGCACTATAAAGTCCGCATCAGATTGGTGTTATACCACAAGGAGGCAATTACACCAACATATCACCACAAGTACACATACAAGCATGCATACCGGTACATTGCACAACATAGTTATGTCCTTAAATGACCTTAGCATTCAAAGGGACATTAAACACTATAAAACCAAACCAAGCCAAAACTATCGTTACATATTCAATGTACATGTATATTTATCCCCTTACCTCTGGAACTGTGTCCTTTATATGTAGATCTGGATTTGATGTTTCTCCGTTACGTACCAGTTCTATCATTCTGTCTCTCTGTGTTGTTGTAGTAATTATCTCATTATAGTGTGGATGTATCACACGGGCACCAAATGTTTAAATTTCATAACCATTACATATATAGAAGCTTGTTTGGAGTGTAGCGTAGATACTGTACTAGGTATCATAGGAGTACAATAACCTTTGTATCGTATACTTAGTGCTTCACTACTGTAACGTGGCCTGGTCCTCCAACACTGTAGCATGTTCTGTTTGTTTTTACTGCCGTGACCGTGTAAGAAATCTTTCCCTTTACTTACCGTAATACAAACAACTTGACCTTTGACCTGACCTCCAGTTGATTTTCAGTGATTGAAGTCTTGATATATTGACCCTGACCTTTGACCTTGCATGAAATTATGTTTGCAGCTGTGATAAATAACCTTGGCCAACAACAAGCCTTCCCCACTGCTACCTCTCCCGCCACCAGCAGTCGTGGTATCCCGCTAGCTAACAGCCCCGGGCCATGCGACCTGTACAGCCAGGATGGTCTCAGCTATATTCAGGCCACCAGCCCCCAGCCATCCAGCTTCGGCCACAACCTTGCTGTGAGTAGGACTTGATTTAATTCCTTCTTTCCTCATTGAGAAATCGTCAAATTACTGATTTTCTATGGGTACTAATGAAACACTTGAATGTCTTTAATATTGTTAAAAGCCAATATCGGCTTTCCTTTATACCAGACTTACTTACTGCAGATAAAACTTTGATGTATTTGATTAATAATCTTTTCTTTTTATCCTTAGTAATCAAACATTGATTAATTGCTGGTGTCACAGAAAACGTTTACATGTCTTTACAAGAGTTATCTTTCTTCCAATACATTTCAATCCCACTTTATGTGTTTCTACAATTTCCAGGGACAGCTGATAGCTACCAATTTCCAGAACGGTTACCATTAAAAACCAAGATGTAATCAATGCAGGTAGGCAAGAAAGAGTTGAACATTATAAATTATTTTAAAGTAATATGAAACGAGTTTTGGGTGAAAAAAATATCTTCAAGATTATTCTTGATATGTTTACATTCCCTAAAAACTAAACAATCATCCTTATTCTTCTCAATAACATCTGTAACATTGATCAAGCTGCACTATTACCAATAAATAAGAACTAAGAGGTTTTTATGATGGGCATACTTACAATTAAAAGACAATGCGTTAATGTTGTATGTTCATTTTAAAACACATTTTGGACGTGGTTTTTGTTGTAGACCAAATAAAAAAAGAAGAAGCTTTCTACCACAGACATGGTTGGAGGAGGAGGCATGGTTGACCTGTCCCAAGGGCGACGCTGTTACCAGCAGCTCCGTTTTATGAGACCATTTTTTATATCTCTATCATGAACTTTTTTGAGTTAATGGAAGGTACACAGATCATGTCTATATTTTATTTGAATTGTCTTACATTATTTTTGTGTTCTAAATTATTCCATGTTTACATTTCATCTCAAAGTTTTTGTGACAAGATAAATAGTGTTTATCACCAACGCCTGTGCATTTTACCGAAGGGCACTTTTTTCTGTTAATTGTTATTAAACGATCACATCGTAATGATATGTATACATTTTAACACGCATATTTATATATATGAAAATTTCATTTTTTTTCTCTTTATTTTTTGCCTTATTAGATTAGAAAATTTTAGCTTCCATCTATTAATGATTTCGCCATCTATTGATTATTTCACCAACTGTGACCTTCCAAACCTCATCTTGTACATTAATCTTGTGTCAGTTATATGTATGATTATGTTTTGAGTTTTTATTTGCTGAATTTTGAGTCATTTTTTCTTATTTTTAATTTGTTAAAACCATGTGATGGGGAATGTACATGGAAAAGACCAATACCGCTGATGGCTGGCGTGTCTGTACATTACGCAGGAAATTAGTAATTTTGTTATAATTGTTTTTAACTTCTGCCTGCCTTTGTACCTTTAAGTTCAGAAGTTGTGTTCATTATGAATTTTAACCAGCAATAAGAGACTTTTAAGTTGATCTACAGCAAGCAGAATGTTTAAACCTGCCATATTCCAACAAAACCACGTTTTTAATCTGACTTTTAGATTTTTAGAATTACGATGGAGTGCTAATTTTAGAGGTGGCCATTTAAGGTTGTTCTAAAATATTATTTTTTAAAGTACGCAAAATGATTTTGAATATATGTTGAATTATTTTTATAATTTTTTTTATTAAAAGATTAACAGTTTATTAATGTAATATCTTAAGTTGAAGCTAGATGTAAGAGGAAGTGAAGTAAGAACATGTGACTAGAGCCGGTCGACGTTAGTTACAGAACACCAAGCTGTTCCGCTGTAGGCCGTGTCATTAACTGAGAACATTGGAGACAAACCTTGTTTTTTGGTTGTGCAGACTTTTAATTTGATGTGCCTGTGTGAAGTTTTCCCAGATTGTGCAAAACTTTGTTAATTAAAATCTGTTAAGTTTAAGTATGGATAACGTAACCTGAAGTCAGGTGGAAACAAACTTGATGTTTTACCGGACGTTCAGTCAGATAGCAATAACAATTTTGTCTCTTTAAATATCATGATCCTGTGATTGTAGTGGTGGTGGCCATAGCAATGGTTGCCGTGGTTACCAACAGATAGAGCCGTTGTACCATAATACCTTCAGTATTACTGATTCATACCTTAGTCATGTATGCTGGGGGAGGACTTATTATTTACTGTTCGAATCATATATACTGGGGGAGGTCTTATTATTTACTGTTAGAGCATGTCAACCACATGAAGGCCATCTGTCTCCTATTTCGGTACCCTGTTGGTAACTGGGCAGTTGCTATGACTACATCTGTTGTGTAGTTACCAGTAATGTTATGTAAGAGTCACACATCACAGACATGTTTATAACAAGGTCGTAATGGCATGTTTTATTTGTAAAAATGATGTACATAGTCTGGTTTGATAAATTTTATGGATTTTTAATAATTCTTTTTTTGGTCATGTATGAAAATTCAAAGTCAATATCTACGGTTAATTTTGCAAGTTTTTAAATAATTATCTGCTGTTGGGTTGAATGATAAAATAACCCTAATATTTGCTTAATTCATTATACATCAACACGAAGAGTTCTTCCTCATGAAATTTGTATGGCATGTTTTTGAAAACCAGTTGAAATGTAAAGCAATATCTTTTTATAAATCTCATGGACCATGTCCTCCACTGATGACTGAGCTAGTCCGTAACAACACATGGATCAACTTTGGTGAGTTTTCATGCAAAAAGTAAAAATGTATTGCCTCAATTCATTTGTTACAAGATTTGAAGGATTCTCAAAAGTGACTACCAGTAGTGTTTTGACGGCCTAGTAGGAAAGAATTGGATCAACAGAAATATGACGGCCTGTTCTGTAGGAAAGAACTGGATTAACAGAAATATGACGGCCTGTTATGTAGAAGATGAATATGATTCATGAGATGTAATATTGTACAGAGGTCAATAGAATGCATGATAAAATTTATAACTTAACATCAGGTGGTACTTAAGATATTTTTGAATTTATTTCAAATATTTATGTATATACTGCTGTTTTATGCTGAATTATTTTGTGTCATGATAATGAACTTTACAAAAAAACTCAATACTTGTTGATTATGTAAAAAGAAATTAAAGAAAATAACCTGTTTTATTATCAATATTTGTTGTGTCAATTACGATTTATGATGCAAAAGTATATAAAATATGAAAAAAATACATATATATGAAAATAAAATAAAAAGTAAAAGAAAGAGAAATTGAAAAAAAAAAAAGAACCAAAATAACAAAGTGTGTTATTACATAAGTTAATTTTATCAAAACCAATACAGCTGTTTTACTATCTCTCACCCCCAACTTGTGCGAGTATTTGGTGTGATTTTCGTGTGAGTATTGTGGTTACGTGAGTGATTGAACTGGTGTAAGTAAGTGGACTTTGTGGTTTGAGATTTGTACCGTAATTGACCCAGCAAACCTGTTGACCCATTCATTTCATTTCGTGTTTAACCATGTCAAGAGTTATGTTCTCCAATATTGATCACGCAAGCATTTGATGCATATTGTTATACGCATAAACTGAGGTTACCATTTGGTGCTCGTCATGATGTATTGATGCTTTTTCTGCTTTATCCAAAAAAAAAGAGGAAGCACTGCTGTCATCCTATCAATGCAGTGTGCTGATCAGGTGAATTACGGTACAAATCACTAGTATTGTATTTTACAGCCTGTCAAACATCCTGGGCTTGTCACCTAAGTGTGACGTCATAGTGACAACTGGAACCACATACTTATAACCAGCTAGTGGCATGCTCCACCAGTTTACATGTACATATGTTTTTATATACTTGATTATTTGTCAAGGAAAAATGATTTGTTTTATTATGATGACGTTGATAAATTGTAATATTTAATAATATCTTGTTGTAGTGGTATACATAAGATCTTATGAAGATATCGTAAGACTTATAAGATTGTGGCCCTTTCGGGGGGTAACTATTTGTAGTAGTATACATATATACATACATACATACTATTATTAAGATATTGTAAGATTTATATTGGGACTCCTTTGGGGGTAACTGTTTGTACAGTGTCCTGTTGATATATCACGATGTTGATTGATTGCCATCGGTTTTAGTCACAAATGTTAAGGTAGTAATACTGTAGTGAATTAGTCTGTAATTAAATCATCTTCATTGTCATTATTGCTCCACACAGCTGTAACTGTCATTAGCTTTTATTACATAGGCAACAGTGTCATGGACAAATAGGAAAGACCATAATACGAAGTACATCTATAATTTTAATTGGCCTAAATACAATTGGTTTTATAATAATGATCTTTCTATAACCATGAAATCTAACTCAAGTAAACCATTGATCTGAATTTGAAAAAAAAATGAATCGATGACAAATTATTGCTGTAGAATTTACCTGATCTTCCTATGTAGATAGTATGGAATAGAGGAAAAGTTCTTCATCTTTTGGCTGAAAGAGTTTTTATTTTTTATTTCTAGATTTGATTCGAGTTGATATGTTACCATGACAGTGTTGCCATGCTTTTATTAATTCTGTCCATATGTTTTGTTCACGGGATATTGACGACCCAGTTAGAAATAAATGTAGATCTATACATTAATCTGGAAATGATGCCATATTGCTGTTTATGGTAAAATCCTGCATTGTCATGTCAAGTTCGTAACAGAAAAATACAAATTTCAGGGTCCAATCTTGTCTCAAAACGCAAGTCGTTTGTGATTTGTGGATTTTTTGTTTCTACTTTTTGTTCGAGTATAGAATAACAAGTTGTTATATATTATGTACATTTCTGTTGCATATTGTGTATTTTTCTCTAAATGTAATTTAAGACTTCCTCATGTAATTGCTGGACAAATTGTGTTACCGCCCTCTGTATATAAGTGTATTTAAACTCTCGACATATATTGCTTGTATGTATGTACCTTAGATGGGGTTCCCATGGGTAAAGTCATTCAAAGATTTACAGGTTCACAGTTCTACGCGTTCAATTACACCGCTGGTTTAGGATTTCCTTATTCCTCATAAGGATGGGTTCTCGCTGATTTTATGTATCGGTAAGCGTTATCATAATGAATTTCTTGTATTGCATTATAACGGGTATAGAACATACAAAAAAGTGATGTAATGATAACGGGTATATAACATACAAAAAAGGGATGTAATGAAATAATCACATTGCGTTTTGATATGCTTCAAATTCTCATCCTGGCAGGTTGCAGGCTAACCAGGGCCCCATGGTTTCTTTGCCTGATATAGAGAAGTCTATTTTTAGGTTTCAGGATGGTCGATGACTACATGACTATGTTTGAAAGTATATTTTTTCTTGTACCTGCACTTATCCTAAAATTTACATTGATAAATATTCAGGGTTATTAAATACTGGGAAAATAACCCATAAAGATTTATGATATTGAAACGGTGAAATATTATCAGATTTTAGCGGGAACCCATCTTTTCATTAAGATGAAAAATGCAGATAAAATATTTTGTTTTGTTTTATAGAGTTGAAATAATATCATTTAATAACATATGAAGTGATGACATTTAATAAAGAGAAGCTTTTTACCAAAACCATTGACCAAATTTTGATCTATGAAGAAAACCCTGTGGTGAGCCCCATAGATCTTCTGGCAGGTGATATCAACGCTGGAGTGGGGAGCTATTGGTTGTATAGTAGTGTGTACATGTGTAGTGGGTAGCATCAACCACATTCCTTCTGTTGCTCTCGAAACCAGCAGTCTGAAATTTTGGAAGGGTTAGATGAAATATGTATTTGTATATATATTTACATAGATATATCGGTGATAGCTTCCTTTCCAGACCTTCAGGGTGATGTTTTTAAAGGATAGTCTAAATTTCAGCTGAAGTACCTTTGGTTGTATTGGTTTCCAAGACTATATAGGTGCATTAGATTCCCAACCCCAATGATACTATATGATTCCCGTCCTAAATGGTTTTATTGAATTCCCAGCCCCTTTGATTATATGGTATTCCAAGTCTACAATACATGGTTGTGTTGAATCCCCATCCCCAATGGTTGTAATGGTTTCCAGACCCAATGGTTGTATTGGTTTCCAGCCCCAATGGTAGTATTGGTTTCCAGCCCCAATGGTTGTATTGGTTTCCAAGTCTATATGGTTGTATTGGACTCCCAGCATATGGTTGTGTTAAGATTCCCAGCTATGGTTGTATTAGATTCCCAGCCTATGATTGTATTAAATCCCCATCCCCAAAGGTTGTATCGGTTTCCAAGCCTAATTGGTTGTATTAAATCCCCATCCCCAAAGGTTGTATCGGTTAACAGCATCAATGGTTGTATTGGTTTCCAAGTCTATATATGCTTGTATCAGATTTCTAACCCTATTAGTTTTATTGGATTCCCAGTTCCTTTGGTTGTGCATTATTTCCCCGTCTCTGTGAATGTTTCAAATTTTCAGACTCGTTGTTTGTTCAAATGTCTGTTTATAATATATCTATATGTAACAGAATGCTGATTGTCTGGGAAGTAGGCCAGCTGGTATATAAATGTTTGTATATATATAGATAAATATGTAGGGAAGGAACAAAAATCCTCATGTTACCTCCATTGTCGGAAGAGTTCCATTTTCAGGCATTTTTTCTGAGGGAGCCGTTTTGAACAAATGGAGTGCTATTCATTGTATTTATAGGGTATCTATTGGACTGAAACTAGTATTACAATTACATTTTTTATTAAGTTATTTATTGAATTTTTATAAGGTTTGCAGGCCTGCATGTTTGCCATGAAACACAAGATCTCAGGGAACATTTTGTGTGTTTTGTCATTGTGAATATAGAATAGGAAAAATCCAGTACTCATATAATCTTTTAACTGTTCAAGTAGGAATAGAGAGAAAAAAACCTGGTAGAGTTATGTATTTAAATGGTGTTTTATACCAATCAGCAGCACTCGTGTAGCATTCTTCAGGTTAAGATGTGAATATCATATATGTTATTTATTGTAGTAAGAAACCTTATTAGTATCCCAGGGTCTTCTTGGTCATGTGGTTTTCTGTAGGGTTCTGTTTGGTTCTCTGTCGATCGTGTCAGTCTTTTCATATTTTTTTTATGTTAGATGGTTTAAATAATACTTTGTTAAACCAGGTAAATTTATAATATCAGATATTGTTTTGGATGTTAAAGCAGGTAAATTTATAATATCAAATGTTGTTTTGGACGAAGTTTAAAACCTGAATCTGAATTTTGTGTTCCGCAAATCAATTTGGAATTCTAGAAAGAAAAAAACGTTTTGACAGTGTTTGTGAAATTGAGAGATCAATGCAGTTCTCGTATAGTGACTAATTATGCAGAAAGATGTAACAATATGGAGTGGTGGCCCATGACCTTGAGATTACTTTGAGGTCAGTAGTGAGTTCCTGTCACACAGGCTCATGTTTGTATCTTGTGTTGCCTATAACCCTTGTTGACCTGTGTAACATCCTCACTTGGAATCAAAAGCTATATCCCTGTATCTGTCGGAGAACAAGTCTTTAGCGTAGTGGTATTGGGTAGGCAGTTTACTTCCCACATCAGAGGCCAACAAATGATTTACTCACTGATTTTGAATGATAAATTTCTTGAGGAAAAACAAGATCAGTACAACTTTCTTGGTTACTTGTGAAATCTTGCGTTACTCATTCAATTTAAAAGGAAAACTACAAATGTCTGGTTTTGATTGGATCAAAAGTTTTTAGGGACCAAATTTAAATGAAAATTTATCAAAACATTTGAAAACATTTGTTGTGTATCCCTCTGACCAACCTGTTATCCTGAAGGTTAACCCTTTCACCACTGTAGACTACAATGGACTCATCCAGATCAATGTATGGGAGAGTCTACTTAAGTAACATAGGGGTGAAAGGGTTAAATAAACTGGTCAAGTCCCCTGTTTTATTGAGACTTGGGTTCACTAGCACATTAAACCATTGTCAGGTTGTAGTCCGTAGTCAAACCTGTTCTAGCTGTGTGAGGTTGTAGTCGTTAGTCCTAACCAGGCATATAATTTATGTTTTTTTTCTTCTGCTATTTCTTACATAATACTAGTTTCAGTCCAAACAAAATAATTTTGATCTCAAAATAGTTAACCAGTAGAAAACCGTAGTGTCAGAAATAGATTTATATAAATAAGATATAAAAAATCTGATATTTATTTCATTCTATCAGTATTTTGTACATTTTCTCTTAAAGATCTGAAATAATTTATGTTTTAGAGTACAACAGACAAACGGTGATATGTTTTTTGTATAAAGATTTACAACAGGTTCAATGGGCCGTGTGTTTTAACTGTTCCTTGATAGTAGCCATATTTAATCGTGTCACCAAATTATAGAGGTCAGAGGTCAACTATTTAAACAGCTTTTTGACCTTCTGACCTTGTGTAGACTGATAGTTTGCTTATAATGCATGTGTTGTCATCTGGCATATTAATGATAGAGAACAAAATTTATTAAAAACAAACGACTATTGTCTTTCAATTTTATAAACCCGTTCATCCGGGATTTAGATACATTTTGTACCTAGCTTTAAAATATGTCTATACAAAGTACATGTTGGTGTATGTAATTGTTATACGTTAACATAAGGGCTCCCCAAAATTTGTGCACTGCTGCGTTTCTACTTGTATTAGATTAGATGGGAAATTTAGAGTAGATGTTTAATTTATAATATTTTGAAGACAAACAAAAAATTAACATTTTAAGGATATTTATGAATAATAATTAATGGCAAATTGTTATTATTTTTATTTTTATTTTAAAAATCTGAAATGTGCCAAAGTTGCAGATTTTTATTTGTTTGTGACCGACTATACGTCACATCTGAACACGAAGTTATATGAAGTTATATGATGGCCGTAGTTTTGTTTAAGACCCGCCCTCATCTCTGTTACCGTGGAAACTGCTACGATAATTGACAGGTGCTGACTCTGTCCACTCTCTATCTCCTATATGCTTAGAATGGTTGGGCCATACATATCAAGTTGACAGTTATTATTACATGTATGTATAATTTGGGAAGCTGTGACCTAAACCTTAATGGGGGGTTTATCTAAGTGAAAGTTTGTGAGTTTGATTGCTGTTATTACTCTAATCTATCGGGCTAACTGTGTCATTCTTGTATAGTGTATTTGTGAACGTTCCTTTGAATTAAAAGGTATATTCAGAAAAAAATGTGTCTTGCTTATTTGTAATAGAGAAAACAGTGCTGCTGAATAGACAAGATTGGTCTGTTTGTGTGATTTTAGCTAAGGCGTTAGCCGCAAGCTATTGGTATTACTAAAGTTAATGAGCTCAAGATATTCATCAATGTCGTTTTCACACATAAGCCGCTCTAGTGGTACCCACTGGTACTAAATTGAATCATAAACCGGACCTACTGTCTTTATTATGCGTAACTTTGGACTCGAATGCACTTGAATGGCTTGTAAATATCATTCCTTTCCTTGGTAGAACCTATGATTTTATCACAACGTCGTATTCTTCTTGAAAATGCACCCTGTTTTTCGCAATCGAGAACTGCCACTTGACTGTAGGTCATGCATGCTACACGCAACTTCGGGGTAAAATACTTCAGTTAATGAGCTCAGATATTCATTAACGAGACAAACGTCACAAGATATAATAAGCTTTATTTAGAGTCGCATACATATCAACATGGAAACATTAGCTCTTGAGAGCTATTATTGCAACAAACACAAGTATATAAAATAACAATAACATAATGTAATAGTACTAGTAGCAATGAGTTAATATAAATAGCATAGCAGACAATTTTTGAAATATAACATCTGTATATGTGGGAGAGACGGAGCGTACACTTAAGGAAAGGATAAAGGAACATGTGGCGGACATCCGGCTGAAAAGAGATAAACCGGTGGCATATCACTTTCTTGGAGGAGGTCATTCGATATCGGACATGCGGGTGTGCGTACTGGAAAGGGTTAAGGAGGAATCCAAAGTAGCAAGGCTTGTGATTGAGCTATTTTGGATTAACAAACTCAACACTGCTTTCCCCAATGGTATCAATACCAAGTGATGATGATGACGTCACAATTTGTGAGGTCATGTTTTGATGACGTCATTGTGTTGTGTTGACGTCATGGTAACAGTGTTATGACGTCATCAACGTCATAGTTACTCAACATGTTTGTCAAGATGGATGTGACATAGAGGTCCAGTGACATTTAATCCCTGACGAAGGGCTAAGCCCGAAAGCTTGGAAAAGAGTGACTTACACGTTCATTAATAGTAACATAAGTAGTAAAATTTGATTCAATACATAAAACATTTTATTAATCCGAGCAATTTATATCGGTCTATTTACCTAAAAATGCTAAACCTGATTTTAACACTGAAATGGTTAAAAGTCAGTCAGCAGAGGTGCGACAGATTGAACAGCTACAGCTAGATGGGTCCACTCCAGGTGTGGATCATTCTCCTGAAACCCGGAAAGTTGTTCACCTTCCAGAACTCATTTTGGAGAGTGTTCCACACCCTAGTAGCCTCAAATGTGAAAGATTTTTGTCCAAACTTTACTGTTCTAACCCTAGGCACCGCTGCTGAATTCTCCTGTCTTAGTTTTATAATTTGAAGACTTAAGTTTTATAAGATCATGGATGCAATCAGGAGAAAGTTTGTTCAGAATTTTAAAAACTTCACATCCCATTTCCTTAAGTCTTCTTACATGTAAACAATCTGCATTTGACAATATTAAAAGTTCAGTAAAAGAGGAGACATCGTAAAACTAAACACTCCTCCCACTGGTGAAATAATAATGATAATAATAATTATTCAGGTAAAAATAGGCGTATTACAGTATAAAATATCACAGAGTAGAGTAAAGAACAATATACCAAACTAGAGGGCAGTAATTAAAATTTGAGACAGTAAAAGAGTTGTATATCTCACTTCTACCTTGTTTCGTCAAAAAAATGCCTAAGCACTTCAGAACAGCTAGTTTTCGTGAGGCTTTTTTACATAGTTCGGAGACGTGAAATTCAAAATTTAACATGGAGTCAAAATGTACTCCGAGGAGTTTAACTACAGCTTCTGGCTCAATGTTTACATTTCCAATATTAAAAGTTATATTTATTATTTGTTATAAACATTGTATTATTAGATTCATTGTGATGTTGGCTGTCATTGAAGTTTTAATTGTTATACTACTTGATGTTTTGGAAACTTAAAAAAGTATAGTAGTTCTAAATATTATGAAATGACAGACACATTAGGCCAAAACAATTACTTTTGTTTCTACTATCATCTGCAGAAAAAATAGGGAAGGTAGGTATTAGCACGGACTTAGATAACAGGGATTGGCAACACCACTCTCGTCTAGCGTATGTATTGTCCACCTCTTGTATTTGTGCACCGAACCGTGACGACTTGTAACCCCATGCTGAAGCCAATTTACCTGTACTGCGCTTGCGTGTGACCTAACAGACAAGTTTCCGGTATCGATAACCACGTTGTTTACCTAGGTGATGAGAGACCGAGAATGTGACACTGATTTGACAGATCAGTACACAGTGTAACAACCATGACTAAAACAATAGAAAACGAATGCATACACGTGATGATGCCGCAAGCATATCTGTTCATGTCAAGCAGCATCAGGTAAGTATCTGATCGGATGATACATCATTGTCAAATATGACTGACTTTTTATCCCGTGAAAGTTATTTAGATTTAGACTTTTTAATGAAAGAATTTACTGACAATGAACGTAAAACTTAATATTTCGGAGGTGATAAAAGACGTCTTTGGATATAGGCAGCTAGCTATATTTCGAGGGCATACACAGCACGCTAGAAGCACAGGGGTTCGTTACAAATGTCTAATACACATGTACATATACTATACTGATATAGGTCACAGCACATGTATGTTTATGAAGACCGTGACCTATATCAGTATCAAAACGGTATGTGTATTTTGTAACGAAACCCCTGTGGGGGAAGTGACTTAAAGGGTTAACTTTTAACAATAACTTTGTCCTATTACCTCATTTTAAATTTAAACCATTTATAAGAAAAATACAGAAACATCAGCTGACCTTTTGCCTTTGCGTGTTATTCTCGAAATTTTGAGATAGGTCATTCAATATATGTACCTAAACAATAGAACACTTTTATAAGTTTATATTTCTAGGCAACAATCAAAGGCATTTTTCAAACCTGAATTCATCCATCTTGGCTCCACGTACATGTATATCCTTTGTCTTCATTGATATAGTTTATACAGAAATATATTCACGATTTCTGCGACATGATTTTAGTTAAACATCACAGCAAGTTACATGACAGCCCGGAGCTAATTTTAATGAATTCATTGAATTAAATGTCAATCATTAGCAAGTATATGTATATCATATACATATTTTGGTGCAACTTATTCGAAATTACTCCACATGGTGCATTTTCCCAGCTCCTTTTTTTTTTTTATGTATTCTGCGTTAAAAAATGTGACATAAACTTTTGTCCCAGCACTATGAACCAGGCTTAAAATAAAAATGTTTGTCTGAACCAGACTTTACCAAAAATGGACAAAATAGTTCATTGAAATTTTGAATTTCATTTAATCATGTTTCAATTCAGCATTTTGTCAATATTTAATGACTATTGAGAAATGATTGACTCCATAAAATGAGCATTGATTCTGCGAAAGGACATGTCTATTTGATATTTAATGTCTTTGCTGTAACCAAAATATTACACATTGTAGTATAATTTTTCTGGTTCCAGAAACTATATAGCAAGTCCAAGGTATTCAAATAATTAGGCACCAGTATGATTTAAATTTGAATTCCATCTTTTTCAGCTAACCAAAATGAAACTTGCTGTTCCAGGGACAGCTCCAGCACCAGTGTTCCTGTTGACAGCACCACTAGCTCAGATCTGTTGTTCTTCAGGTACCAAGCCCACTCGTTAAAGCTATTATGCTGTCAGCAACAATTTTCAGCATCACTTAAATCATTAATATATTCCTAAAAGATTGATTATATTCAACTTCTTTGAAAGAAGTGCTTAAGCTTTTTGTGACTTTACTCCAAAGAACTCTTGTTTGGTAACTTTTTATTTTTGTGTTTTGTGCCCTGAAGTAAGTGACTGGATGTTTTTTCATGACTTTCCATGCACACATTAAATGTACATTGTACTTATTGTGTGTTTACAACTGAATAAAAACTTGAAAATGAAAATATAACTGTTTTTTATTACTCACAGGTGACATATATGTAACAAGCATGAGTGGTGATATACAAATTCTTTTATAATTCAATGTTAACTCTGATAAAAATGAACTGCATGGTTATTTGATTTAAAAAATCATTCTTCTGGTGTGGAATTTTGTATTAAACTTGTAAGGCTTTGAAGCATATTAATTTGCATACATCCGATGAAACACTCTTCTGCTGTTGATTTGTGTTAAGGTTTCTTCTTCTTTGGCATGCTGAAATTAGAAAAGATACATCAATCAAGTCAGATGGACAAAATCCATGTCAAATTTGGGAATCAAACCACAGCTGTCCTGTTCAATATCTGCCAATAGGCTGGTATATTTTGATTTGAAAATGTCCACCCTGTGTGGAAGTGGGATGTACCATGTAACATCTAGTTATATGTACATGATAATATACCAGATTGTAGTTATATAAACAAATTATTACATAGTTATGATCAATTACCGAGAATTACATGCATTCATGAACCCACCCGCGATCGGTAATCTAAGGCAAAATGGCGGCCATTATTAAAATACACTGATTAGCAACTGATTTCAAAATACAAATACTACAAAATCAGAGATATAGGTTCACTTAAAAAACACCCGAAGCAATAGAAAACATAAATAAACAATTTGGTTTAGTCCGTATGTCAAAATAATCTATTTATTAGCAAGTTTAGTAGATCTCGATGGAGGGTAAAATGCAAGACGATGAAGGAAATGAAATCACACGCTTTTGCATCACGATGAATTTTGGTCTTTATTCAGAGCCTTAAAAATACACTTTCTAGATCGTCAGTGCGATCGAAATCGTTTTGTGTACATGATAATATACCAGATTGTAGTTATGTAAACAAATTATTACATAGTTATGATCAATTACCGAGAATTACATGCATTCATGAACCCACCCGCGATCAGTAATCTAAGGCAAAATGGCGGCAATTATTAAAATACAACTGATTAGCAACTGATTTCAAAATACAAATACTACAAAATCAGAGATATTGGTTCACTTAAAAAACACCCGAAGCAATAGAAAACATATAAATAAACAATTTGGTTTAGTCCGTATGTCAAAATAATCTATTTATTAGCAAGTAAAGTAGATCTCGATGGCGGGGGTGAAGCCATAAAATAATTCAAGTTGGCAACGCTGTATGTTTACTATAAACTTTCGCATTCTGCGACATTTCTCTGGTATTCGACAAAACAAACATAATCATATTTAAACATAAGTTTAGCAAAGATCACTTACTTTGAACTCCGGACAATGTAACGGTAGTGATAGCCCAAAATATGTTACTTCTGAACGGCAATCAATTTCTTCGATGTTTGAAGCGGCGGGTTTTTTCCCCGAATCACGTAAATTCTCATGCTTTCTCGTAGTTTCTCGCAACATCAAGTGCACGGCACATATTTCCTATGCCGAAGAGGCAGTTGCCTTTCCCTCTATTCTAATTCCGTGGTATTAGCTTGGCGTTTTATTTTTAAGTTGAAAAATATCTTTACTGCGCTTATACAGAGCAGGAGTTCTGACTTTAACAGGCATATAAAAACTTAAGGGTATTGTGTAGACACACAAATCTAAGATAAGTCAGGTTAGCCACAGGTGCTGGACACACCAATAAGTAATGTTTGTATAATATATTATAGTTTATACACATCATAATACTATTAGTGTGTCCAGTATCTGTGGGGTTAGCAGAAACACAGTATTTATTTTAATTGGCCTTATTTAATGATAGTTAATAGGTAACACAGGGTTCGGTTTCAAATTCGGAAACTAGACCTGTTAAAACAGTTATCATTTATAATTTTAGAGATTAATAGAATCTCTCATTCCCTTGTGGGTGAGATAGTTGAATCTCAACCCGAGGGGGAAGATTCTTAAGTTAACTTTAGAATATTTTCCCGAGGGTTGAGATTCCCCTATCTCATCCACAAGGGGGTGAATGATTCTTTTTCTCTTACCCTGTTCATCCATTGTGTATCATATACAAAATGTAATGTTAAAGTTACAGGCTAAATTCAGGGTTGACGTGACGTTGATGGATTGTTGACGTGACGTCATTGTATTATTGAAGTGACATCATACCATTGTTATGAATAGGGGAATTCCCCCGTCTCAACCCTAGGGTGAGACGAGGAAATCTCACACAGGTAAAAATGCGGATGCACCTGTCCAGGGTAAGAGAAAAAATAGATCTTAGAAAAAAATCGAAATATAATTATTTTTCAACCTTTTCTGAGTTGTACAATTTTAAAGTATCTTCTGTCTGAAATCTGAACATAACTGGGGTAAAGTTTTTCTATATAGTCCCAAAAACTACAGATACAATCTTTAAGCACTTACAAGATACACACATATTTAATTTACGTCAATTTTGCAAAACATACAACATAAGCTACAAAGAGCTTGTATTTCGACAAAACATGAGTATAATAACAGAGACCAAAATATTACAACATGAAAAAAAGCAAAAAACATAGATGTACTATACTGTAAGCACAGAAAAATCATTTTGCACACAATCGGCACATTGCACACGGTAAGCAAATCAGCACATGGTAATTTAAGCACATTTAGAACATTTGCAAACAGCACAATAAAACAAAACCATCACATGGAAAGATTATTAGCACAAATTAGGCACATTTGCACACTGTAAGCAAAACAAAGGAGTGCAATAGACATCTCCATGTTTCCTGGTTAATTTCTTCTTTCTGGAAACAACTGTGGTTCAAGAAAATATTTCCTTCTTCTGTTTCAACTTTATCAGGCTTTTCAATTCAAAGGCTAATAGATAGATAATTTTGTTTTGTTTTTACCATTACCTTTTTATGTACACATTTTACCATCTAAGAAATTAGTTCAGGTGTCTTAAGCCCCCATGAGATGTGCTGTTATAAGTTGACTTTTATGTACATTTTGTTTATATTTAGTTCTGCTACCAAAGAGATTGACTTATTGAAATGTTTGTGAAACATTTTAATAAACCCCTCAGCTTTAATGCCTTATTTCTCACTATACAAGTTCATGCCTCCTATTTGTTTAAATATTTATGGGAGAAAGTTGGATGAGAAATAGGAACTGAACCCACTCTCTCATACATTTGAGGACTTCATGAACTTTTTCTTTTTCAAAAGGCTGCAAGAACTGTACCAACAGTGACATGACATTTTTAAGTCTATCAGTTACCGTATAGAGGAGGAACCTCTGACTAAATCATTTTCTCTCAGACACATGACAGCCGATCGTGCGAGTCCACAGATCCTTCCATCAGCGAATAGTTCAAATGCTTTCCTCGCAAACTTTTCCTTAATGGAGAAGTCAGTGATCTTTACTTGGGACAGATTGAATCTGTGAATATTGATGCTGAAAGCCTGATGAATGTGATTGAACAGCCCCTACTTGATGCTGAAAGCCTGATGAATGTGATTGAACAGCCCCTACTGACTAAAGGCACACATGTTGGAAACTACGTTTGTTTTGATCAATTGAATACTATGGGTGCTGGGCTCAAATTGGAAAAACATTAAAAATGTGTTTTTAAAGATAGAAATACTGGTCATGGCTCCCTACTAGTTTTTGTCCAGTGAATTAACAGTCAACGCAAATGTTAAGCAGTGAAGGAAATGTAAGATCCCTGGTAAACATTGTACTTTATAATGTTTATGATCAATATCAATAAAATAAAATAAAATAATAATATGTATATTGATGTTTGTTAATTTCGCTCGATTTTACCGTGTCCAACATTTGATATTAAATCTTGTGTGATATATGAGAGGAATCACACACAAGATTGTATCTTGGCTATGTCAATGAAAGCAATTATTTCTTAAGTTTTCAATCATATTTCTTGAAACTTCATTTCTAAATGTCATCCATCAATTGTTCAAGACGGGTTTAAGGTCAAGTTCATACACTCAAGGTGAAGGCTACAGCTTTCCTAAGTATTCAAACCAAATTTTATAAAACTTGCTCCATCATTCTGAACATTCCATCACCTGTTTGCATATACACATGCAACCTCAACTTTCAATAAGTCTTGTTGTCAACATTTGTTGCACAATTCTATCAGTTCTGAAACCAACAATAATGACAACTGTAGTAACATAGTATGTGCTCTAGCTGGTAAATTCGCAGTACTCTTATAAAATATATTTGAAATTAATATGTGCATCTTATTTCAAATTCTAGCCTATGAAGATGATAAAGCTTAACATATGCTATAAAGTTTTTTTTTTTTTGTGAAGAATATATGCAAAGGAAATAGAGGGAAAATAATGTATCTCTCATAATCTTGTGTGTGTGTAGGCATGCATTTTTATATTTTGTTTATCTTATTCAATATTGAAAAATACAACAATGTATCGTATTGTATTAGAGTGCTTTTTATCTTATTTGTTCCTAGGAACACAGACGCAAAATAATTCCATTTTTCATAAGAAGAGACCTTTTCACTGCAGTGAATATATAAAACACTGTATTTAAAAGCTTTTCAAAATTATTGAGAGACTTGTAAAGATATGGGTAGCAGTCATCCACTTGTCTGTCCACAATATTTAGTTTCAGCAAGTTAACATCCTTATATATTGTTCTGTAACAATATTCACCGACTGATGCAAAATTGAAATTTATACAAAATTCACACGTATTAAAAAGCATGCATACCCTAGTCAATGTCCACACTTTACAAGATAACTTGCTTGAATACTTATTGATCAATATACAAACTTAGACGATAAGTTCAAAGTTGAGTGAAATCCATGCATAATTAATAAGCATACTGTATGTACTCTGATTGGTCAATGGTTTTTGCCAAGTATCTTTGTCAGATAAGGCAAGATTCTGAAGAAACTTGGTTGATATCCTATTCAACAAGAAAGGCAAAGTTCAAAGATGAACACAATCTGTGCATAATATATTTAATGGTTTAAGATATGCCAGTTTCAGTTTTTAATGTTTGAAACATGGACAAAGGGAAACAATTCCTAATTCCTATGCAAATGCATTATCTAAAGGTCTAAAATGATATATTCTAGAGGAAACCTGGTACCCCTCTTCTGACAAACCTATAAAGATATACTGTACACACAAGAAGAATAACTTCACAGTGGTACACTTTAACATAAAACTATGATTCATAACAAATTAACAATAAATCCTTCTGTACAATATGATGGGAACTTCGTCTTTATTTTGTTCTCCATTCTAAAAATCTTTATTTTGTTCTCCATTCCAAAAATAATATATATATATACCTTTTTGCCTTAGCTTTCAGTACTTTCAGTACTTTGATTAAGTCTTATTAACGGCTACGGCATTTACGGACGTACTAGGTTTTTGTGGTGGAGGAAGTCAGAGAACCCGGAGCAAAATAACCAACCTCTGGCAAGTACCTGATGGCTGCCCCACGTACATGAAGGCCTTGAACATGCGACCCAGCGATGGAGGGCTAGTGGTTGAAGACGGTCAGAAGCATGAACCACTAAGCCCCGAATAGATAAGACAGGACTTCTTAGTTACCGAATAAGAAGGAACACTTGTTGAATAGGAAGGAACAGTATTACTTAAAAAAAAGTAGTCTTGTTGAACATTCAACGACTTGCATGTTGTTATCCTGCTACTTCCAAAATAAATAGACAAATGATTTATTGAATATGTTGGAGTCAAATCACTGTGTTCAGACATCTCGGACACGTATGCACCGTTATCTTACTGGTGACGTCATGGAAAAGATGTCTAACAGTGTCAACATAAGGTGTATTAACACTGTCGAGGGCATTACTTTTATCAAAGATAATAACGCCGTCAGAACTAAAAAAACATTATACACAAAGTACTGTGGAACAGCCTTATTCACTCTTTGTTCTGTGAAGGACTTGGTCCCAGATGTATCGTGAAGGTCTCATGACCATCGCTGAAATGTGATGCACTCTTGTTCTCCGACGTCTCATGAAAAACTCGTGAAAAAAAGTCAGTGTAATAAGTGTATAACGCATGTTTAATGTCCGATCTTATTTATTTGATTTCTCTTTATACGTTTTCATTGCTCGGTGACTCCGATAGGATAAACCATTCTAGGCTAGATCACTCATAAGGAAGCCGGCCAAACACCTAAAGGAAATACGAATATCGGGGTTAATGTTACTTATTGTACGGATGAGAAGTTCGGTAATAAATGCAAATTTTACAGTCACAGAGTAAGAGAGAAATATATATACGATTGGCAACAAAAAAGGACAAAATGGAAATATCAGTACGGGCAAAAGAAGAAACTATGCATACGTCAAAAGAAATTGGTCAACAATATGAAACTCAACGAGAGTGATGGCCTAACCAGATATCTCATGAAAGGCCTGGGCTAATGGTTAACTTCTAGATTAAATAATTCGTCTTAATACTGAGCAAATACCCAAAGGTACCGACCAGTTTTCTGGCCCACCATCATCAGACGTTGAAAATTTAATCGGGGGAAAAAGAGCTGAACTGATAACGAATTACTACTTGTGGTTGTCGAGTTTGTAAATGATAATAAGTAAATGTAATGCTTACGTAAGCCATCATGGTGGTAAACTCGGCCTTACTGATCTGCGTGTCAGCTGGTAAAACAAAAACATTAATAATTAAAAGCTGCTGGAACAGGAAGAGGCGTGTATATTTGACGTCTATGTGTGTAATCATGTAATCGAAGAACTGGATTTAAACAGGCAACACAGCATTAGTTGATGTACCAATAATTTCTCGTGTACCTTCGGTATAGGTTTTCTATATCAGTCTAGTCTTGCATTATGACTAGCTATATAAACATTGAATTTTTGCTTTGGGAACATAAACGAGTCTGATAATGCTTGCAGCTCCACAAAACATGGCTGCTATAGGTAAAGTAGAAAGATGAACCACAACGTCAACACAGGGGTAATTATACCACAGCCTCAACAAACAGGTACAAAGTACACCACAGTGTCAACACACAGGGATAAATATACCACAGCCTCAACAAACAGGTACACAATGCACCACAGTGTCAATGCACAAGTACAAAATATGACACAGCTTCAACAAACAAGAGCAAAATATATTACAGCGTCAACACAAAAAACAAAATATACCACGACGTCAATGTTTTGAAAAAAATGACAAGCATGGCCAACACTGAGATATCAGGTACCAATGATGACTGTAAAACTTCGCAAACGTAGATGAACTCTCTCAGATAGAAAAACCTGCTAAGTGCGTCATTTATCAATCGCAATATCACCACACAGGTACAAAAACGATGCCCTATATTAAACAAGGACTAAATAATACCCAACATTTACAATACAATGTTCGTGCTCCAACACAGGTTATGTTCACAAACTCATTTTCTAGTAACTCACATAAATCTTATGACGGACTCGAACAATAAACACTCAACATGAGAATTGTCACAACTTACAAGCACAGAATGAATTAAAATTCTGAACTTTGGCATTTTTTCGATTGAACTAGGTTTTGAGATTGAGCTTTAAAATGAGCCGAAGCATAAGCCAAAACAACAGGATCCAAGCCAACCCATACTAACAGGAACCGAGGATACATGAACGGGAACTAAGGAGACAAGAAACCAACAGAAACCAGGGAACAACAAACAACAACTAAGGAGAAGCTTTAATAACAGAAGCCCTGGAGACGCTCAAGCAACAGGAACAACTGGGATGCTAAAGCAACAGGAATAAGGAAGACGCTTAAACAACAATAATCAATGGGATAATACAATAACAGTGGAGACGCTTAAAAGTTTAGAACCAAAGGGATGTTCAAATAACAGGAACCAAGTAGACGCTGAAACAACATAAACTAATGAGACGTTAAAACACCAGGAACTAATGGGATGCTAAATCAACCGGAATAAAGGAGACGCTAAAACAGTAGAAACTAAGGGAAGCTAAAACAATAAGAACCAGGAAGACGTTAACACAACAGGAAACAAAGGGACGCTAAAACAGGAACTAGGCATTGACAAAATAAACTTTGTTTATTGTTCTGGTTATAAATTAATAAACAAAGCTAATTTTGTCAATCATTTGGAAAAAAACATTAGAGACTAAATGCCAAGTACTGTTATCAATGTTTTCATTTGACATTGTGATCGCTTGACATGATTTAAGCGGGTTACTTTGTACAAGAAAGTTGGGTTGAGCACAGAATCCATGCTTGAGCATGAGAACGGTTTCATGAATACGGACACGGGAATCAAGGAGACCCTAAAACAACAGGAACCAAAGGGATACTACAACAACAGCAACCAAAGAGATGCTAAAACAACAGGAACAAGGAAGATTGCCAAACATACAAGGACCAAGGAGACACGAATGTGTTGTCCACATAGCTCGATAAATGCATATAGAAGCTGTACAATCACTGCTCACCGTTAAGGTCCATGTGATTGAAGAGCCTGTGAAGGTCACTTTCAGTAAGCGTGCCGTCTCCGTCAAGATCGAAGTGTTGGAATACGAGCTGCGTGAAGTCTTTATGTTCATGGTAACTGTGGCTCCACTGATGTATAAACTCGGTCTCGCTCACGGTATGTTGACCTGGTTAGGGTTCAAAAACCAGAGTTAAGTGAAGTGCATGTATGGTGAGATAGACTATTGGTATAACGGTAGGATGTACTGTGATATAGTATACTCTACAGAATGTGTATAAGGAGTAGTATCATGTACAGGTATGTTGGCATTTATAACCTGTTTAGGATAAATACACTTATAGTATGTACAAATGTACTATGCATTATATTTCTTTAAAAAGATAATAATTTGTTCTAAAAAGGGAAAAGTAATATTTGTTTTATATAAAACAATTATCGTAATCTTATTCATGCAACGTAATGTAGAAGTATTTACATAGAAGTATTTACTTATCAATTGCAAACGATTTTCGATATAATTACAATAATTACAAGTTGCCAATTAGGCAAATTATAATAAGTCACGATCGGCCATATTATCTCGGTCTCCATTCATTTAATTGTCACATTGAATTTCTTAACATGGCGTGAACATTGTTTCTAAAACAGGTTTAAACCAATTAAAACAAAGAGTACCGTTTAGTTAAAATATATTATTAAGCAACATGTATATCACTATCATGAATTAATTGTCTAAGTCCTTTTCTACAGAGGTATACCATATAAATCACATATCGGGAATCGGGGTGCAGTTTTGATTAACAATTGCTCCAAATTTGTGTATTTGGAAACAAATATAAGCATAAAATCTGGGCCTGTCTATCGCCACTCCATTGTGTTGCTTCATCTTATATTTCAGGATGCCCGTACCATTACCCAGAATTGAAGATTGATTTTACAGCATGACTTTTGCTTTAATAAAAACAATTGTAAAGAAAAGCATACCTTGTGGGACTATTAGATAGATACCTAATAAAAAAAATGAAATAAACAAAATATAAAACAACAAGTGTTTTGAGTGTAACACTTGAGCGGGGAGAGACCTGGGTTCGAGCTTTGGGTCACCTCAGATTGTAATACTCGTACCGCTCTAACCGACGGAGCTACCTGGTCAACGGAAGTGGCCTGACCAAACTGTTCTACAGTTATATCCAAACGGACGTTGAATGAAGATTACTGTATATAGAAAAAAACACAGTGCAGACGGCCAAGAGTGAATTCCTGTCCACCTGCACTGTAGTTTTCGCATCCATGGTAATTATCCCTTAATCCCAATTTGGATTTAATTGCAGCAAAGTACGGCCATACCACTTCCGTTGACAAAATAGCTTAGGTGGTTAGATCGACGGTATTTCATTTTGTGGTCAAGGGTTCGAATCCTGTTCTAAACCAGCCGATTGTTTACACTCAAAACACTGTTGATGATAAGGTTTGTTTATTTCACCTTTACTATTTGTCATAACATTCCCGCATGGCTCTCGTCCCAGAATTTTTTTTTTTGTCAAAGCTAGACTCATGCCGGATAAAACAGATTCTGATGCGTGGTTAGTCTGGTGCAGGAACCCTTAAAAGCTAGAACAACACAAGTTGATAAACCACTCGAAAGAAGAATTTCTCTTCACAATAAAATTATTCAGTAGTACCCTTTACCATACCTTTTAAATAACGTAAACAAAGTACAAAAAACAGCCTACCGTCACGATCGAAGTTGTCGATGAACTCCCTCAAGAACTCCGGTTCACTAAGTTCACTGTCATCGTTGATGTCGGCATTGATCCAGAGGCGATCCACAATGTCCGTGATCAATGTCCCCCCGCCTAGGTTGTGGTTATGGTGGGTGGCACTGACGTAATATAATACATCGGATATATAGACTTTAATTTACAACGATGACATTACTTAGAAGACGTTAAGAGAGTTACACTGAAGAGAAAACCACAAGGATGCATTCTAGCGACCGATAACTATTGACTAAGATTAACACGAGACATGCGCAGGCGATAACACCTTTAAAATTTGGTAAAAGATGCAGCAAGACAAAGATAAACTACACTGCCTAGTACGACTGTTTCGTCTTTGAAGGACTCTTCGGTGTTTCCAGGAACCGAAAAGAGTCCAAATTGGTCCACACGGTTGTTAAATAGAAGGGCTGGTGCATAAAACCGTTTAATTTTATGGATATAAAAGGTGAAAAACAATAACCAGCCTTTTAAATATAAAGCAATTCGATAAAAAAAGGCCAAAATTAGACATTTACAATACCATATGACCGTCCCGTCCATTAAGAACGTATCAGTGGGACTAAAAGTCAAATGAATAAATACAACCTTAGTGGAAGTGGAAAGGTGTTTATAAAACTATGAACGATACAAGTTTACAGCGTTTGGCTACAGCAGGTAATTTAATGTATCATAGTATGTCACGTAAACCGTGTTGGAAAAAATAGCTTATAGGTTATAGATAACCTAAGGGAGTGATACTAAACCACCTGTGTCAACTATCCTGTGACGTGAAATGATCGCTAGATATACGAAGTACAGTACGGAGGAAATGCGTTAAATATTTTTAGAAAGACGATCCAGAAAGACATGCTAAACATTTACAACACAACACGTACAGCTGTTTAATCCATGTTAAACTCATCGGTGGTACGTTACATGTGAACAAAATGAGAATACACTTGTCTAAAGTGTTCCAAAACATACGTAGCAATGTCGCTAAAGTAGAGAGTTGCCTTCGTAAATTTACACATTATTTGTTCCCAAATACATATGTAATGATAAATAAAAAGGGAAATGCGTATGAAACCCTTTATAGATTAAAAATATAATATACTATAACCAGTGTTTGATGTAATCTTGTCAGAATAAATTCCAGCCTTGTGGCTATGGTCGACTTCGAAAACTGATAGTCTACCAGCAGAATCGACCAACCCATATCGTAAAATATTCAAGAAGAAGAAAAAGTCAGGAACCCGTTCGAACAACCATGAGATAAATCAGGACAATTTCATGAACTGCATTAATATATTATACCATAGAGGTCGCGACTAGATGGTGGATATACCCATTAATGTATTGTACCATAGAGGTCACGACTAGATGGTGGATATACCCATTTAGTTTAAAGTTGTGCTTTCTGGTAATTACCGATTGGTTGTTTTCGTGCACTGTTTTCCCAAAGTTGCTCTGGGTATCGATTCAACAAATTCATGAAAACACGTTCGAATTTTCATTACAAGGTTTTGACCATTTGCCCAAACGAATAAAGAGAACCTTCCGGAATATTGAATGAAAGTCAAGCTCACCTTAGCGCCAGCCCGAGGAAAAGTGACAATAAGTACACTCTTTGTGTGTACATTTTGATAGTATGATTCAGAATATTTTCCAATAAAAAACTCCTATCAGCGTGACGATCCTGTGACTGCTAAGGTAGAGACTGATAGACCCATGTAACGAGTAGATAGATAAGGACGACCAGGTGGACAGTTACTTAGGATCTCAGTGTCCTAGCGGACCTGTACTGAACGTACTGACATTTATTTTATCGATAAAATATTGTACAAGTCGCAATCAAAAACAGACATCGTGCAACATATGTCTAAAACATTATACAATGTCAGTGGCACTAACAGGATGTTTTTAAGTATTGCATCACATAGAATGTCGCACTAGTGAGCATACATAAATTTGAACGTTGAATTTCAGTTGAATGTCAATTGTCGTATTTCTTATAGTTGATGAAAATATTTTCTATCTTCGCTCATGGCCGTTATATATCTTTCGTGCTTGAAATACTGATTATTAGGCTATATATACACCACGCCATTCGAGAACGGCACGTCCCTAAATGACCGCAGCTGTTTATCGGACACCAAACCCAATAGAACCAAAGAGAGCAATATACCAATGCCTTACAAATTCTCATCTACGAAAAAACGCGAGTTCTTTGGTTTGAACGAATTTTCCCTGCGTATTTTCAAAGGTAGATTTTGCATACCGCAAAAGTGATAAATGCAATATTGCATAAAAATCGTTGCATGCCCCTCAGTCTCCCCACTTCTCGATAAAACAAAAATGGATATGCATAATTCGATTTTTGATTTCCAAAATATTTTCGTTGTAAATGCAAAAAAAACCCACCTCCCAATAATAAGTATGAATAATTATCTCCTTGCTACGCAACATTCGGTTTTACACTACAAATGTCGATTTTTAGGTACTCCTATCTGTACAATTATTTAACAATATCTGTACTCTGCAGTCTTAGTGGTAATTATCCCTTATTGTAATAAAGCCTGGTTAATGTTTTCACTGTTTAACTCAAAATACAAAATAATTGTTTTGAATCCTAGTATATTCTGTTGCCTTAAAACAAATTAAAGGACCCGAAAGGAATTCCCAATGCGTTTTTTCTAACAAACTTGGACAAGATTCATAAAATGTTGATTGAATAGAATGTTATGTCGAGCATATGTTTAATAAGTTCTATCAGTCACAAAATTAATTAAAAAAAGGAAAAGAAAAAAAAGACCACTGTTTTTGCGTTTAGCCCGAAGTAAGTCATTTTACTGCACCATATGGCCATTTCGTCCATTCAAGATTTGTCAGTGGTGATGATTTGTACAATGTTGATCTCCCTTCATCATCATCATCATAATAATAATAATAATAATATTTTGAGGTTCTTATATACCGCCTCATCACAAACAACATTGTTCAAAGCATAGGTCTATAAATATAGGGCCTTTGCAGCCAGCCAATACCTTTTCAACTCCCTTGGGAGCATACAGCCGGAGCTGCCTTTTCAGCGCTAACAACTAGCATTCAACAATTCTAGCACTGCTCAACTACAACAGAGTGTCGTGTCGTGACTCGAACCCGCAAACCCTTCGTTCACGAGCCCGGCGTCCTACCACTAGACTACCGTGCCTCCGTGGTTAGTTATTGGCCTAATATCATTATTCTCTTATAGTTTGTTCAAGTATCATTATTCTCTCTCAGTTTGTTCCATTATCATTATTCTCTCAATTTGTTCAAATATTATTATTCACTCAGTTTGTTCAAATATCATTATTCTCTCTCAGTTTGTTCAAATATCATTATTCTCTCAGTTTGTTCAAATATCATTATTCTCTCATAGTTTGTTCAAATATTATTATTCTCTCAGTTTGTTCAAATATTATTATTCTCTCAGTTTGTTCAAATATTATTATTCTCTCAATTTGTTCAAATATTATTATTCACTGAGTTTTTTCAAATATCATTATTCTCTCTCAGTTTGTTCAAATATCATTATTCTCTCTCAGTTTGTTCAAATATTATTATTCTCTCAGTTTGTGCAATTATCATTATTCTCTCAGTTTGTTCAAATATGATTATTCTCTCAGTTAGTTCAAATATTATTATTCTCTCAATTTGTTCAATTATCATTATTCTCTCAGTTTGTTCAAATATCATTATTCTCTCAGTTTGTTCAAATATCATTATTCTCTCAGTTTGTTTAAATATCATTATTCTCTCTCAATTTGTTTAAATATCATTATTCTCTCTCAGTTTGTTCAAATATCATTATTCTCTCTCAGTTTGTTTAAATATCATTATTCTCTCAGTTTGTTCAAATATCATTATTCTCTCAGTTTGTTCAAATATCATTATTCTCTCAAAGTTTGTTTAAATATCATTATTCTCTCAAAGTTTGTTTAAATATCATTATTCTCTCTCAGTTTGTTTAAATATCATTATTCTCTCTCAGTTTGTTTAAATATCATTATTCTCTCAAAGTTTGTTTAAATATCATTATTCTCTCTCAGTTTGTTTAAATATCATTATTCTCTCTCTCAGTTTGTTTAAATATCATTATTCTCTCTCAGTTTGTTTAAATATCATTATTCTCTCTCTCAGTTTGTTTAAATATCATTATTCTCTCTCAATTTGTTTAAATATCATTATTCTCTCTCAGTTTGTTCAAATATCATTATTCTCTCTCAGTTTGTTTAAATATCATTATTCTCTCAGTTTGTTCAAATATCATTATTCTCTCACAGTTTGTTTAAATATCATTATTCTTTCAAAGTTTGTTTAAATATCATTATTCTCTCTCTCAGTTTGTTTAAATATCATTATTCTCTCTCAGTTTGTTTAAATATCATTATTCTCTCTCAGTTTGTTTAAATATCATTATTCTCTCTCAGTTTGTTTAAATATCATTATTCTCTCTCAGTTTGTTTAAATATCATTATTCTCTCTCAGTTTGTTTAAATATCATTATTCTCTCTCAGTTTGTTTAAATATCATTATTCTCTCTCAGTTTGTTTAAATATCATTATTCTCTCTCAGTTTGTTTAAATATCATTATTCTCTCTCAGTTTGTTTAAATATCATTATTCTCTCTCAGTTTGTTTAAATATCATTATTCTCTCTCAGTTTGTTTAAATATCATTATTCTCTCTCTCTTTGTTTAAATATCATTATTCTCTCTCAGTTTGTTCAAATATCATTATTCTCTCTCAGTTTGTTTAAATATCATTATTCTCTCTCAGTTTGTTTAAATATCATTATTCTCTCTCAGTTTGTTTAAATATCATTATTCTTTCAGTTTGTTTAAATATCATTATTCTCTCAGTTTGTTCAAATATCATTATTCTCTCTCAGTTTGTTTAAATATCATTATTCTTTCAAAGTTTGTTTAAATATCATTATTCTCTCTCTCAGTTTGTTTAAATATCATTATTCTCTCTCAGTTTGTTTAAATATCATTATTCTCTCAAAAAAGCCAAAAGTAAAATAACAGAGCAAGCAAAAAAAGCTTTATATGCATGGTATATTAAGATTAGAAATATTTCCATTCCTGTAGATCTTCAACTGGGACTAAAACATCACAAGCCCAGTACCAACTTGGAAGTTGAACATATCGTCCTTTTAGGAAATCAAACAATCAACACAATTTGTTTTAAATAATAGCAATAGATAAATTATCAGTGCAAGTAAATGTGTCTAGTGTTTGTGACATTTTGAAAATAAAACATGGGATCATTAAATCAAACTTATGAGCGTCAGTTTTAAGAGAAGAATAAGATCCTGTGGTTTTGTACAACAGCTTTTACTTAAAATATTTAGGAAGGTATATATTATCGTTAGTTGGAATAACATCTTGTTTAAAATATTAAGCACACTAAAATCAGACCCAGGTGGTTTGAGTATTGTCTTCTTCAAACATGAGTAATGACATCATTTGGTTTGTACCATGCTATGTCTTTGATGAGTTAGCTGATCGACGTTGTTCCATTTGCAGAATTTGTCTGTAAATAATTGAGTAATGAAATCAGAATTTTGGCTGTAAAATACTCAAAAATAAAATAAAACCTCTTCCAATTTGAAGAAATGATTAAGTAATTAAATGTCTAAGGTTTAGCTTTGAAATATGTTTCGTCTGTATAACATCAGTAATCCAAATATGTTTGGTTTGTAAGAAAGGTTATTCCGTCTTTGCGTATTGCAGAGTTATCTTCCTTGGGAGCAGGTATTGATTGTTACGTCACTTGTTTGTGAGAGTAACGTCATCAATTTTTGAGAAAACGACGTAATTTTCTTGCACAAACCAATGACGTAACAATCAATACCTGCTCCCAAGAGAAGATAACTCTGCAATACGCAAAGACGGAATATATAAATCAGAGAGAAAATAGTGAAATATAACCTCTTTGGTTTGTAAGAAAGGTTATATATAAATCAGAGAGGAAATAGTGAAATATAATATCTCTCTAACCCTAACCCTATATAGGTTTGAACACAAATGTGCCTGTAAAACACTGAGCTATGAAATCTATTTGGCTTGGTTCTCACTATGAGAAACTTGAGTCTCATTCAACACGACGCCTTTATACCCCTTCGTTTAATTATGTTTATGTGAAACATTGAATTATGATATCACACTTGTATTACATGTATTTGATCCTCTAGCTAAGTAGTGGAAATCAAAATCCTACGGCTGGTTTTTTAATTTTTAATACTTCACAATGAAAATCAAATATTGTTTTCAAGACATTTTGTCTACCAAAGAATCAAAGTGAAACAAGTTCCAATGGTTTGCAAAGAATAAAACAGATGTCTCCATATGTGTTTTACATAAGATGTCTTTATTCAATTCATATTTGATCCACAAATACTAGGTAAATATTGAGCCTTACAAAAAATCTTTACACAGATGACTGAGGATGGACAAATGGATACAAATGTACGACAGTGTGATCTACCCCACCGACTCAAATATGTACAAAGCCTGTAAAGGAACTACAGATTACACATTTGTACAATCGTCCACAGTTGGGAACTTCAATGAGTAGTTGCTGAATATGTTTAAACAATCTACAGTTTGGTAACGAGTCCTGAGTCAGGGGCACTTTTTTTGATGAGTTGCTGGATAGGTTTGAACTGTGGGTGGTCTTTATCACCTATAAATTGTAGTAAGACCGCTTCACTAGTAGTTACTGTCGCTCCGCTGTGTCGGAATCGCTGTAATGTAATACACAACCACTCTAAATCAAATTTGAAAGCATTTCAAGTGTTTTCAAGAACAATAAACAAAACTTTCTTCTCTCAAAAACAAGTACCCCGGTATTCAAATAAATTGGAACATAATTGGGCAGATGTCTTTCCACATTTTTAACAGACATGATAACCTTTCTGACTATCACTCAACGTGACCAGTCATTTGTGTAACGTTTTCTTGCCTCGGTGTAGAAATTGAGTTGGGTGTTAGTTGGCTAAACCACAAACAGAACAATTGATTGCGTTAGTTTTTGGATGGAGAAGGGGCATGAGAATGGGAAATAGAGGGGAAGGAAAGGTGATTTCTGAATATCCACTTAATGTTTTGATCAACAACCATTTAGGCTAACTTGATACGAGAAATGAGCACATATTTATGCCTTCAATTGGATATCCTTTTCCATCACAGGAGAGTTTTTTCACATTGTCTTTCAATCGAACATTATTGAGAAAATTCCTTTCAGAGAGTGATATTTTATATAGTGAAACCTTTATTAATAGACATCAAGAGGAACTCAATTATCACATCAGATAATTTGACAGTAAGGTAGGGGTACATGCAGTAGGTAACAGGTCATCTTGGCAATTGGAGAATGCAGTACAAGTCTTTTGGTTCCATAAAATTATACCAGATATTCCAGGATCTCCTTAAAGTCAGGCATATTTATCAATGATGTTGAGTGTAATTGAATTATCTCCCTTCAACCACAATTTCTTTTGGACAGAGACACAGATAGTAAGTGTAGAGATCCACTCTCTACACATTTCTGATGCTTTTTATCCATAATTATATCTTACATTAGCAGATACAAAAACCTATTCAGTGTGGCAAAATGATTACTTATGCTTTTATATATAATTATAACTTTTTTTTATTTTAATGTTCTTCATGTTACTAAAAACATGTTGTTGGCAATCAGGCCTACCTCAAAAGCAAACAAGCGGTCCATCTGGCTCCTAGAGGAGGTGGCGTCGGCCACGACATGAACCTCAATGTCCCTCGACAGCAGGTCTATGACGGTCTGCTGGACACACACGTGGGCCTAGGAAAGATACCAAGTAAGTTCAAACAGTATTTTGTGAGAAAATGTATTCTTCCTCACAACTGTTGATCATGAGCTTAGGCTATTTTTATGATGATAATTAACAGAGCTCCACCTCTTCCTGGTTGAGGAGATTTCTCATTTCTTCCATTTAATGATTGTCTCCATTTTTATCCTCTCCTTTTAGATTTTTCAAGCCACTACATGTGTCTTTGGGATTGTCTTACCTCTTTTCCCAGCCAGGTCATTTTACCAGAAACATTTCACAACCTGTGGAAAAAGATTTTGTTTCACCCTCTGTGGAATCAAGAAAAATAATGGAAATACTTGTACAAATGATATATTTTACCATTTTCTGAAGTGAAATAATATATAGAATGTATCCCCAGACTGGCTGAGGTAATATACCCAGACTGGCTGAGGTAATATACCCAGACTGGCTAAGGTAATATCCCCAGACTGGCTGAGGTAATATACCATGACTGGCTGAGGTAATATCCTCAGACTGGCTGAGGTAATATACCCAGACTGGCTGAGGTAATATACCCAGACTGGCTGAGGTAATATCCCCAGACTGGCTGAGGTAAAAGAAAGATTTGCCAAAAAGTTGCAATGGAATCATTGTAGTAAAAAACACCACTAAGTGTATCAATATGAATTAAAAGCATTCTCAAGTTGAATATACTAGCTTCTGTAACATTTTTAAATACAGCAAATACTATCAGTTTATCACAGTAGCAATATATACATTGCTTGAAGAATAACTGAAATAAAAATGGTGCTTGTGTTTGATATCTGACCAATGTTGCGTTCACATACAAAAAATGTCAGCTTTCTATTGCTCTATGTCTGCATTTTCTTACATCAATACCCAAATCATAAGATTATGAGAAGTTCTTTTTACACAACCAATGCAATTTCCCATGTGAAGTTTCGATGACTAGTACGGTATGTACACTGTCACCTTCATCAAACAAATGACCAGTGAAGCGTATGCACACAAAGGTATAAACTGTGTACGAGTTGTCCACAAAATCGATGTCAAATTCCGCTACGCTGTAAGCGTATGTATAATAGTTGGTATATATGTATCAAAGCGACTTGATTCAGCTACGCTTTGTTTAATACTTAGTCAAAGATGTGCGAGAGTCTTTGAGCCCCTCGTCTTGATTTAGAACTGGCCCACTGCAGTGTATCCAGATGACTTCCTTTATCTGCCGCTTGAACAGATCACTCTCTGTCCAAAATTGTGGAGTTGTACCAGTCAATCACATGATAAGAATCATAAGAATTTTGTATCAATATACTTGTTACCCTGGAATTTCTTATATATACCTTTCACCTGGGCCTTTTTACCTCATTAACAATTCCGCTTTGGGTATCCCTTTATTATTTCCCTTTGTGGGTTTATTACCACTAAAATCCTGTACCTGAGAACATCTTACCTCTATACCCAGGAGGACTACATGCTGGACATCCCCCCCACAGAGAGTCTTCATCTTCTCCTCAACCTCCGGTAACATCATGCTGAACTTGGTCTTTTCGAATTTACCAACAGCATGACTGATGTCCAGTTCAGCCACTGTACTCCCCAGACCTTTTGGATACTGATAAACAGAGGTTAAAGTTCATATTCACATTTAACAAATTTTAAAAACATTTTAGGCAAAGCAAAATCTCTTTGATGAAATATTAAGCACAAAACAAATTTACGGCAGACCATACTTTGTTCCTATTTTCAAGAAATTATGAAATCACATACTTGTGTGTAACACTGTGTAAGAAAATAAACAGCTTTTATTAACAGTAGTAGCTATTTTAGATGAATGTGAAAGTACTAATCAAAACAATTTTGTAAAAAGCCAACTCACTTGTTCAGTCACAATTACTGGAATGTTCAAAAGCTTAGAGGCTTCAAGCTGAAAATATATGTAAAGTATACAAAAATTCATGTCTTTTTTTACCTTGACTTTGTCGTTCGTACTTTTTTTCAGAACTTTATATATATATCTTGCCATTTATATGAAAATGACACCACAAAATGGCAATTATTAATTAATGTAGCAGAACTGGACTGGGTTGGTCGCCAACGACCAGGCAGTCTAGGATTTGGAGGTCTCCGATTTGAATCCCAATTTTGTACATTTCTCTCTCTGTTACATAAAATGTGTGGAAATTTTAATTATGTAGTGGAACTAGACTGGTAGAGCTTAAGTGTAGAATTGGGGGGGGGGGCCCAAGGTTTGAAACCCAGCCTGGCTGTGTAATTCTCTATCCTCTCCTGTTACAGTGGTGACTGTGACCAACCCTTTTTTCAATGCAAGCATACATTAGATACAGGATACAATAATATTTATTTAATGTCGCATATCATAAACACACAAACATTAGCTCGGTAGAGCTATTTCTGCGACAAACATAGGTATGATTCAAAACAAACAAAAACATAGCATGCAAATAAACAGGCCTCCATGGATGAAAAGAATATACATAATGTAGGTGAGCTAAATAAAATACACTAAAGTTATATAAGAAAAGCATTGGGTGTTAGCTAGGCTAAATGCCAGTACATGGCATGGGGATATCCAAACCTGGGTTATAAATAGCCAAAGTTTCCTCTTGCCCTGACACCAGACTTTAGACATTTTGACAGATACAATGTAGATTATCTCCCAACACCACTGACAACTTTCTGTCAAAATGTCTAAAGTCTGGTGTCAGGGTACTCCTATAACATGATAGGCCGCTGGCCATTTTTCTATCAGTTGTGATTTTGTCGACTTGCACCTGTCAACAGTATCTCGCCGTGTTAAACCTCTATATTGCTGGAGTAGGTGTCAGGGCAACCATTTCCACCATCCTCAAAATGTTGCATTTAAAATGCTTAGCCATTGCTGATGCTGCAAGTACACACGTTTATCTTCAAATACCATAAACATTACCAAGAAATATTCCCAAAAGCCTTAATGCAATATCGTAAATTATTATGTAAACTTAATCAGTAAACGGGTTTTTGGGGTGGGGATGCGTCACAAAGCGAAGGCATTCTTCATAAATTTCGCTGAATTTTGTTTCCAAATCATTCAAACATACTATTCTTCCTGCAACTTCAACTATTTCTGCGAAATAATTGATAGCTGGACGGAACCGTTCCTGCATGTCACACACAAAGATCACCGTCTTGTCCAGCGCAAGATTACCAAGACGCTTTGTGGAAGCCATTTTTACGGACAAATACAAGTCACATGATCAACACGATCTTTAAACGCTTTACTTAAAAATTGTATCCACAGCAAACATTTGAAAGATGAGATCGATGAATCTACATCTTAGTCAAGCTTGTGTTTACTTGCAACACGGTTTCGGCAACGTTTGGGAACATATGTGAATAACGTTGAGCTGTCTTAAATTCCACAATCCATTTTAATATGGACCAATCTAAGGTAGTGGATCTCATTCCTACCGCAGATAAATGTACATACACCAGCTGTTACTGGTAAGTCAGCCAACGTAGTAAGGTTGTCGACAACAGAAAAATACTTTCGTTTTACGTATGTTATACACTGGTGTTGCAGCAGACAGGCCCCCAAATTAGCTATGCCCAACTAATTTTTTTTAAACCAAAAGTGATTTATTTCTTGTCATTTTCCTAGAGACTACCATAACCTGATTACAAAACAGCAATCAGAACCATGTTATCTTCAAAATTGGATTTTTACGAATTTTTTGAAATCGTGAAATTTCACAATTGTTTTTTAGCATTTTCCTGAAAACAATCAAAAAAGCGTACAAGGTCAATAACATGGTATATATGGGAGAATTTGTTTTCTCTTTTTTTACCACAATTTCAGAACCAATCTATTCTATTGTAAAATGAAAGATTTCCATGCTAAATATCACCCCTCACTCCGGAGATGATGCTAAAATGTTACTTCACAAAGAGTTACCTCCCCTTACAAAACACAATGAATGACATTAATAATCTCATTTAATTATATATATTGATGCACCAGTCTCAGTGGTAATTACACATCTTCTTTCTTATCGTTCGCCTTTACACTTGAATACCAGTCTCCTCAACAAATCTGGTGGTCTTCTGTGCTAAGGGCATCCACTGGTCCACATAGCTTTTCTTTGAGTGGTAACGTTAACACTCACTCACTCACTCACTAACTGTTGGTGAATGCCATATCTTATCTCTCATGATCAGTGCCTGATGGATCTTCCATGACTGTAAGAGGTGTGCAGTATCCTGCTCTGCTTCTCCACAAGGACACATTGGAGATGAAACAACTTTCATGACTTTGTATAGATGTTGATTGAGTCTGTTGTGTCCTGTCGGAAGATGGTAGTTTGGTCAGATCTTGTTGGTGGTAACTGTCTTGTTGCTGATGGGTGTTGAACAGAGATTTGATGATAGTCTTCATCTCTGTGTAGCAGACTGGATTTTCTTCCTGTTATTGTTCAGCACCATTCTTTGCTAATTTATCGGCTTGTTCATTACCCCAAACTCCACAGTGAGAAGGAATCCACTGTAGAACTGTTGTCAGACTTTTGATGGTGTATAAAGCTTGTTCAAGTTGAGGTTAAGCTTGTCGTTTGTCAAAGCTTGTAGCACAGAGAGGGCATCAGTCAGGAATACTACTTGAGTTGTGTTATCAATTTTGTTTTTGATGGAGTGTGCAGCATGAATAAGGTCTTCTTCAACTTAGTAGTTTGAACAATGTAGGCCTGTTGGTATTGCTTCTGATTGTTGATCTCAGTTGGGGTACTTAATGTATATACCAGCCCCTCCTTTTATTGTGGCATTTGCTTACCCAGGAGTCTGAAGGGTACTTGTCTTCAAGCATACTCATTGTAATTACACATGATCTGATATGTTTTAGTCAGATAAATCATTAAAATAATATTTAAAAACAAAAAATTGTATTTGTACATGGTGTATGATCTGACAAGTTTTATTTATATAAAAAAAAAAAAATGATATTGAAAAACAAAAGCATGTCATATCAATTAGATATGTTTAATGTAAACTATGTACAGACCAACCATTGTATAGTTTTTGTATGTCAGACAACACTGAAACTCGAAATAAATTTAAATTTAGGTCTATTCAATTTCTAACTGTATCAGCGTATGTAAACTAAGTCAAGACTGAGTGACAGTAACTTAATTTAAAAGTTTAATCATTTAGAAACAAGTAAATAGTACCGAAATTTATACAAATATACATCATTTAATGTTTAAAATATATACAGAAAACAAAGAGAACAGATACCTTTACACGATAGGTAAACAACCGTTAATGCAATATCCTTCTAGCGAGTTTTGTCTGGTACAGGTGGGATTTGTTTACGTTTTCGAGGCGAGGTGTCCGCCATATTGGATTTACCGTTATACTACCCCTTGGGATTTCAACAGCATTTTTCATACCAAGAACGGTTTTGACAGATTGGCATATATATATACTTATTTTAAGGGATAATTACTGAACATTTGTATATAATTTTGATGGATGTACTCGGTTTTATAAGGAAATTGTCGCTTCTGCAATATTTCACAATCTCCGCTCCTTGCGTTTCCGCCATGATATTTGTAATATAGACTGTAGTAAAGTGACGAGGGATATCGAAGATAAAATTCCTACCATGTATCCATTTCTATAACATGGACAAGCACGATAAAATCACCGTTCTTCCGATGGTATAAAAGTGTGACGAAATTTTGGCGCGGCGCGAAAATTCAATTGGAGTTATCTCCCCTTAGCTTGGGCATAGCTACCCAAATCATGTTATAGTCACCCAATATTCAGCCCTCTGATAAGTCATACTTAAGTCCTGAATTCGGGTATGAAAGTTGGATATATTATACTGGTAATTCAGTTATTGAAATGATACATAGGCATAGCACCGATAACTTTGTAAATAACATGTCATTATATATGTCAAATAACTTATATTTGATGCATGCAGGCATAATTTGCCTCTGATTGTCCATATCTAAATTTGTGATTATTCCTTATTTTGAGATTGATCCTTATTTGACGTTCATATTCTTCAATACACTCTAGTTATATACTGATTCCTGATCATGTACATATCAATCTGGTAATGTTGGATTCTGTACTTGACATCAAAGCATCACATTTGTATAAAAATAACAACATTTTTATGTTCATCATATGGAAAATTAAAACTAAATGCTATGTTTTGCAAGGAGCATAATATGATGATTTGATCCATGGTGGTCCATGAACTCGAACAATAAATCTCCAGTGTCTTCCTCTTGTTTTTCTCTCCCTTTGTTTTTCATTTCCTTTTCATTATCTCGTTTATATTTCGTCAAATCATTTCTTTTTTTTGATTAAAGATTAACCAAAGTATTTTTAAGATTTTTTACGTTCCTGAAGAGCACTCCTTTTTATTCTGACATTTACCGGAAAGTCTTAATCGTACAACTATATCGTGTTGTTTAATCCAAAACTTCCAAATAAGTCTTTTACAGTTGTTTTACTGCTTCCATTCTCGCCTTTTAAACATAGTTGAGCTGTTCTGTAATATCAAAAATGATGACATTAGTTTCTCTTCTTTTTCTTCCTCTTATTTCTGCAAATGAAATGACTAAATCTGTACTCTGTGAAAGGGTTCCCTTTGTGTTTGCTGTTGAAGCGTCCTCTTTGGCGATTTGGCTGATAGTTTAATAAAGATAGTTCACTGGCATTACATTTTATCGTGAACAAGAAAAAACAAAGGCTATGTGACTTAGATTGATAAACGGACTTTACATGATATGCCAATAATCTATGATGTGTGGCAGATTTTAATTGTACTAAGCCACAACCATCAATGGCTTAAAGCCAGTATGCCTCTACAAAGCTAGTACATAAATAAGAGAAAATTAAGCTCTGTATGACCTAGGCATAAATAAACTTAAGATCATTTGTTGTTAGTTAGTATTCAATTTGGTCACAAAAAGATTGACATGTTAAAAATCCAGTGGACGTGCCAACCTTCCACATTTTTCTTGGACAAGAAATCGCGAGACAAAATCTTATAGAAGAGTAAAAATAATAAAAAAAGTTGTACATAAATGAACCATATTTTAAAAAAATGTTATAATTGTGAGATTTAGAAGCTTTTCTTTCAGATTCTGACCCAAAACAATTTTATTATACCCACTTTGATATTCTTGATATTTTTCCTGAACTGTAGTGAATGAATTATATGTGTATCTAAAGTCAGATCTGTGGTCATACATTTATACTTACACTATACTTAAAGATATATGTACTTTTTCTGATACAGGACCTGAAGGACTGCCTCTTCATCAGATTCTACTTTGTATGCTATCTTGAAGTGAACAAAGTCCAAATGCAAATTTCCTTCAGTGTAGTACATGCAACATGCACTGGCTGTTGACTAGATATGGCCTAAACTAGCATAGTTTTTCCCTTGAAAAGTTTCCATACACTGTACCATGAATATTATATAATTATTTTATTTGGATATTGCAGTGAAGAAAATGTATGGAAACTCTGTGAACATGTAAAGGGAAACAATCCAGACAGGCTGGCTTACTGCTATTGTATGTTTATATCTAATGAGAACAAACAGGTAGTGTATTGTTTCATTTCAGATAAAATCTGATTAATCAGTTTATCTTCTCTTACTCGCTCTTCTGTTTGCATGTTTTGATGTATAGCCTTATTTTACCTTATAGTTATTTACTAGAAAGACTTTATTAAATCAAATCCATAAACTCCTTTCATGAAAATATGTCAGTAAAATTTTATAAAAAAAAATTCCGATGAGAAAGATAAGATTTCAATCAACATCCATTAAATTATCATCAAATATTAATTTCTGGCTGAAGCACGAATGATTTCACATAAAACATTCCCAATACCACATTGATAAAGTCCCACCAATTTAGTGTTATTTCTAACTTTTAACAGTCTTTTCTTCTATAGATACCTTTGTGGTACCAAAAATCTAGCTTTGCACCAGATGGAGTTGTTGTTTGGGTAAGTACAAAGACATACTCTCACTTACATATCAGCATATCACAAAAACATACTCTCACTTACATATCAGCATATCACAAAGACATACTCTCTCTTACAAATCACCATATCCCAAAGAAATACTCTCACTTACAAATCAGCATATCACAAAGACATTGTCTCACTTACATATTAGCAAATCACAGAGACATACTCTAACTTACATATCAGCAAATCAAAAAGACATACTCTCACTTACAAATCAGCATATCACAAATACATACTCTCACTTACAAATCAGCATATCACAAATACATACTCTCACTTACAAATCACAAAAACATACTATCACTTACATATCAGCATATCACAAAGACAAAGTCTCACTTACATATCAGCATATCACCAAGACATAGTCTCACTTACATATCAGCATATCACAAAGACATTGTCTCACTTACATATCAGCATATCACAAAGACATAGTCTCACTTACATATCAGCAAATCACAAAGACATACTCTCACGTACATATCAGCAAATCACAAAGACATACTCTCACTTACATATCAGCATATAGCATATCACAAAGACAAACTCTCACTTACATATCAGCATATCTCCAAGACATAGTCTCACTTACATATCAGCAAATCACAAAGACATACTCTCACGTACATATCAGCAAATCACAAAGACGTACTCTCACTTACATATCAGCATATAGCATATCACAAAGACAAACTCTCACTTACATATCAGCATATAGCATATCACAAAGACAAACTCTCACTTACATATCAGCATATCTCCAAGACATAGTCTCACTTACATATCACATACTCTAACTTACATATCAGCATATCACAAAGATCAGCATATCACAAAGACATACACAATATGTACTCTCACTTACATAGACATACTCTCACTTACAAATCAGCATATCACAAAGACATTCTATCACTTACATATCACCATATCCCAAAGAAATACTCTCACTTACATATCAGCAAATCACAAAGACATACTCTAACTTACATATCAGCATATCACAAAGACAAAGACTCACTTACATATCAGCATATCAAAAAGACATAGTCTTACTTACATATCAGCATATCACAAAAAGACATACTCTCACTTACATATCATCATATCACAAAGACATACCATAAAGACATTCTCTCACTTACATATCACAAAGACATACTCTCTCTTACAAATCACCATATCCCAAAGAAATACTCTCACTTACATATCAGCATATAGCATATCACAAAGACAAACTCTCACTTACATATCAGCATATCAAAAAGACATAGTCTCACTTACATATCAGCATCATAGTCTCACTTACATATCAGCATCATAGTCTCACTTACATATCAGCAAATCACAAAGACATACTCTCACGTACATATCAGCAAATCACAAAGACGTACTCTCACTTACATATCAGCATATAGCATATCACAAAGACAAACTCTCACTTACATATCAGCATATCCCAAAGACATACTCTCACTTACAAATAAGCATATCATAAAGACATACTCTAACTTAAATATCAGCATATCACAACGACAAAGTCTCACTTACATATCAGCATATCACAAAAAGACATACTCTCACTTACATATCACATATCAGCATATCACAAAGACAAAGACTCACTTACATATCAGCATATCACGAAGACATATTCTCACTTATATATCAGCATATCACAAAGACATAATCTCACTTACATATCAGCATATCACCAAGACATAGTCTCAATTACATATCAGCATATCACAAAGATCAGCATATCACAAAGACATACTATCACTTACATATCACCAAATCCCAAAGAAATACTCTCACTTACATATCAGCATATCAAAAAGACATAGTCTCACTTACATACCAGCAAATCACAAAGACATACTCTCACGTACATATCAGCAAATCACAAAGACATACTCTAACTTAAATATCAGCATATCACAACGACAAAGTCTCACTTACATATCAGCATATCCCAAAGACATACTCTCACTTACAAATCAGCATATCACAAAGACATAGGCTCACTTACATATCAGCAAATCACAAAGACATACTCTCACTTACATATCAGCATATCACAAAGACATACTCTCACTTACAAATAAGCATATCATAAAGACATACTCTCACTTAAATATCAGCATATCACAAAGACAAAGTCTCACTTACATATCAGCATATCACAAAGACATAGTCTCACTTACATATCAGCATATCACAAAGACATACTCTCACTTACAAATAAGCATATCATAAAGACATACTCTCACTTAAATATCAGCATATCACAAAGACAAAGTCTCACTTACATATCAGCATATCACAAAGACATACTCTCACTTACATATCACAAAGACATACTCTCACCTACAAATTAGCATATCACAAAGACATACTCTCACTTACAAATAAGCATATCACAAAGACATACACAATATGTACTCTCACTTACATATTAGCATATGACAAAGACATACTGTCACTTACATATCAGCATATCACAAAGACATACACAATATGTACTCCCTCTTACATATCAGAATATCACATAGACATACTCTCACTTACATATCAGCATATCACAAAGACAAAGTCTCACTTACATATCAGCATATCACATAGACATAGTCTCACATACATATCAGCATATCACAAAGACATACTGTCACCTACATATCAGCATATCACAAAGACATACACAATATGTACTCTCACTTACATATTAGCATATCACAAAGACATACTGTCACTTACATATCAGCATATCACAAAGACATACACAATATGTACTCTCACTTACATATCAGAATATCACATAGACATACTCTCACTTACATATCAGCATATCACAAAGACAAAGTCTCACTTACATATCAGCATATCACAAAGACATAGTCTCACATACATATCAGCATATCACCAAGACATAGTCTCACTTACATATCAGCATATCACAAAGACGTACTCTCACTTACATATCAGGAAATCACAAAGACATACTCTCACTTACATATCAACATATCACAAAGACATACTTTCACTTACATATCAGCATATCACAAAGACATACTGTCACTTACATATTAGCATATCACAAAGACATAGTCTCACTTACACATCAGCATATCACAAAGACATACACAATATGTACTCTCACTTACATATCAGAATATCACATAGACATACTCTCACTTACATATCAGCAAATCACAAAGACATACTCTCACTCACATATCAGCATATCACAAAGACATACTCTCACTTACATATCAGGATATCACAAAGACATAGTCTCACTTACACATCAGCATATCACAAAGACATACACAATATGTACTCTTACTTACATATCAGAATATGACATAGACATACTCTCACTAACATATCAGGGAATCACAAAGACATACTCTCACTTACATATCATCATATCCCAAAGACATACTCTCACTTACATATCAGCATATCACAAAAAGACATCCCCTCACTTACATATCAGCATATCACAAAAAGACATACCCTCACTTACATATCAGCATATCACAAAAAGACATCCCCTCACTTACATATCAGCATATCACAAAAAGACATCCCCTCACTTACATATCAGCATATCACAAAGACATACACAATATGTACTCTTACTTACATATCAGAATATCACATAGACATACTCTCACTAACATATCAGGAAATCACAAAGACATACTCTCACTTACATATCAGCATATCACAAATACATACACAATATGTACTCTCACTTACATATCATCATATCACAAAGACATACACAATATGTACTCTCACTTACAAATCAGCATATCACAAAGGCATTCACAATTTGTACTCTTGCTTTCATATCAGAATATCACATAGACACACTCTCACTAACATATCAGGAAATCACAAAGACATCCTCTCACTCACATATCAGAATATAAAAAAGAAATACTCTCACTTACATATTAGCATATCACAAAGACAAAATCTCACTTACATATCAGGAAATCACAAAGACATTCTCTCACTTACATATCATCATATCACAAAGACATACTGTCACTTACATATCAGCATATCACAAAGACAAAGTCTCACTTACATATCAGCATATCACAAAGACATACACTATATGTACTCTCACTTACATATCAGCATATCACAAAGACAAAGTCTCACTTAAATATCAGCAAATCACAAAGACATACTCTCACTCACATATCAGCATATCACAGAGACATACTCTCACTTACATATCAGCAAATCACAAAGACATACTCTCACTTACATATCAGCATATCACAAAGACAAAATCTCACTTACATATCAGCATATCATAAAGACATACTCTCACTTACATATCAGCATATCACAAAGACATTGTCTCACTTACATATCAGCATATCATAAAGACATACTCTCACTTATGTATCTGCAATGCTTCATACCAATATAAATGTGTCTCAAGGCAGAATCCACTAAGTCTTTCTTGACTTTAGCAGACTAGACTGTAATGAGAAATACCATTCAGTAGCTGTAATCTATCTATACATCTACAGATAAAGGGAGTATAATTATTATGGTATTTCAGTCTTGATTACTTCAAAGCTAAAAATCAAACCTGTAAACTGTAGCAAGTGTTTGGTATGTTCTCGAAGTAAAACAAGTTTACCATGTAATGCTTCCCTGTTGTATTTGTACCTTGCGATATTTGTGATACTTCCATGTGATCTTTGTACCATTTGCGATATTTGTAGGACTACCATGTGATATTTGTCTACAATGAGGGTGATGTGTCACTGGTTTATGACCTGGATACAAAGCTGCCATTTCCTTGCGACTTTACCGAGTATGCTGCCAAGGGGATTCGACCTAATAAGACTGTGAAAAAACAGTACCACAGGTAGGCTAGTTCACGCTTCCAACTAAATAACTGTACATGAGGTGCACACCCATCCACTAGGGTTGTACCACATTGCTGGAAGAGCTAGATTGCCAGTAATACAGTGTTATGCTATTTCCCCCTCTGAAAAGTGTTGTCTGGAGAATTGGATTTGGGGATCATGTGGGTCCCTCCTGTGTCCTGATGCACCTTCCCTAGCCACCCAGAACTTGCTTCACAAGGTATAATAGGATCCCACTGGTGCCACCATAGGTAAGGTAGACATTGCTGAACTAGTGAGCTTGTCTCAGGGTGTTATCCCTCGCTGGTAAATAGCCAAGAAATTCCCTTTATATTCCTCAAATGTTACACAGCATGGATGTTAGGCCAGTGTGATCTCCCATACAATAGTTCCACCGTTGAGTTATTTACATCCTTTCTGAATAAAAAAAACATGTATCTGTTTCTGTTGGTCAGTTTTACTTTTTATTTGTTATTCTTAGTCATCCGCTACAGAGCTAGGGTATCTAGCCTTTTGAAGACTTACATTGTAGGATTCAGAAACCTGGGATGAGGTTGCAACACAAACCTATATCTTTACATTTTCACCACATATATTAACATATGATAAATAGATGCATTGCATAAAACATATAACTGCTTGTGAGGATAAACATATTCCTCCAAAGACTCGCTAAGAACAACATCTGTCAATTCAAAGCATGCATAATCAGGTCCAAAGGCAACAGAGCATAGACAATTAAATATATTCAAGTAACAAGAGCTTATCTACACCCATATTTCAAAATTTACATGTATTAACATGTAGACAAATTTCCAAAAGAATGTGGATCTTACATATACAGATGTACATATATATATGGTAGGTAAGTGAAGAAACAGGGCTTTGTTTAGCGACCTCATCCAAGGTTGTTTAATTGCAAGATCTTAAAGGGTGGATGGACATAGTAGCTTTAAATTGATGATATATCAAATTTATGTCAATCAAACATTGAGCTACGATTCTCCCAGCTACCTCGACCTACATACTGAATTGAGCTTTGAATATGGATATGTAATAAATGATATAGCGATACCTTTATTAAATACATTGTAATGAAGCTGTATTTTTTATCAAACTATGATCTTGGATTGTTATATAGTTTCTTAGTGAGAGTAAGGAAAATGTTATTCTATTGCATGTGTTTGATGAATTTATAAATGCAGTCAGGTAGTGTGTTATTCTGTAGACATGTATTACTGTAGACAGCATGAAATACTGATTATCATTGGTCACACATGCAAACAACTGTTGCAGGAAATTTCGAGTCATACCTGGGTTGAAGTTCCTGTCTACATTTGCCTCGGACAGATCACACATGTTGGATGCTAACAAACAGTGGCTCAGCGATCCACCACTTTACCCCTGTATACAGACTTCAGGTAGGGGTTCAAATTACATTCTGAAATACAATACAAGCTGTAATGAAATATTTGTTCACTATTTCATAATTCAGTTTTGAATGTGTCTTTCAATACGAAATGAACAACCAAATTAAGATATTGTACATTGATCAATTTCATGTTTTGTTATGTTGCTTATACATGTTATTGCTATTGTTTCAGATTCTACAAACAATATACAAGATTACATTTCTATGGACCCAGCTGTGGGGGTAGGGGTTGTACTTGATTTTGAAGGACTTATAGACAAATTCTCTAGAAAGACATAATGTTGAACCTATGGCTGTTACAGCGTTGGGTGAAGGTATTAAGGGACTTGAGGTAGTCATTTACCTTTTTTGTAATAATTTCAGGAGCTTAAAACATTTACTTATAGAACGCAATGTACATGTATTCTATATTTTTATAGGTTTGGTTTTACATGAGTCCACCCTTTGATGTTTTAGTTGTGCGTTATTTAAGTGTGAGTTTATTTTTTATTACCTTTTTGTGCGAATTTAAAGCATACAAAAGTGTTACGTAATTGTTTAATTTATTTTTATCTGTTTCCATACCAAATATGTGAAAAACTGGTGTCTTGTATCAACCAAATGCTAATCTAGAGTAGTGCCGAGTGATCTGTGACCAACTTCAAGATTGCAATATTGATCAACTACTTAACATGGATATCATGCTGATGAATGCAACCATCCCATGTTGATGGTGAAATCAGTATTTATTAATCCAATGGGTGTTTTAATACTGAAGGGAAACTGTACTTGGTGGAAATAGTCCTCTCTTTGAGGCTAAATGACCAAGGACCAAATGATATGTTTTGAGATGATTCGAAATCGAAGATGGCCAACCTGACCTCCAATTGGCCAGGATATTTTTGAGTTTATCATAAGTTCTAACAGGCATATTTTAACAACATGCATATGGATAATCCTTGTGACAGGCCGGGAGATTTTTGATTAATTCTTAAATAACTGAAAGAGGTTAACATGCTTCTCTTAATACACCTCTCGAATGTAATTTTGATTGTAAGCCTCAATAAGAAATCCAGTATGGCCACCAAGATTACAAATTATCAGAAACATTTTCAACTGAGTTGTGCTGTAGCTAAGATAACATAAATACGGATGAACGAACCTGTTATACATGGCGATGTCAATATGCATATTTCATGGCCAATCGTTTAGCTAGAGTTTTTACTAGGTTTAGTTTAATTACCCAGAATGCTTTGCCGTGTGCATAAAAGGTAGCACTAGTAAGTATTAATATTTTCACGTGAGTCAACGGGAGGTGACAATGACAAATTAAAATAGCTCCTTAATATTTAGTGCATCCAATAGTATATAACTAAGATATTCAATTGTTTTTTTATAATTCCCAAATTAAAATCCTTCCGTGTTACTTACCTATTAGGCATACAGACATAAATTAACGTGGAAATGTAATGAATTACAGTGCTCGAGAGACTACTGATAAAATTTACCATTGCATGACATTAAACATTTGAATTGTGATACAACCAGCGAATGTTTCTATCGTTACGTCATTTAACCTGTGAAGTGTAACACAGCTACGTATACGTACACTGTAAACTTTTTATGTAACCTACCTTGATCTGCGATTAGGAGTATACTGTCACAGTGTGACCTACATATACATGGGTCTTCTGTGGCGTTAATTCTCTGGTCATTGGTTAAATATTCATTGGTATGTTTAAATGAATATAACATATAACATGTAAATTTCTTAACTTACCCTTTCTTAGTGTTATTGATAGAATGACTTTAAAGTAAACTTTTTAACTGACTATTTCTTAGTGTTATTGATAGAATTAATACTATGTATACCACTTTTTAAAGGAATTATCAAAATAGGATTATTGGTGAATCTTGTTGCAAGCTATGATGACCATTTTGTCCAATGTTTTATTGCAAAACGTCCAATGATCATCTCTTTCGTGTACTTATAATCATATGGGTGACGTAGTCAATATTTTAGCAAATTGATATTCCTAAGTTGATCTCCATCAATTTACATGTCAGACATGTGACCAGTATTTTTTATGTTTATAAATATTTTAAGATTTTTAACTGACGTGAGTTATTATTTTACCTTGCACAACATACCTGTTGTCAGGGTGCTGCATCCGTCTTCTAAAAAACAAGCATGAATAAAAGTAATATACATCAACGTGGTCAACGGTGTCCAAAACATGACACGACCACTTCACAGGAACAGCAAGATGATGTGTTCACGATATCTACCTCGTTGGCTCCTGTACGAAAGGCCATCCGCCTTGTTCCAATAAATGATATTGATCAAAATTTTCAGGTCAAAGGTCAAAGTTATAAACATCTTCAAATGACTTCTAATATAACTACGGGGAATAGGGTAATGATATATGGCTGTTACGGGGAATGGAATAATGCTATATGGCTATTACAGTGAATAGAGTAATGCTATATGGCTGTTATAGGGAATAGAGTAATGCTATATGGCTGTTACGGGGAATGGAGTAATGCAATATGACTGTTACGGGGAATGGAGTAATGCAATATGGCTGTAACGGGGAATAGAGTAATGCTATATGACTGTTACGGGGAATAGAGTAATGCTATATGACTGTTACGGGGAATAGAGTAATGCTATTTGGCTGTTATGGGGGAATAGAGTAATGCTATATGGCTGTTACGGGGAAAAGAGTAATGCTATTTGGCTGTTACGGGGAATAGAGTAATGCTATATGGCTGTTACGGGGAATAGAGTAATGCTATATGGCTGTTACGGGGAATAGAGTAATGCTATATGGCTGTTACGGGGAATAGAGTAATGCTATATGGCTGTTACGGGGAATAGAGTAATGCTATATGGCTGTTACGGGGAATAGAGTAATGCTATATGGCTGTTACGGGGAATAGAGTAATGCTATATGGCTGTTACGGGGAATAGAGTAATGCTATATGGCTGTTACGGGGAATAGAGTAATGCTATATGGCTGTTACGGGGAATAGAGTAATGCTATATGGCTGTTACGGGGAATAGAGTAATGCTATATGGCTGTTACGGGGAATAGAGTAATGCTATATGGCTGTTACGGGGAATAGAGTAATGCTATATGGCTGTTACGGGGAATAGAGTAATGCTATATGGCTGTTACGGGGAATAGAGTAATGCTATATGGCTGTTACGGGGAATAGAGTAATGCTATATGGCTGTTACGGGGAATAGAGTAATGCTATATGGCTGTTACGGGGAATAGAGTAATGCTATATGGCTGTTACGGGGAATAGAGTAATGCTATATGGCTGTTACGGGGAATAGAGTAATGCTATATGGCTGTTACGGGGAATAGAGTAATGCTATATGGCTGTTACGGGGAATAGAGTAATGCTATATGGCTGTTACGGGGAATAGAGTAATGCTATATGGCTGTTACGGGGAATAGAGTAATGCTATATGGCTGTTACGGGGAATAGAGTAATGCTATATGGCTGTTACGGGGAATAGAGTAATGCTATATGGCTGTTACGGGGAATAGAGTAATGCTATATGGCTGTTACGGGGAATAGAGTAATGCTATATGGCTGTTACGGGGAATAGAGTAATGCTATATGGCTGTTACGGGGAATAGAGTAATGCTATATGGCTGTTACGGGGAATAGAGTAATGCTATATGGCTGTTACGGGGAATAGAGTAATGCTATATGGCTGTTACGGGGAATAGAGTAATGCTATATGGCTGTTACGGGGAATAGAGTAATGCTATATGGCTGTTACGGGGAATAGAGTAATGCTATATGGCTGTTACGGGGAATAGAGTAATGCTATATGGCTGTTACGGGGAATAGAGTAATGCTATATGGCTGTTACGGGGAATAGAGTAATGCTATATGGCTGTTACGGGGAATAGAGTAATGCTATATGGCTGTTACGGGGAATAGAGTAATGCTATATGGCTGTTACGGGGAATAGAGTAATGCTATATGGCTGTTACGGGGAATAGAGTAATGCTATATGGCTGTTACGGGGAATAGAGTAATGCTATATGGCTGTTACGGGGAATAGAGTAATGCTATATGGCTGTTACGGGGAATAGAGTAATGCTATATGGCTGTTACGGGGAATAGAGTAATGCTATATGGCTGTTACGGGGAATAGAGTAATGCTATATGGCTGTTACGGGGAATAGAGTAATGCTATATGGCTGTTACGGGGAATAGAGTAATGCTATATGGCTGTTACGGGGAATAGAGTAATGCTATATGGCTGTTACGGGGAATAGAGTAATGCTATATGGCTGTTACGGGGAATAGAGTAATGCTATATGGCTGTTACGGGGAATAGAGTAATGCTATATGGCTGTTACGGGGAATAGAGTAATGCTATATGGCTGTTACGGGGAATAGAGTAATGCTATATGGCTGTTACGGGGAATAGAGTAATGCTATATGGCTGTTACGGGGAATAGAGTAATGCTATATGGCTGTTACGGGGAATAGAGTAATGCTATATGGCTGTTACGGGGAATAGAGTAATGCTATATGGCTGTTACGGGGAATAGAGTAATGCTATATGGCTGTTACGGGGAATAGAGTAATGCTATATGGCTGTTACGGGGAATAGAGTAATGCTATATGGCTGTTACGGGGAATAGAGTAATGCTATATGGCTGTTACGGGGAATAGAGTAATGCTATATGGCTGTTACGGGGAATAGAGTAATGCTATATGGCTGTTACGGGGAATAGAGTAATGCTATATGGCTGTTACGGGGAATAGAGTAATGCTATATGGCTGTTACGGGGAATAGAGTAATGCTATATGGCTGTTACGGGGAATAGAGTAATGCTATATGGCTGTTACGGGGAATAGAGTAATGCTATATGGCTGTTACGGGGAATAGAGTAATGCTATATGGCTGTTACGGGGAATAGAGTAATGCTATATGGCTGTTACGGGGAATAGAGTAATGCTATATGGCTGTTACGGGGAATAGAGTAATGCTATATGGCTGTTACGGGGAATAGAGTAATGCTATATGGCTGTTACGGGGAATAGAGTAATGCTATATGGCTGTTACGGGGAATAGAGTAATGCTATATGGCTGTTACGGGGAATAGAGTAATGCTATATGGCTGTTACGGGGAATAGAGTAATGCTATATGGCTGTTACGGGGAATAGAGTAATGCTATATGGCTGTTACGGGGAATAGAGTAATGCTATATGGCTGTTACGGGGAATAGAGTAATGCTATATGGCTGTTACGGGGAATAGAGTAATGCTATATGGCTGTTACGGGGAATAGAGTAATGCTATATGGCTGTTACGGGGAATAGAGTAATGCTATATGGCTGTTACGGGGAATAGAGTAATGCTATATGGCTGTTACGGGGAATAGAGTAATGCTATATGGCTGTTACGGGGAATAGAGTAATGCTATATGGCTGTTACGGGGAATAGAGTAATGCTATATGGCTGTTACGGGGAATAGAGTAATGCTATATGGCTGTTACGGGGAATAGAGTAATGCTATATGGCTGTTACGGGGAATAGAGTAATGCTATATGGCTGTTACGGGGAATAGAGTAATGCTATATGGCTGTTACGGGGAATAGAGTAATGCTATATGGCTGTTACGGGGAATAGAGTAATGCTATATGGCTGTTACGGGGAATAGAGTAATGCTATATGGCTGTTACGGGGAATAGAGTAATGCTATATGGCTGTTACGGGGAATAGAGTAATGCTATATGGCTGTTACGGGGAATAGAGTAATGCTATATGGCTGTTACGGGGAATAGAGTAATGCTATATGGCTGTTACGGGGAATAGAGTAATGCTATATGGCTGTTACGGGGAATAGAGTAATGCTATATGGCTGTTACGGGGAATAGAGTAATGCTATATGGCTGTTACGGGGAATAGAGTAATGCTATATGGCTGTTACGGGGAATAGAGTAATGCTATATGGCTGTTACGGGGAATAGAGTAATGCTATATGGCTGTTACGGGGAATAGAGTAATGCTATATGGCTGTTACGGGGAATAGAGTAATGCTATATGGCTGTTACGGGGAATAGAGTAATGCTATATGGCTGTTACGGGGAATAGAGTAATGCTATATGGCTGTTACGGGGAATAGAGTAATGCTATATGGCTGTTACGGGGAATAGAGTAATGCTATATGGCTGTTACGGGGAATAGAGTAATGCTATATGGCTGTTACGGGGAATAGAGTAATGCTATATGGCTGTTACGGGGAATAGAGTAATGCTATATGGCTGTTACGGGGAATAGAGTAATGCTATATGGCTGTTACGGGGAATAGAGTAATGCTATATGGCTGTTACGGGGAATAGAGTAATGCTATATGGCTGTTACGGGGAATAGAGTAATGCTATATGGCTGTTACGGGGAATAGAGTAATGCTATATGGCTGTTACGGGGAATAGAGTAATGCTATATGGCTGTTACGGGGAATAGAGTAATGCTATATGGCTGTTACGGGGAATAGAGTAATGCTATATGGCTGTTACGGGGAATAGAGTAATGCTATATGGCTGTTACGGGGAATAGAGTAATGCTATATGGCTGTTACGGGGAATAGAGTAATGCTATATGGCTGTTACGGGGAATAGAGTAATGCTATATGGCTGTTACGGGGAATAGAGTAATGCTATATGGCTGTTACGGGGAATAGAGTAATGCTATATGGCTGTTACGGGGAATAGAGTAATGCTATATGGCTGTTACGGGGAATAGAGTAATGCTATATGGCTGTTACGGGGAATAGAGTAATGCTATATGGCTGTTACGGGGAATAGAGTAATGCTATATGGCTGTTACGGGGAATAGAGTAATGCTATATGGCTGTTACGGGGAATAGAGTAATGCTATATGGCTGTTACGGGGAATAGAGTAATGCTATATGGCTGTTACGGGGAATAGAGTAATGCTATATGGCTGTTACGGGGAATAGAGTAATGCTATATGGCTGTTACGGGGAATAGAGTAATGCTATATGGCTGTTACGGGGAATAGAGTAATGCTATATGGCTGTTACGGGGAATAGAGTAATGCTATATGGCTGTTACGGGGAATAGAGTAATGCTATATGGCTGTTACGGGGAATAGAGTAATGCTATATGGCTGTTACGGGGAATAGAGTAATGCTATATGGCTGTTACGGGGAATAGAGTAATGCTATATGGCTGTTACGGGGAATAGAGTAATGCTATATGGCTGTTACGGGGAATAGAGTAATGCTATATGGCTGTTACGGGGAATAGAGTAATGCTATATGGCTGTTACGGGGAATAGAGTAATGCTATATGGCTGTTACGGGGAATAGAGTAATGCTATATGGCTGTTACGGGGAATAGAGTAATGCTATATGGCTGTTACGGGGAATAGAGTAATGCTATATGGCTGTTACGGGGAATAGAGTAATGCTATATGGCTGTTACGGGGAATAGAGTAATGCTATATGGCTGTTACGGGGAATAGAGTAATGCTATATGGCTGTTACGGGGAATAGAGTAATGCTATATGGCTGTTACGGGGAATAGAGTAATGCTATATGGCTGTTACGGGGAATAGAGTAATGCTATATGGCTGTTACGGGGAATAGAGTAATGCTATATGGCTGTTACGGGGAATAGAGTAATGCTATATGGCTGTTACGGGGAATAGAGTAATGCTATATGGCTGTTACGGGGAATAGAGTAATGCTATATGGCTGTTACGGGGAATAGAGTAATGCTATATGGCTGTTACGGGGAATAGAGTAATGCTATATGGCTGTTACGGGGAATAGAGTAATGCTATATGGCTGTTACGGGGAATAGAGTAATGCTATATGGCTGTTACGGGGAATAGAGTAATGCTATATGGCTGTTACGGGGAATAGAGTAATGCTATATGGCTGTTACGGGGAATAGAGTAATGCTATATGGCTGTTACGGGGAATAGAGTAATGCTATATGGCTGTTACGGGGAATAGAGTAATGCTATATGGCTGTTACGGGGAATAGAGTAATGCTATATGGCTGTTACGGGGAATAGAGTAATGCTATATGGCTGTTACGGGGAATAGAGTAATGCTATATGGCTGTTACGGGGAATAGAGTAATGCTATATGGCTGTTACGGGGAATAGAGTAATGCTATATGGCTGTTACGGGGAATAGAGTAATGCTATATGGCTGTTACGGGGAATAGAGTAATGCTATATGGCTGTTACGGGGAATAGAGTAATGCTATATGGCTGTTACGGGGAATAGAGTAATGCTATATGGCTGTTACGGGGAATAGAGTAATGCTATATGGCTGTTACGGGGAATAGAGTAATGCTATATGGCTGTTACGGGGAATAGAGTAATGCTATATGGCTGTTACGGGGAATAGAGTAATGCTATATGGCTGTTACGGGGAATAGAGTAATGCTATATGGCTGTTACGGGGAATAGAGTAATGCTATATGGCTGTTACGGGGAATAGAGTAATGCTATATGGCTGTTACGGGGAATAGAGTAATGCTATATGGCTGTTACGGGGAATAGAGTAATGCTATATGGCTGTTACGGGGAATAGAGTAATGCTATATGGCTGTTACGGGGAATAGAGTAATGCTATATGGCTGTTACGGGGAATAGAGTAATGCTATATGGCTGTTACGGGGAATAGAGTAATGCTATATGGCTGTTACGGGGAATAGAGTAATGCTATATGGCTGTTACGGGGAATAGAGTAATGCTATATGGCTGTTACGGGGAATAGAGTAATGCTATATGGCTGTTACGGGGAATAGAGTAATGCTATATGGCTGTTACGGGGAATAGAGTAATGCTATATGGCTGTTACGGGGAATAGAGTAATGCTATATGGCTGTTACGGGGAATAGAGTAATGCTATATGGCTGTTACGGGGAATAGAGTAATGCTATATGGCTGTTACGGGGAATAGAGTAATGCTATATGGCTGTTACGGGGAATAGAGTAATGCTATATGGCTGTTACGGGGAATAGAGTAATGCTATATGGCTGTTACGGGGAATAGAGTAATGCTATATGACTGTTACGGGGAATAGAGTAATGCTATATGGCTGTTACGGGGAATAGAGTAATGCTATATGACTGTTACGGGGAATAGAGTAATGCTATTTGGCTGTTACGGGGAATAGAGTAATGCTATATGGCTGTTACGGGGAATAGAATAATGCTATATGGCTGTTACGGGGAATGGAGTAATGCTATATGGCTGTTAAGGGGAGTAATGCTATATGGCTGTTGCGGGGAATAGAGTAATGCTATATGACTGTTACGGGGAATAGAGTAATGCTATATGACTGTTACGGGGAATAGAGTAATGCTATATGGCTGTTACGGGGAATAGAATAATGCTATATGACTGTTACGGGGAATAGAGTAATGCTATATAGCTGTTACGGGGAATAGAGTAATGCTATATGGCTGTTACATGCTAGGATGATGAGGTATTCAGTGTATTAAAACAAATGACCTTGACTTCATTCGGGGTCATAGTTGTCATATGTGTAAAAACTTCAATATCATCACGGTATTGTAAGCATGAACACTTCGTAGACAAATGGTAACACGGTACAATATGGCTTGTGTATTAACTGTAGAGAATGATATATTTAAGTTGACAGTGCTAGCAACGTGTTCCTAGTAAATCAATATATAGAATCTGATTTATGTCAAATCCCAGACAAACTGCTATGTCGATATCTCTTGAACATTTTATGCGATGATATTATATGAATTTAAATAATGATAATGATACTAAAACTATCAATCAAGGATACATCTTTCCATTTTTGTGAAAACACCGGAAACAACAGACCAGCAGATTTGTATAAACCGTATCATGTCCATTATAGACAAGAGATCGAGTCATTGATGAACGGTGTTCAGATAAACAATATATTGTACTTCGCCTTACTACCTTTACTGTCAGTGATGGGCCACTATATCCCGGACTTTTCAAAGTGAATAGACTCCATTCATTTGGACACATATAGTCATTAGGTCCGATTTGGCTAAAATAACAATGAACGGTTATGGAGTTTTCTAAACTGGACAGTACTCTGACCAGAGAGCCTGTCATAATTGCAACCCATTAAATATTTATTAATGAACTATTTTGTATAATAATGAATTCTTTAATTTCGACTCATGCTTGTTAAGATATTGTGTTTATTTAGGCTTTATTAGAGAGATTAGTCCTGGTCGATAGAACGCTGTCATGTCAAGGAACGGTCCTGGAGTTTGCTTCTGGTCGGTAGAAGGCTGTCACGGGTGCGTCTGTATGTCTTCCACATCTAAACCAGAAATCGTCCGCCCTCTGGAAACATGCTGTCGAACTCCGGTCTGATGGATAAAAGATAAATAATAAAACGTCGTATTAAAACCACAAAGGAAATGCAGAGTCGGAAGACTATGCAAAGACGCAAATTGTAAACTTTCAATAAGGTTCATCAGTTTGAAAATATGTAATATTAACGTTTCACTTTATTCACTAACAATGTATGTACTAAACGTGTTGCAACGTTAAAAACCTAACCTAAAAAACTGATCAGAGACGAGGGGGGTACTAGTTAAGTCATCTGTATGGCCCACTTCTTACCTAAACGGGAGAGGGGGTTATATCTACACAGTACATTATGTATTGATAGTGCGTATAAACTCGTTTTATCGATAGGCGAAACGTCCCGGGTCGAATGACTTGATAAATTTACAATTTTGTCAAATCGTTGTACAGGGAAACAATACAAATCACTCACTTATAAGTAGCTTGACAAATGCACCAGTCGGCCTTGAAACGTTATGAAACGTGCGGGCATTGTTTTTGTATAAAGTTAATTTTAGATATATTACAAAATGCCGTACTTTAAGAACAGCGTTTAGGATTGCCACATCTTAATTGTTATTTAAGTGGAATCAAAGACACAATTTTCAGTTATGTTACTGTCTGTTAATTGTATCGATTATATGAACTCTTTATCTACACAAACATGTGTGACGGGAAGTAGATAGCAAAAATAAACTTAAAACAAGCAACAAGGACGTCTTGGTTATGTTAATTAGAACAAACGTTTCAACAACGTATTAGGAGATCGTACTATCACCTGAACCGACGTTGGTAGCTCCCCAGGCGTCAAAGAATAGATCGTGTGGGATGTTAACAGTTGGATCTGCAGGACATTTTGTTACATAAATCCAACATCCACCAGCAGCAGTTTTTCGTCGTCCTTAATAAAAGATACAGTGACCATGATGATGTGATATAGTGACATATAACGGTTTACACTTAATAATAGTGCTATATAAGATATATAGACTTGCCACTCTATTGTGACATATAATGGTTGACACTTAATATTAGTGCTATATAAGATATATAAACTTGCCACTCTATTGTGACATATAATGGTTTACACTTAATATTAGTGCAATATAAGATATATAGACTTGCCACCCTATTGTGACGTATAACGGTTTAAACTTAATATTAGTGCTATATAAGATATATAAACTTGCCACTCTATTGTAACATATAATGGTTTACACTTAATATTAGTGCAATATAAGATATATAGACGTGTCACTCTATAGTGACATATAATGGTTTACACTTAATATTAGTGCTATATAAGATATATAGACTTGCCACTCTATTGTGACATATAATGGTTTACACTTGGTATTAGTGCTATATAAGATATATAGACGTGTCACTCTATTGTGACATATAATGGTTTACACTTAATATTAGTGCTATAAATGATATATAGAGGTTTACACTTGGTATTAGTGCTATATAAGATATATAGACTTGCCACTCTATTGTGACATATAATGGTTTACACTTGATATTAGTGCTATATAAGATATATAGACTTGCCACTCTATTGTGACATATAATGGTTTACACTTGGTATTAGTGCTATATAAGATATATAGACTTGCCACTCTATTGTGACATATAATGGTTTACACTTGGTATTAGTGCTATATAAGATATATAGACTTGCCACTCTATTGTGACATATAATGGTTTACACTTGGTATTAGTGCTATATAAGATATATAGACTTGCCACTCTATTGTGACATATAATGGTTTACACTTGGTATTAGTGCTATATAAGATATATAGACTTGCCACTCTATTGTGACATATAATGGTTTACACTTGGTATTAGTGCTATATAAGATATATAGACTTGCCACTCTATTGTGACATATAATGGTTTACACTTGATATTAGTGCTATATAAGATATATAGACTTGCCACTCTATTGTGACATATAATGGTTTACACTTGGTATTAGTGCTATATAAGATATATAGACTTGCCACTCTATTGTGACATATAATGGTTTACACTTGGTATTAGTGCTATATAAGATATATAGACTTGCCACTCTATTGTGACATATAATGGTTTACACTTGGTATTAGTGCTATATAAGATATATAGACGTGCCACTCTATTGTGACATATAATGGTTTACACTTGGTATTAGTGCTATATAAGATATATAGACGTGCCACTCTATTGTGACATATAATGGTTTACACTTGGTATTAGTGCTATATAAGATATATAGACGTGCCACTCTATTGTGACATATAATGGTTTACACTTGGTATTAGTGCTATATAAGATATATAGACGTGCCACTCTATTGTGACATATAATGGTTTACACTTGGTATTAGTGCTATATAAGATATATAGACGTGCCACTCTATTGTGACATATAATGGTTTACACTTGGTATTAGTGCTATATAAGATATATAGACGTGCCACTCTATTGTGACATATAATGGTTTACACTTGGTATTAGTGCTATATAAGATATATAGACGTGTCACTCTATTGTGACATATAATGGTTTACACTTGGTATTAGTGCTATATAAGATATATAATCTTGCCACTCTATTGTGACGTATAATGATTTACACCTGGTATTATAAGTGCTATATACGATATATAGACTTGCCACACTATTGTGACGTATAACGGTTTATATTTGGTATTAGTTCTATATAAGATATTTACACTTGTCACCCTATTTACAGATATAACGTTTGACGCTATGTATTAGAAGTAGGCATGCATCTTGTTAGAGCGTCTCAACCGCCTTTTTTACAAAGACAAAATCAAAGTACTGTAAACCCTGAAGGAGGAGTTAGTCAGATATTTGGAAATGGAAAATAATGAAATGTAAAAGGTAAATTTTGAAAAAAAAGCAATTACAGATGCCAACACGATCATTGATAAGCATTCTAGAGTAAGTACTTATTTTTAAACTTGGAACTACTGACCATCAAAGTTACCCGCTTAACAAAAACTGAAACTTCATATCATTTTCAATTGGAATTGTCGCCAGGATGGCTGACAAAAACTCCCCGCTCCCCAATCCAGTCTGAAGCCCCCCCNCCCGAAAAATAACAACACTTTGTCAGGACCATGAGTTAATCATTTCCACAATGTTTCAGTTTAAGTTTGAAATAGTTTTTCAAAATCGCAGCAACGGCGGCCATATTGCATTTCTGATTTACCCGAAAAATAACAACACTTTTTCAGGACAATAAGTCGATCATCCCTACAAAGTTTCAGTTCAATCGGCCTAGCAGAACTTGACTTTAAGTTTGAAATAGTTTTTCAAAATGGCGGCCGCGGCGGCCATATTGGATTTCTGATCGACCCGAAAAATAACAACACTTGGTCAGGGAGATGTCAGTAAACTTCCCATGAAATATTAATGAAATCCCTTTGCCAGTATTTCAGCTTAAGTTGAAAATGTAAAATGTTAACGGACGACGACGGACGTAGACGGATAGCAATAGGTCACTTGAGCTAAAAGCTCATGATCAGGTGACCTAAAAATGCGCATGCGTAGCGTCATCCAAGGAGATTAACAAAAAAAACACTATTATACGTTCCTATTTTCGCAAAACCAATAGAAAATGGGTTGAGTTTACATCGTGATTGTTAAGAAGTGTAAACGACTAACCGAGGAGTAGGCCTTTGTTGTGTCATTGATAGTACTAGGACAGGCAACCAGCCTATTAAAAATGATGGCAAAATGTGAAAATAAACGAGGGCGCTTGCATAGCGTCACCCCATAATGTTATCCCAAATGTTCACAAAACACGTTTAGCAAATAAGCAGCATTAGCAAAATTTATTATATTTAACTTCAAAATTAAAAAACAATGCGTTACACTAGCACGTGTCAACAATAATGCGATAGAACGTCTTCTTTTCGCCTTCGGGCCTATTCCCGTAATCAGAATCGAATCATTGCCATATGGCTCATTTCGATGATGAAAACAGTCTAAAAAACAACTTCTTAGGACATATGCAATGATTATAGTTAGCGAAAGTAATGAAGCAGAGCAAAACTAATCTTCATAATGAAGTCGTTCAAGGTTTTTTGCAATCTTGTACGTAACTACTATCTCGCAGTTGTCTCCCTTCCAACAGTATTTTGTTTTATAATTTGACAACATTATCAGGATATTTACTATGAACGAAGTGCTAAAGTTGTCTCCATAGCATTTTCAGTAACGCAGGTTACCATCAGGCGTCGCAAATTCCGTATTTCCGCTGGAAGGAAATTACTGACATCACGTCCGATAGGTGATCTCAAAACGGCGGGCGTTCCGTATAAACCGAAACTAACTTTAATCAGTTACATACAACTACACAACGACTGGTTCGCCCATTGTCAGTATAATGTGACTGGTAGGGTGTCCTGCTGAGTGTCTTCGACAGCATGTTTCAGTGAGGTAGCACCATAATGTCGACATCAGTTCTGCGCTATCACAAGGAGACAAACAGGAACATATCGCAGCCTCCCTAAACACACAAACGCATACACTACACGCATGCATCTTGCACACAGGGGAGACCGTCCTTAATTGACCATAGCTGTTGGTAGGATGTTAAACAATACTAAACCAAACCAAACCAAACAACTACACAGGGGGCGTGGTCACATGAATGCATGGCGATACGATCAATCACGGTGTGTTTATTACCTGTTGGAAGATAAATGCTGGTGTAGGGGAAGGTTTCATCCGATCCGCAATACCTCCACTCTGCAAGAGCACGTGACAAACATGCGTTCTCGTCATGAGCAGCGTTCTGGTGTTGTTCAGCCCACTTGTCGCGTATAAAACCAACATGGTAAGATCCGTGCTTAGGACAGCCGTACTGGGCGAAGTAGCACCCGAATCCTCCCAGCGTCATGGCACCTAAGACATGGATCAAACGGTATAGTACAAAACCTTGCTCGTGGTCGAGTAATTGAGATATTTTATATAGACAAGGTTTTTGAAAATCGTCCACGTCGCCACTTTCAATAACAAAATTCGCTGCTCGATATATTTGACCTTCTCTGATTTAAATATCTACTTTGGTAAACGTTCTTGCCACTTTGAGCTTATTTTTTCTTGTGTCTAGTTAGATTGCAAATTTTTGAAACTAAATTATTAATTTTTAAAACTAAAGGTCGATATTTTACAACATGTGGTATAACCTGTAGGACCGTAGATGACGGAGAATTTTGATTGGCTGCCGCAGTGGGTCACCATATAGGGTACACGGTCCAGACACGCCGACTCGTTAATGCCTGTGTTCAGGTGTTTCTCGCCGTCTACGTCTCGCTGAAGGCCCGACGTGAACCCATGATCGTTTGGGCAGATTTCAACGTCAAACCAACAACCTACAAGTGCGATGCGATATAAATTTGATCAAAAATAAGGTAATTACTTGGAGTTCATAGACAGTATATTGTCCCATGAAAAATATGATTTCTCTCGAAATATAATTGCATTTTGTATTCAAACAATTATTAATGTAAATTTGGAAAAACAGGTGCCGTAAATGATTGCTAGTCTTGACAAGATGAACAAAAGTAGTCTCGTGCCTTGGTTAGGTGTGTTTTTGACGGTGTTCGCGTGTGAACCGTCCGGAAGGTATGACGTAATCGGAGTAAGTGCCGAGGGTGCATGTGTTGTACAAGGAGCAGGGACATCACGCTTTGTAGTGATGACGTCACGTCTGGAACCTGCAACTGTAAATGACCCAGTTAAGTGGTATAAAAGCAGGTATATATACAATGTTTACTTAATACAGCATGTACAGGGTGAATATAAATACACCGTGGACTATTGTAGTGAAAATTTGTTAAAACTAATTTATTTATTATTTTGTCAGATTATGATATTTTAATTCTGATACTTTTTAACTACAACAAATAGGAATAGCATTTCGAGCAATAAATAGTCCCCAATACCCGGACAAAACTATTTTATTAGGTTAGAGAGTACATGAGATGTGCTTGGACTAAAGATGGACCGACCGTAAACCCCACCGTACTACCGATGGTCCCCGGACAAATGTGTTTTCATTGGACATCTGCGATGTATGACGCATAAAAAGAGGAAATTTAATTATTTTGAAAACCAAACGTAAACAATTCTAATAAATCATTTGTGTAGTGAAATAAATTACCTGAGAGTATGTAGCAATGATGTACGAAAATACTTTATCCTTCTGTCGCTTCACCTTATATTTATACAGCTAATGTGTGTGGTTTTGAATGAAGTGAAAATAAAGTGCCGTACTGATTGGTCAATACTAAAAGCCATATCTTCACACTGTGACATATTCTATCAGGTTGATAGTATCCGATTTCTGACCGGAAAAAATGCATTTTATACTTATATTATTATCTACTTCCATGCTTTCTTAAAAAATGTAATGAAGAAATTAAAACATTATCACAGCTGTGAACCATCTTATCGCTCCTCGTTGTCTATGCTGGGGGTAATTTATGGCTCAATCGTTTTTCAAGTCGTGTGTTTATAGTATTGTCTTTTTTTTAATGTACCATGTCCTTTGTACATCGGACCGATCCCGCCCCTCGGGCCGACATCATGCAGAGGAACAGGGTCCGGAAAGTGGATGGATTGTGCAAATTTCGAGAGTGAACAGCGGGGTCGGAAGTCGGCCTGTGCGGGGTCAAAAAAGTCTGTCGGACCTGCAGCCTGTGAAAAAAGAAGACTTCAATGAAAGAATTAAAACCATCAAAAGCTTATGGATATACCAGAGGGTGAGTATACAAAGAACAAAACTCATTGTTCTACAGCGTCAACATAAGATATACCAAAGTGGCAACACTTAAAGTCATCCTATACTAAATCGCTCAAACTCAAAACCTAAATGTACTCCAACATCATAAACACATATCACAGCGTCAGCACACAAGGATAAAGTACACAAAATCGTCAAAACAAAATGTGCTCCAGCGTCATCATAAAAAATACCATTGCGTTAAGGACAAAATCAGAAGTGATTAAAATATACCAAAGCGTCACAGAAAAAGGACAAAAATTCAAACACACATCTTTACTACAACGTCAACAAAAACAACAGAAGTCATAGTGAATATGACAAACCCATACCAGAATTCGAAGTCGACACTAAAACAACATCAGGAAACGAGGGGACACCAAACAAAATGAAAGGCAACATTAGGGCCCCGAGGGAATACCAACACAAAATGAAAGGCGACATTAGGGCCCGAGGGGACACCAAAACAAAATGAAAGGTAACATCAGGAACCGAGGGGATACCAAAACAAAATAAAAGGCAACATCAGGGCCCGAGGGGACCCCAAAACAAAATGAAAGGCACCATCAGGAACCGAGGGGACAACATAACAAAAAGACATTATCAGGAACTAAAGGCAGAACAAAACGAAATGAAAGGCAACATTAGGGCCCGATGGGACACCAAAACAAAATGAAAGGCAACATCAAGAACCGAGGGGATAACATAACAAAATGGAAGACATTATCAGGAACTAAAGGCACAACAAAACGAAATGAAAGATAGCATCAGGAATCGATAGGACACTAATTTAAAACGAGAGACAACATCAGGACCGACGAGACACTAAAACAACTTGAAAGGCATCATCAGTACCCAAGGGACAATAGACAACCCAAAAAACCTTTCTTATAGGTTGCTTATAGATGTTGAAATCAGCTTCAATCCTTTGACAACTATCTATTTGAGGAAGAAATGTACTTATTATTTTACTGCCCCGATCCTGTTTTGAACCAGTAACCTGTCAAACCCTACTCTGTTATCAGAGGGTAATGTTATATCACTGATCATAATCTATGGAAACTTTAACGTACGAGAAATAAACAAGAAATACCTGGTGATTCATTGTGATATTAAACCAATGCGTGTTAGTGTACGATCCCACAAAGTCTGGGGCTGCCGAATTGTAGAAAATGTTCCTCGAAATTTCATTTCCTAAAGCAGAAATATTGTTTTAAAACATATGGATATTTTGAACGCAAAGCAGCTTCATGAATGTTTGAATGTCATAACAATGTTAAGGTAACGTTCGAATCAAGACACGTACATGTTGTATACATGTACAATGTAGTGGTAACATATGTTTTAAGTAATTAAGTGATACTGTCATATTGTACTTTAATGTAAATATGTATATATTCACAGTAACGCGTCTTTCATGGTAAATACACTATGGCATTCGTAAAGCACCTAGCTGCCGATTTGAATGGCTTAATATAAACAATGCATACCTCGTGGTTCGTCAGGTGCATTCGAGTCTATGACGGCTAGCTTGGGATAACGCTTGGCCCACAATGCACTCGTGTACGGCACAGCCTTGTAATGACAGATAGGTTTGTACATTCAGTGAAAGGAAGTGATATATCAGTACCAAACTCCTGTGATAACCAATCATTTATCTAATTAACAAATACGATCGGAATATCTGTGATATCCCACGGCAATGATAATCAGTGGTTAAGATAATTTAGCATATTGTATTTTTCATAAAAATCGTCAAAATTTAGTAACCGCTGTACTAAATACGTTAGTATATTTATCAGCCAAATTAAAGTTTCGCGATTTTAACTCGAACGTTTTAGCACAGATTCTGGACACTCGGCATATACAGTGTCAACTAGTCAAATGAATACTTTTTGACAGCATATTGAGCAACTACACTGTACAAGTACTTGTATTTTGTTAATCAAATCATAAACAAAAGTATTATATTGTGTTATTATATATATATTCAAACATCATTATTCTTTATATATATAAATCGTTACAACCATATGACGACATTACGATTTTGAAGTTTATTATCGCTCCTATCTTTACGCTTGTCATGATTCTGCGGCTCATTTTTTCGCAATCACGTTATCGACTCGAAAAATAGCGAAAATAACATTCCTGCGGAAACATCCTGATATATGGTATATCGGTGTTGTCAATGGCAATTGTACACGCGACTCTAAGGCTACTATTTGTTTAACTCGTGATCTTCGGATCATGTTTCCTGATCGTACTTACGTGCAGTTTTTTCTGTAACGGTTGTTCGTTACTGCTATGAGGAACTCCTCTAGAATCTACTTGCATGGACGACTTGGCTGCTTCGTAAAACACATTGTTTTGAATAATGTTGTCACGTCCGCCTCCTATGTTGACGTGTACGTCATTCTAAAGTCAAAAGAGCAAACAGGAAAACTCTGACAGATTCTCTGATTAAAATAATGTATTACTTTACATGTGTTTAGAGCCAAAAAATTACATCTTATAAAATGTAACTTTTTTTCTCTTATGAGGCATATATCCCCATATGTTTAAAGCATCTATAATAAACAGTGTCAAACAGTGCATGTGTAACAGGAGCGGGAAAATGCACGGCAAGACCGGGGTTCGAGCTCGGGACCTGAACTCTAGACGGACGCTTTACCAATTGAGCTACCTGGTCGCCGACGATCGACCCAGTCCGGTTCCGCTACACATGCATTAATACATCATTCGCAAGTGTCTGTCACCTATCGCAAGTTAACACTATGATCCGGTTAACAAAAGACAAAAAAACCCACAATAATTATCATTGCCAACTTACGTTATAGAATACATTGCTGTAAATGTTGACACTGGAATACTGATCGTCCAACATGACCCCCCGCACATCGGCCCCGGGGTGGAGGCGGAGGACATGATGCACGTGGTTGTATCGAACCACACACCCTCTCTGTTGACAACAACATACATACAATGATAAATGCTTTCTGGATATCGTCCTAAGGTTGTCCAGCTCATCATTAGTGGTGAGAATACGAAGATATGTGTATGATAGTTCAATATGGTGAACGTCATTAACAAGGGTATGGAAGAGATACTAGTCTCTGTTAACAACCTAAAATGAATTATTGCAATTGTACCTCACATATTTAAATTGATAACATATACGTTTGTATTTGAGTGCTAAAATGATCTTTTTAGCTGACAATATACGAAGACACATGAACATCAAACGTGAACTAAACTTTCATTTTGTATCCACAACGACGTACCTTTCTACAACAACTTTCATATTATGAGAGGAAAGTTACACTTTAAACATAATTCATGAATAAGCTCGAAAAAATAATGGATATCATGACGTCACAATGCAAGCTCAAATCACATATAAATACTACATGTATTTAATGCTACCTACCCCCGTCCAGTCACGCCCCGTGTGCAGTGCTCCACAATCGGTGGCGTTTTGACAGAGGTGGTGGACATGGTTATACTCCATCACGTGATCATTTCCCTGAATAAGCAAGCATATCGATGTCAAAGCAGATTAAAGGCACATATAGAAAGCAGTTCTTGTAACGCAACCACCACCCTTTTATCTACGGTATGTACTCGGTCACATTCATCTGACAAAGGACCAGTGCAGCGTATGTACACAAAGGTGTAAACAAGCCGTACTAGTCATCGAAACGTCATATAGAAACAATTATTGGTTGTGTTACAAGAATCTTTTCCTAGTTAATACATACCAACCTGAAGAAAATGTTTTAAAAATAGAAAGCAGTTTTTAGATCATGTATGACAATGACATTATCCTGCAATAAAGTGTTTCAGGGATCGTCCGGTAAAATATCACTAGAAGTACATATCTAAATTCATAATGTCGGCGCAGAAAGCCAAGCTCATTGCACCTTAGTACACATTCCTCCATTTTGGACTTATCGGAAGTACAACATTTGAAAAGAGAATTCATATACCAAGTGTTCCAAAACACATTTACAATTTAGGATACAACGAATTAATTGAAAAACGAAAGAACGAATGAAAGAAAGAAGGAAGGACAGAAGGAATGCATCTTAGGTAAACCGTTCCAGCAAAACTTCCTCCATAGACTTAAGCGACTTTGAAAAGTATATGGTAAACCTATTCTTAGTTCATAGTGTAAAGTGAGATCATGTGATAATGCTACATATATAACAGGGTTTGAATGATCGACCAATAACCACGATAGTGCCGATTCTATTTGATAGATCTTGGAATATTGCACTATAGTTTTTGGATATTATGCCTCGAAGAAGGCGGTTTGTGTAGATATAAAAACATGTTCAGATCAATTGGAAAATTAAAGAAAACATCAGGCGAATTACAAAGTAACTGCACCATATGATAAACAAACTACAGAAAACACGAGACCACGTTTATGAAACTTCAAATTAACGTAATACGAACGCTCCATCTGATGGCGGTGTACTGGCCGGTGTGTAGTTCGTTGTGCGCCATGTATATTCCTACGCCGTCGGCGCTGATAGCGTTGGACCCGACTGCTGTTTCCCTGCTGAAGCTGTGGATGATATTGTTATCCACCGATATCCGGGAGGGTGTTAATGTCGCTCTGATACCACCTTGAAGATACAGGCAAATTTGACATAAAAATTAAAAAGAAACGTCTTGAAACAAATAATTATGAAATGTATATCAAACAACCTGGATACGCTGCGGCGGACCTGTCGTGATACGGTATAAGGGGGTCATATACTCTCGCTCATCTATGACCAGGTGTTAAACAAATCGTAGCTGAATCGATTTGTCGATTTGATTTGTTATTTTGTTCATAATATAACAACTAATTGTACATACTATTTAATATCAAAGTTTTACTTTCTACACAATTAATGTACGTATTAAATGTGTCGCAACGTTTCAAGACCGACTTGTTCCTTTGTCAAGCTATGACTGAGTGAGCGATTTTTTTTACATGTATAACGATGTGACGGAATTGTATATTTTTCATGTCACTCAACCAGAGATGTTACACTGCATCAGCTAGGTTACAGGTAGGGTGTAGATCTAGCCCCCTCCCCTATTATGTTAGTATCGGTTCATGACTCAGGTGATGTCCCCCTCGTCTCTGGTCTTTTCCTAATTTTGGTAGCTTCTTTGATTTGTCTCGCTTTTTTGTTGTTCCCTTTCAATTATCTTTGCATTGTCCCAATCGACCATTTTGTATTGGGTGTTAGCGTGATCTGTTAATGCCGATTTATTGTACTGGGTGGCGCATGTTTTGCGTGTGGATCTGGTGAATGGTATGTTGCTCATTTTCTCTACGTCCTTTTGATGTTCCATCAATTGAGTACTAAATGTCCTTTCAGTTTCACCTATATATGACTGCTGACTTTTTTCATGGAATTTGTTGTACAACTCCTGTTTTAGCTAAAATGTCAGTCTTGTCTTTGGGGTACACCAGTAACTGTCTGAGGGTTGTCAAAGGTCTCATCGGGGTGCCGTAATGGTGTTTCCTCATCACCCGGGCAAACGCCTCAGATGGGACTTCACGTAGGGTATAGTGACCCAGTCTTTGCTCTTGATTTGACTCTCATTACATTTCTTCTGTCTCGGTTCTCATTACTTTTCCTCTGTCTCGGTTTTCTATTTTCTGTCTTTTCTTTTACCGCTCTTTTCACCTTGTTTATTGACCAGTCGGGGTGTCCAAACGGTCTTCCCCGAGTCTATCAACTTGCTCTGTGATGATCTTGTTGCATCCGTCGAGGATTGCACGTACAACTCCAAACTTTTGGTGTTGTGGATGGTGGGAATTGAAAGCCAAATATTTATCAGTGTGTGTCGGTTTGCAGTACACTAATAGTTTGATTGTGCTGTTTTCTTTGCGGACGATGAGCGTGTCCTAGAATGGTATGGTTCCTTCGTTTTCCTCCTCGTCGGTAAACTAAATGAAATTTGTTTTGTCCGATAGGTTCAGGTGATCTATTACGCCCTGCACTGCTCCCTTTTTTACTATTTCTAGGATGTCATCTACATGTACATATCGTTTCCAAATTTTTGGGGCCGCATTCCAAGGGTGCCGATCTAATGGCTGTCTGATCTAGGTATTCCATGGACAGATCCGCGACTATGGCGGACAGATCCGCGACTATGGGTGACACAGGACTTCCCATAGCAGTACCGTATTTATGTTGGTACACCTGACCTCTGAAAACGAAGTATGTCGTGTCCATGATAAATGTTAGTAGCTTTTAATCTCTCTCTGATGATATTGATGGCCGTTTGTACTGGTGTGTTGGTGAACAGTGAAACCACGTCGTGGGAGTTGAAAATGTCATGTTCTTCAATAATTACATTTTCCAAGTCAGATTATAAATGTTTGGCTAGATCTACACCATACCTGTAACCTAATTGATGCAGTGTGTTTACGCTCTCTATCGATAGGCGAAACGTCTCGGGTCAAGTGACATGAATAATATACAATTGTTTATGTAGAACTTAAAGTAAAACTTTGATATCACATATTTCCAAACTGATGAATCTTATTGAAGATAATTGTACATACGCTTATGTCGTATCCGAATCGACGTCAATTATATATTATTACTATCCTGGTTGTGCTACATTAACTATTCTACAATATATGTCAAATCAATTATTTCTTACTCTTACATTTTCCTTCCATTACCTCTTGACAGGAATCTATGTAGGAAGTGTGTTACCAATAAGATTCTTACCCGATACTTTGATACCACCATCCCCGTGGTGGACGTCACATCCGGTTATATTCACATTCAGGCAATTAAGACAGGAAATTCCGTACGAACCTAGAATAAGGGGGGATTATACAGTGTGAATATTTGACTCAAATACTGTCAACGAATTTGTAACACATAACATATTAATGGTACCTTATTTGGGAAGGGGGAATAGATAAGTAGTAATACTATCCCAAACATTTATATGGGTTGGTTGAGAAGAAGCCCGTAATCCATGTTGGTCTTACACAATTAAACGCTCACCAACGTTAGCTTAGGTGGTTGTGCGAAATTCAACTGACCATACGAATAGCCAGCTGTTTTGGCATACAAGAAGTAAAGAGATCGGATGACTCACCCTGACATGTTAGGCAAACTTTTCTCCTTTTTCTTTTGTATCACTCTGAGTTTCTAAGTTGATATATAGAGGATCTGTCATTCGTGTCCATGTCATATTTAATTTATTAAACATTTAATTCAATATAACATAAACACAAATGTAAAATTGTATTTCTCAAATAACATTCACAATTTGAAGAAAACACTTAAAACAGAATTATTAGTTATCAGCTGACTCTATATAGGTCAATAGCAAAGTACTCCGGTCATTGCATTGTCATTCCGCGCAGTGCAAAGTAGTTCCAGTTTCAAAAAAAACAAACCATTTTAAATGCGAGGAAATTAAAAATGGCAAAATAAACATTTACATTAACAATAATAGTAAATGCAGCATGTGGTATAGTAGATAAAAGTAGTACCTACAGTGGTGTAGGAATATGTTCCCACGGTTTCGACTAATCGCAGTAGATTTAGGTTTCCTTACACGTGTGTATTACCATAATTATGACATGGCCGTACGACATTGTAAATTAGGGCAGTTATGTGATAAACAAATCTACAAATTGTCTGACATATATGTGATGATGAGTTACCTGTATTCCGCACTTCCATCCTCTGGACAGTGATGTTTTGTCCATACCGTACAGAGATGCCATAGTGGCGACAGGCCTCCAGCGTGAACCCTTCAAATATCACGTTAGAAGTGTGGTCTAGACTAAAATAGATACGTTGAGATGAGTTAAGAGAATTTTCAGCTGTTTTGTAAACCCTTGAAACGTATTTTTCGTAAACACCACAGCCAATGTAGATTATATACACAAACAGATTTTAAATTTTGAAGTCAAACAAAATACTTAATGTGCATTGTTTGCAGGTGATAGAATATTGCGATTATTTTTCAATGTACAAGTATATATGTGGAATTGAGGAAATGACGTTCTAATGTTAAATAATTGTTTAAATATCTAATGAGATCGTTAAAAAATCATTTCAGTTTATCAGATATTTCCTTAAATGAAAAATGCTCGGACTTGTTTCATCAATCGATGAAATGGAATTTCATGCAAGACCCTATATAAATGTGTATACGGTACTATTAATGGCTAATCGTCTGCTGGATAACCGAATCACTCGGTAGTGAAGCGGACGTAAAACCTATCAATCAATCAATCAATCAATCAACTATTAACGGTTAAATGGACAATAGGTCTGAATATCGCGAGGAAGTTCTATCAATTTATATAAATGTTTAGCAGTAACTTACTTGAAGCAGTGCGCTAAGTCTGAGGCGTATATAACGTCATGTTGATCCAGACCTTCAGTTTGTGAGGGCGGCCACATGTAGAGTATCCCGGATGTCCTGTCGATGTAGTACTCACCCTGCACGTACAAACAGAAATACAATCATAAACACACAGATTCTAACTGATCGGTTATTTTTCATTGAAGGGGGCGAAGTTTATTTATAAGCGAAGCACGACTAAAAGAATTGCAAGTAATAATTACTGTTAAAGTTACATTTTATTTATAGAAAAAATAAAATCTAACGACCGACTAAACACCAGCCGATTTCACCCTTCACAGAGCTCTTCATGTCTATTTCCCTGTGAAGTATAACAGCAGCTTGTTCTTTAGTCGGTCGTTAGATCCTATTTGTTCTATACTTACCTACTTAACATGGACATTTAATCCTTTTTTGTTATATATACCTATTTTATTGACAAGAAAAAAACCTATTTTAGTTACATTTTATCTATATTATATTGAAAAGAAACAGTCACTGTTTTCGTTACAGTCTATAAATATGAAGTCGACAAGAAATAATGACTGTTTTATATACAACACGTATTGGTTTTGGGAAGAATTGTTATCTTGAAAAGTAGAAACTGTACATTTTGTTTCTCTTTGATACATTGGTTTTCGAGGACTGAAATGATAAACCTCCCGGTATAGTTAGTAATTCCTATTTAACGGTTAAAAAGATGCAAAATGATATATCATTCTTATATGTTTAAATAAAAAGATTAATGTCTACTTAGGTCGAAATTGATATTGATGAAATATGAAAGAAATTGATATTGTGGTTGTATAGTTATACCGTAACGTGTAACCATTACCAATGAAATGTAAAGCACAGCTTCGGTAGGTAATATATGATACATACCGGTTCGTCTAGTTTAGAGAGGGCGTTGATTATCCGAAAGTAGAGCTTAGGTAAAGTAACATTTGATATACCGGTTCGTCTAGTTAGAGAAGGCGTTGATTATCCGGAAGTAGAGCTTAGGTAAAGTAATATATGATACGAACCGGTTCTTGTTTTAGAGAAGGGGTTGATTATCCGGAAGTAAAACTTAAGTAAAGTAATATATGATACGTACTGGCTCGTCTAGTTCAGAGAGGGCGTTGATTATCCGGAAGTAGCCGCCTTGATCTTGATAACTGTATTGGTAATTCTGACCATAATGAAAATGACCTAGGTGGAATCAATGATGAAAATATACGGTAAAGTCATTTACAGAAAACAAAACTGTGGTTACAGAGGTAACATGTTGCATACGGTATGTGATTTGTAATGTAGACAATATTCAAGTGAACAAGTGATTGACCCGTATATAGTCCGTAAAGTGGAGGATGAGTCAGGGTAATGGTGTAGACATTATCACATTGTAATATATTTTCCCGTCCTCAGTCCGTAATGTGGAGGATGAGTCAGGGTAATGGTGTAGACATTATAACATTGTAATATATTTACCCGTCCTCAGTCCGTAAGGTAGAGGATGAGTCAGGGTAATGGTGTAGACATTATCACATTGTAATATATTTACCCGTCCTCAGTCCGTAATGTGGAGGATCAGTCAGGGTAATGGTGTAGACATTATAACATTGTAAGATATTTACCCGTCCTCAGTCCGTAATGCGGAGGATGAGTCAGGGTAATGGTGTAGACATTATCACATTGTAATATATTTACCCGTCCTCAGTCCGTAATGCGGAGGATGAGCCAGGGTAATGGTGTAGACATTATAACATTGTAATATATTTACCCGTCCTCAGTCCGTAAGGTGGAGGATGAGCCAGGGTAATGGTGTAGAAATTATAACATTGTAATATATTTACCAATCCGCAGTCCGTAAGGTGGAGGATGAGCCAGGGTAATTGTGTAGACATTATCACATTGTAATATATTTACCCGTCCTTAGTCCGTAAGGTGGAGGATGGGCCAGGGTAATGGTGTAGACATTATAACATTGTAATATATTTACCCGTCCTCAGTCCGTAATGTGGAGGATGAGTCAGGGTAATGGTGTAGACATTATAACATTGTAATATATTTACCAATCCTCAGTCCGTAAGGTGGAGGATGAGCCAGGGTAATTGTGTAGACATTATCACATTGTAATATGTTTACCCGTCGTCAGTCCGTAATGTGGAGGATGAGTCAGGGTAATGGTGTAGAAATTATAACATTGTAATATATTCAACAATCCGCAGTCCGTAAGGTGGAGAATGAGCCAGGGTAATTGTGTAGACATTATCACATTGTAATATATTTACCCGTCCTCAGTCCGTAATGTGGAGGATGAGCCAGGGTAATGGTGTAGAAATTATAACATTGTAATATATTTAACAATCCGCAGTCCGTAAGGTGGAGAATGAGCCAGGGTAATTGTGTAGACATTATCACATTGTAATATATTTACCCGTCCTCAGTCCGAAAGGTGGAGGATGAGCCAGGGTTATGGTGTGGACATTATAACATTGTAATATATTTACCCGCCGTCAGACCGTTAGGTGGAGGATGAGTCAGGGTAATGGGGTAGACGTTATAACATTGTAATATATTTACCCGTCCTCAGTCCGTAATGCGGAGGATGAGTCAGGGTAATGGTGTAGACGTTATAACATTGTAAGATATTTACCCGTCCTCAGTCCGTAAGGTGGAGGATGGGCCATGGTAATGGTGTAGACATTATAACATTGTAATATATCTACCCGTCGTCAGTCCGTAATGTGGAGGATGAGTCAGGGTTATGGTGTAGACGTTATAACATTGTAATATATTTGCCCGTCCTCAGTCCGTAAGGTGGAGGATGAGTCAGGGTTATGGTGTAGACGTTATAACATTGTAATATATTTACCCGTCCTCAGTCCGTAATGTTGAGGATGGGCCAGGGTAATGGTGTAGACATTATCACATTGTAATATATTTACCCGTCCTCAGTCCGAAAGGTGGAGGATGGGCCAGGGTTATGGTGTGGACATTATAAAATTGTAATATATTTACCCGTCGTCAGACCGTTAGGTGGAGGGTGGGCCAGGGTAATGGTGTGGACATTATAACATTGTAATATATTTACCCGTCGTCAGACCGTTAGGTGGAGGATGGGCCAGGGTAATGGTGTGGACATTATAACATTGTAATATATTTACCCGTCGTCAGACCGTTAGGTGGAGGATGAGTCAGGGTAATGGTGTAGACGTTATAACATTGTAATATATTTACCCGTCCTCAGTCCGTAAGGTGGAGGATGGGCCAGGGTAATGGTGTAGACATTATAACATTGTAATATATTTCCCCGTCCTCAGTCCGTAAGGTGGAGGATGAGTCAGGGTTATGGTGTAGACTTTATAACATTGTAATATATTTACCAGTCCTCAGTCCGTAAGGTGGAGGATGAGTCAGGGTTATGGTGTAGACATTATAACATTGTAATATATTTACCCGTCGTCAGTCCGTAAGGTGGAGGATGGGCCAGGGTTATGGTGTAGACATTATAACATTGTAATATATTTACCCGTCCTCAGTCCGTTAGGTGGAGGATGAGTCAGGGTAATGGTGTAGACTTTATAACATTGTAATATATTTACCCGTCCTCAGTCCGTAAGGTGGAGGATGAGTCAGGGTTATGGTGTAGACTTTATAACATTGTAATATATTTACCCGTCCTCAGTCCGAAAGGTGGAGGATGGGCCAGGGTAATGGTGTTGTTGGATGCCGTGATAGATTTTACTTTGATAGAGCGATCTGCCCAGCTCCAGTACCTTTATTGGATGATTAAACATAAAAATCCCAATTTGCAAAAAACTCAACTAGGACTAATGAGATCATAGCGTCAAAATACAAGGACAAAATATACCATAGCATCAAAAGACAAGGATATGACAAACAACATCGTTAATATATGGATATGATAAACTCAGGCAAAAACGCTAATGTCAAATGTATAATATAGGGTCGATACACAAGGAAAGGTCTATCGGATCACCAACACACAAGATACTGCAGTGTGAATATATGAATATATACCATATAAAATTACCATAGTTTCAACACACAACGACAACATTATCCTCGAAACTCCAGGGGTTACGCTCACTTTCGCTCTCTGCACCCCTGGCATATGTCATAGCAAACTTGAAGGCAAGCGGCTAACTATTTGATTAGTCTCAGGTGAAAGGTTATGTTACTTGTACGCGACTGAGAGATTCTTCTGATATACATCAAAGGATTAATCTAGTCTTCTTGTCTCATCCACGAGGTTGCGCACACTGAGGCTTCGAATTTGCCATGACATATTCCGGGGTTGCAGAGAGCGAAAGTGAACGTTACCCCTGCAGTATCGAGGATGCGACAACATGTACAATAACTTAAACTTACAAGGACACAGAGGCCGCAATGTCAACACATAAGTTCAAAAATGCATTCTATCGTCAAGTAATAAAGCTAAAACTAACGACAAAATCAAAACAAAATGATAAAATATAGTACAGCGTCAGCAAAATAGGACGATAAAACAAAATATAAAGAATGGTTAACGCACAATTGCGAAATGAAAGCTGTCATACGAAATGGAACTACTTGAAACAACCAGATGGTGTACGTCTCGTATATTCCTGTAACGAAAAGGTAACGTTTTGTCTTTTATACCATTAAAGCGTTCATTAACTATTTGTCATTAATACAAATGTGCGACAGAATTATTAACTTTAAACGATTTGCAGCAATATTAACATATATCAGCTTATTCACGACGACAATACGTACCAGAATCCATGAGCCCATAAGTCCGACTCCTGGCTCCAATGACTGGCTCTGTCCCCAGAGAAGGTGAAACTTGACCCAGTCTTACCGTCCACAAGTGATGCAATATTGATATAGCCTTGACCCTAAATAAGGACGAAATAATAAAGAAGTTTGGACAAAACATATATTAAAACTGGAAGATAATAAGCTCTCTCCAAAAATAAACGTTCATATTAAACCTCATAGTAGTTGCATTGACTAAACAGAGAAATTACATGTACACTTCTGTTTGACTATTTCTGTCCTTTGGAATCATCCATGTCATGTAGTATAAATTTGCTACAGGACTTCCATCACAAATGGACTGATGACGTCTATTCATAAATGTGTGCATTCCAATATTAGTGAATGCTTAAGAAAACGAGACTGTTTACAGTTTTCAGATTAGTTTGGTTTCTGTTTTTTGCTCATTTGGTTTTCATATGAACTTCCGTCTTGCAAAAAACGCAAGTGTGAGATGAATAATGATAAAAAAGGTTAGCCCGCGACAACTGAAATATAAAAAAAAATCTTGATACATGTAACAATAAACCAGTAGATGACTTTTATAATTCATAGCGGAGTGATCAGTTCACAACAAAAATGTGTTAAAATACTTAAAGTTTGAATTAGAACAAATTATAACCCTAGAAAACATAAATACGAAAGTCATGAAATGAATTTGTGGTCCAAACGCGACACAGACACAATAGGTTTAACAATGTCTATTCTTCGTTTCAAAATGATTTTGTTTTTATAATATAAATTATGGTTAATAATCGTTTTTTATTAGCTATTCTAAATACGCTTCTTATTTTATCACTGGTTGACATAGAAACTTATTAAGTTGTTGATTACCAAAAAAAGAGTTCATACATTTTTACATGAAAAGACGCATGCACAAGGTTTTGCCACAAAGGGATTGCACTGATCTAACCATGACAGAATCAAACGTTTTCTTATAAGCCCGACTTTTCGGGTGATGCATTCTTATCAAACGGGGATGAAACTTTAAACAACTATCAACTTGGCAGTCATTGATTTTGAACCAAATGACACGAATGCTGGCTCGTCAAAAATCGTGCAATACAGTTGCCAGGGCAAATGATCAAAAGTTTGAGACAAGGCATAGAGAGTTTATGTTTCACAACAAAAACAAATCCTCACTCCGATCATGTCTACATCACAAACAAAGCACTGAGTAGCGCACTCTTCCGTTAAATCATCCTGAGTTACAATCAGCCGTTGTCCCACGCCCTGTCGTAAGGTCACACACATACAACTCTATCACGCGTTCATCAGCCACGGTTTCCTCAATTTCTGACGACATGGCAAATAGCGAGACTATTGTAGCATCTTCCAACTGTATTCAGGTTTCCATGCAATCAACAGATAAATTCACGTCTGGATTCTTCGTCAATTCGAACTTTTCCCACTGAACAATCAAATTCCAAAAGCAACAACAATACCTCAGTGGAATGCCCTCCCTCCTTACTTGGCCACTAGTGCTACACTATCTTCCTTTAAATCAGCAATCAACTCTTGTACATATAACTAATCTTTTTACCCCCAAGCCATGCAATTCCTATCATAACTTGCATAATCTTCATTTTGTTGAAGTAGGCAAGAAACCAGTAGAACAAGAACTTACTCCTTCGTGGAGGGCAAGGTCGGATTGCCGTGTTGACTGTATTTATCCATGCGAGAAATTTTATTCGAGGTAAAAATAAAAACAATGTTATATCTAATTTCAGCTAAGATAATTAGATATTGATAATTAAAATCGCCCTATATACATGTCGTACGCAATTGTACATGTATTGATAATATTGTTCAATAAGTTTTATTTTTAACTTTCAAAGTACGATTTTGTTTGCCAATCACCACACCACAACTCCTGTTCCATATATTGAACAGATTTGTGTGTACTGTCGATAAGGCAGGAATTTTGAATTGTAAATATAACATGTAAGTTAAAAAAACACTTAAAAGACGGAGAAAACGTAAATTTAAGTATTGACCGTTTTTTTGTATGGCATTTATAATCTATTTGAACGACATTGCTTTGCAGGCAAATTTATTATTTGGTTGCTTGCAAAACTGTGTCATTCAAATAGATCAGAGCAATGGAAATTAGTCCATGAAGTTACCATTTATACACTAGTAGATGATTCAGTCACAACAATGTTTTGACAGTTCAGGTTGTTGTAATAAAATATATTCACATTATGTGTATAACGCCTTGCGCATGAAGTTTATGTAAGGAACAAAACGCACACTTACCTCGTTCGGCCATCTGGCCATCCTTAATGGGGCGCCATTGTAAAATATCTCCATGGGAGCGGTGCGATCCTTGTAGAATCCGTAGTCGGATAGGTCCCATAGATGGGACAGACCAGCGTCCGACAGACGAGCTGCAACTACCTGAGTCGAGATTAGGAAAGATGAATAAATCAGTTAGAATATAACCAACTTAAGTATGTAGAGAAATACGTATTACATTACCTATACAGACTCTATCGAAATGTCTGTACCAAGTCCAGGAATTCAAAAAAGGTTAATGCTGGAGATAATATTGCGCTTCACGAACATACATTTGTATCACAAATCAACAACTTAGGTTTGTCACCGAAACTTAGTGGGTTATTAAGGATTAACTTGAATATATTTTTCATGTAATGGAGATATAACACAAATAATCGGAGTGTACTCTAAATAAACCGCGAAGCGGTTTATGATGAGAGTACACTCCGGTTTTTTTGTGTTATAGCTCCATAACATGAAAACTATATTCAAGTTAATCCTTATGATTCAATCTTCTATACACAATCCATGTGGATATCCACTTTTATTGATGGATTCTTTTCTCTTAGAAATTATTGCGCTGCTGAATCAGCCAATCAAAAGCGACGTTACAAACGGCGACGTCATTTTTTTACGTTATGGGGTGATAAAAAAAGCCAATGAAAATGCTTGTTACAAGCAAGATTAAATTATTAATAATTGAATTGTTCTTCTCTTTACGTTTAAATTGCTTAGTAATATGTTTTTGAATGTATATCAGTCAAACATTTATGCATATCTATTCTCCTGTATGTGCCTTGTTCTAGAAACAGGAAGTAATGAAATTAAAAAATATTAGTCGAACAAAGTCCAACAAAGTTACATTCACTGAACCATACAACCAATTCGACCATTCAGGAGACATCAGCTGTACCTAATGTTTAACAAAGTTAATATATGTAGCGAAGTTACAGTGATTCCAACGGTCCCACACTGCCTATGTGTATGCCTGAACAGGAAAAGTCGTGTATTAGGTGCTGGTCACAAGGGAGAAACGTATGTATATTGTTCATCAATTTCGAGTCGGGAAACGCGGATAAATTGTCATTGTCATTGGTATTTCTGACAAGTCTGATACGGCCTTAAAACGACGATAATAAAAGAACCAAAATACGTTTAAATGTACCTGCGTTTCAGTAGTATGTTCAGTTAGTTAAAAGGAAACTTACTTTGTTCCGTGCTTCGTTTTGAAGGTGGCGGAGGATACCAGAATCAGTGACATGTTTAAATAACGACGTAGGCAATCTTTTCCCGCCTGTCTAATGACAAAAAGAAAAAGTGAAAAAAAAACCTCAATGAAATACAGAGTTAGCATATCAATTGCATATCTGGTATATACATGTCAATTTTCATTCCACAAGACGATTTTTTTTTGTGTGCGGAATTTCTTTTGTTGTTGAACGGAGACAGGATCATGTGAATCACTGCTCTGCAGATTCACAGTTGGACGTTTCTTCACGAACCTGGTAAGCATTACAGTGTTAAAGATTGAGAATACGTACCAGGAATCATCAACCTGTAGATTTGATTATCCTGTTATAATATCAACTTTGATACCTACCACGTGCACTTCACTGTTACCATTGGCCCGGATGGTCACCTTCCTCGCGTCACTGTGACGTATGTTAACAGTTGACGTCAGGTCATGATATCCTTGCATAAGTTCTATAAATACATCTGCAGGAGGAACATTAAATGTTTTAATGTCTTTTGTACAAATTTGATATAATATCTATCAATGTGAGGGTTGAGACCATTGTGACGTCATAATTATATCACTGCACATTGCTGGCCGGTGCTAATTATTGGCTGTTACATTGATTATAATCACCTCAACTTGTTAAAAAATAGATGAACCTGAACTTTGTGTAATTATGAATAATGTTCAAATTTATGTAACTATGATTTTAATAGCATAGTGAAGAAATCGAAAAATGCGCCTAAACTTAAAATATATATTTGACGGAGTACAGCCATATTACTCGTGCATTATTACTAGTGTGAAACCGAGATAACTATAACACATGTATTATTAGATTACTCACTTTTTCCTGTGACGTCTGGATGAGAGAGACGTGAAATGGCGGCCTGAATAGTCTTTAATGCGTGGCCTACGTCCCGTCTGTAACAGTTTACAGGTTATATGTCATTGACACGGGTAATGGACGTGCAGCATTTTTACCAAAGTGGTACATCCTGTTACCACTATATCGTGTATCTGACTCAGTTCGAAATACATTCAAAATGCATACATGCTGCTGGACATTAATAGTACATTTCTTCTGTAGTCAATATGTATTCAGACCCCTATCACTAATGTATTCAGACCCCTACTATTAAATATGTATTCAGACTCCTATCACATATGTACTCAGACCCCTATCACAAATGTATTCAGACCCTATCACTAATGTATTCAGACCCCTATCAAATATGCATTCAGACCCTTACTATTAAATATGTATTCAGACCCCTATCACAAATGTATTCAGACCCCTATCACATATGTATTCAGACCCCTATCATATATATATTCATACCCCTATCACAAATGTATTCAGACCCCTACTATTAAATATTTATTCAGACCCCTATCAAATATGTATTCAGACCCCTATCACAAATGTATTCAGACCCCTATCAAATATGTATTCAGACCCCTATCAAAAATGTATTCAGACCCCTATCAAATATGCATTCAGACCCCTACTATTAAATATGTATTCAGACCCCTATCACATATGTATTCATACCCCTATCACAAATGTATTCAGACCCCTATCACATATGTATTCAGACCCCTATCACAAATGTATTCAGACCCTACTATTTAATATTTATTCAGACCCCTATCAAATATGTATTCAGACCCCTATCACTAATGTATTCAGACCCCTATCACAAATGTATTCAGACCCCTATCACTAATGTATTCAGACCCCTATCAAATATGCATTCAGACCCCTACTATTAAATATGTATTTAGACCTCTATCATATATGTATTCAGACCCCTATCACATATGTATTCAGACCCCTATCACTAATGTATTCAGACCCTTATCACAAATGTATTCAGACCCCTATCACATATGTATTCAGCCCCCTATCACAAATGTATTCAGACCCCTATCAAATATATATTTAGACCCCTATCACTAATGTATTCAGACCCCTATCACATATGTATTTAGACCCCTATCACTAATGTATTCAGACCCCTATCACCAATGTATTCAGACCCCTATCAAATATATATTTAGACCCCTATCACTAATGTATTCAGACCCCTATCACATATGTATTTAGACCCCTATCACATATGTATCAAGACCCCTATCAAATATGTATTCAGACCCCTATCACCAATGTATTCAGACCCCTATCAAATATGCATTCAGACCCTTACTATTAAATATGTATTCAGACCCCTATCACAAGTGTATTCAGACCCCTATCAAATATGCATTCAGACCCTTACTACTAAATATGTATTCAGACCCCTATCACTAATGTATTCAGACCCTTATCACAAATGTATTCAGACCCCTATCACATATGTATTCAGACCCCTATCAGAAATATATTCCGACCCCTATCACATATGTATTCAGACCCTTATCACAAATGTATTCAGACCCCTATCACATATGTATTCAGACCCCTATCACTAATGTATTCAGACCCCTATCACATATGTATTTAGACCCCTATCACATATGTATCAAGACCCCTATCAAATATGTATTCAGACCCCTATCACTAATGTATTCAGACCCCTATCAAATATGCATTCAGACCCTTACTATTAAATATGTATTCAGACCCCTATCACAAATGTATTCAGACCCCTATCAAATATGCATTCAGACCCTTACTACTAAATATGTATTCAGACCCCTATCACATATGTATTCAGACCCTTATCACAAATGTATTCAGACCCCTATCACATATGTATTCAGACCCCTATCACATATGTATTCAGACCCCTATCACATATATATTCAGACCCCTATCACATATATATTCAGACCCCTATCACATATGTATTCAGACCCCTATCACAAATGTATTCAGACCCCTATCACACATGTATTTAGACCCCTATCACTAATGTATTCAGACCCCTATCACTAATGTATTCAGACCCCTATCACATATGTATTTAGACCCCTATCACTAATGTATTCAGACCCCTATCACATATGTATTCAGACCCCTATCACATATGAGTTCGAACTCTCTACCATGCATGTATTTGTAAGCTGCTGTGAACCACTGATTGACCCATGAGGACTACTCATACAGTGCTTTGATGCCTATATCTGTGAATATGACCTAGCCATACCTTATGTGGCAAATTGTTCACCTTAGCATTTTATAAAAAAAAAACAACAACAACAAGGCACACTTATGTGCATCATCAAAAACACCAATCTTCATATGCTACAAGGAAATAGAGTTTCCCGTTGAGATTATAAAGGCGACCAAAAGAATCTTCTTTGAAATATATGAAATATACATTAAAGGATTTTGCAAGTCGTAGCTATATGTTGTGATAAGCTACTAAAATGTCAGCCTCATATAAGAAACAAAAGCATGTTTGAGTATACAAACAGTCTGTTGGATGATCAGCTCACCTAATTCAGAAAAAGGTATTGTCAAGCAGAATTCAACGAAAGTAATTCGATTAATCACCCCTTAAACTGACCGTGTGTTGATTGGTTGAAATGTCAGTTCAGTGGTACAATATCATTACTTTGTCGTAATATACTACTAGCTCGACTACTTACCCTGAGTTCTGGTCACTGCCGGAGACACTCACGTACAGATGCACGCTTTCCAAATCAGGCATAAGAAAACCAGAAATTCCAAGGGAAAAGGCGATTAAGCTTATTGCCACATGCAGTCTGGCCATGTTTATTCGTGGCATTGTACTTATTGCCATTCAGTTGAACTTTTAGATAACGCAGGTTGACTGATTATACACTACGTGAACCTCTCACACACACATTCTGTGATTATCTCGATTCCATGGTTCAGGATCAGAAATATTTCATGTTTGAAAATAAAGGAATTCAGCGAAACAAAGGTGATGGTCTGTATAAACAGCAGATATTCACATAAATACAGCCTTTTATGGGTGGCACTTCTGGGTGGCAAAGGGTTTGTTAGAAGAAGTGTGTCAGAGTGATTTCCTTTTATCGCAAGTATGACTGAATTGTTTGAAAATGAGATAACCATGTGTCCAACAGAATCTTGATATTTGCTTTTATTGACTATTATTTATTACAGTGTATATATTTTTTTACATTATTGTATTAACGAGGTGTGACGCACTTTTGTGTGAGCTACGTATATGCACTGTGGTGAGGGGATATTTCTTTGTGATAACAAATTTACAATGTTAATGTTAAGGTGTACAACAGCTCTCAGAAGTTCTGGAAATACTTCTTTCATTACCCAACTATTTTATAACTGTAACTTTTTGCCCCTGTATATTTAAGCTTATCTCATTTTGTGTTGGTGGGGCTGTTCCGGATAATGAATGATTGCTTATCTGATCTATTAGTGTTACCTTTGTCCACGCAATCACGAACAATCTTAGTTTCAAGATCGTTCTCTAGTGTAAAACCCATGAATCGGTTACAAAATTATTTAAAACACGTTCAGAACGATCTAAAGGTACCTGTTGTGATACCTAGGCCTGGAGAGTCTTATGTAAGTTAATTTTGTACCAACATGTCAGCAATATTTGTACAACAAATACAGCTCCAGCATTTGTACAATTTGGAATCTCTGCCTCACATGAATGCTTCTGACTAAATATGATCAATATCCATGGCATAATTCTACAGAAGAAGTCGTTTATAGCAATATAGCCAAATTGCCCCCTTTTGGCCCCGCCCCTCAGCCAAACCATTTGTACAATTTTAAATCCCCACCACCTAGGGATGCTTCCAGTCAAATATGGTTGATAACCATCTCTTAGTTCCAGAGAAGTCGCTTAAATCAATGAAGCCCAATTGCCCCCTTTTAGCCCCACCCCTCAGGCCTGGGGGCCAGACCAACGATTTATACAAAATTGGTTCCCCTTCACCGAAGGATGCTTCAGACTGAATATAGAACAAATCCTTTCATTCCTACAGAAGAAGAAGGATTTTAAAGAATTTACTATGTGTTCCCTATTTGGTTTCCCATCTCCTAAGGATGCTTCTGATTAAATTTGGTCAAGAAATGCTCAGTCGTTTATGACTAGTAGCGATTTTTAGGAAAAGTTGATGGACGACGGACAACGGACGACAGATGACGGACGGACGCCGGACGCCGCGCCATGGCATACGCTCACTAGCCCTTCGGGCAGGTGAGCTAAAATTGCTGGAGAGGTTTTAAATACCAGTTTTATCTTCAAGTTTTATCAAAATAATATATTGCCTTATTAAAGTGGAACACGATTGTTTGTTTCCCCTTGATTAATGATGTTTCACTCGGGCTTTGTTCGCCCCAAGAAACATGATTAATCTCGGGAAAACAAGAACTTGTTTACCCTACCATAAGGGGAATACGTTTTGTATTGTACCGAAATCAAAACAATGATACAACAATAACATAAAATTATATTAGAATTTCGATTTGAGGGAATTCTCACCAATGTGTACTTTTTCTGGGTGCGTTTTTGACATGCAATGGGTGAATATAATTATTAAGAATTATTTTTTGCTGAATCGCCCTCTGGAATTGTCTTGTTTCAAGGGATTTCAGAAATGTCACAAGGGGTCACACGACCAAGGGCTGGTCACTCGAGCTTTAGTTAATGTATTTCAAATAAAGTTAAGATATTGAGGTGAACATGTAACAATGGCTTCCAATGAAGTGAAACAATGTGTAACAATATAATTAAAATGATGTAAAAGTGTAAACACGTCTTTAACCAATGATGTATGTAGGTCACCAATGATGATGGACAGTGTAAACACGCCTTCAACCAAGGATGTATGTAGGTCACCAATGATGATGGACAGTGTAAACACGTCTTTAACAAAGTTAAGATATTGAGGTGAACATGTAACAATGGCTTCCAATGAAGTGAAACAATGTGTAACAATATAATTAAAATGATGTAAAAGTGTAAACACGTCTTTAACCAATGGTGTATGTAGGTCACCAATGATTATGGACATTGTAAACTCGTCTTTAACCAGGAATATATGTAGGTCACCAGTGATGATGGACAGTGTAAACACGTCTTTAACCAGGGATGTATGTAAGTCACCAGCGATGATGGACAGTGTAAACACGCCTTTAACCAAGGATGTATGTAGGTCACCAATGGTTATTGTCTGTGTAAACACGTCTTTAACCAATGATGTATGTAGGTCGCCAATGATTATGGACACTGTAAACACGTCTTTAACCAGGAATATATGTAGGTCATCAGTGATGATGGACAGTGTAAACACGTCTTTAATCATGGATGTATGTAGGAGACTAATGATGATGGCCAGTGTAAACACGTCTTTAACCAGGGATGTATGTAAGTCACCAGCGATGATGGAAAGTGTAAACACGCCTTTAACCAAGGATGTATGTAGGTCACCAATGATGATGGACAGTGTAAACACGTCTTTGTAAACACGTCTTTAACCAGGAATATATGTAGGTCACCAGTGATGATGGACAGTGTAAACACGTCTTTAACCAGAGATGTATGTAGGTGATCAATGATTATGAACTGTGTAAACAAGTCTTTAACCAAGGAAGTATATAGGTCACCAATGATCATGGACAGTGTAAACAAGTCTTTAACCAGGGATGTATGTAGGTGACCAATGATTATGCACAGGGTAAACAAGTCTTTAACCAGGGATGTATGTAGGTCACCAATGATTATGAACAGTGTAAACAAGTCTTTAACCAGAATGATTATGAACTGTGTAAACAAGTCTTTAACCAAGGAAGTATATAGGTTACCAATGATCATGGACAGTGTAAACAAGTCTTTAACCAGGGATGTATGTAGGTGACCAATGATTATGGACAGTGTAAACACGTCTTAGTGTAAACACGTCTTTAACCAGAGATGTATGTAGGTGATCAATGATTATGAACTGTGTAAACAAGTCTTTAACCAAGGAAGTATATAGGGCACCAATGATCATGGACAGTGTAAACAGGTCTTTAACCAGGGATGTATGTAGGTGACCAATGATTATGCCCAGGGTAAACAAGTCTTTAACCAGGGATGTATGTAGGTCATCAATGACTATGGACAGTGTAAAAACGTCTTTAACCAGGGATGTAGGTAGGTCACCAATGATTATGGACAGTGTAATCATGTCTTTAACCAGGGATATATGTAGGTCACCAATGATTATGGACAGTGTAAACACGTCTTTAACCAGGGATGTATGTAGGTCACTACTGATTCTGGACAGGGTAAACACGTCTTTAACCAAGGATGTATGTAAGTCACCAATGATTATGGACAGTGTAAACATGTCTTTAACCAGGGATATATGTAGGTCACCAATGATTATGGACAGTGTCAACACGTCTTTAACCACGGATGTATGTAGGTTACCAGTGATTATGAACTGTGTAATCAAGTCTTTAAATAATGATGTATGTAGGTCACCAATGATTATGGACAGTGTAAACACGCCTTTAACCAAGGATGTATGTAGGTCACCAATGATTATGGACTGTGTAAACACGTCTTTAACCAATGATGTATGTAGGTCACCAATGATTATGGACAGTGTAGACACGTCTTTAAACAGGGATATATGTAGGTCATCAATGATTATGGACAGGGTAAACAGGTCTTTTACCAGGGATGTATGTAGGTGACTAATGATTATGGACAGTGTAAACACGTCTTTAACAAGGGATTATGTAGGTCACCAATGATTCTGAACAGGGTAAACACGTCTTTAACCAGGGATGTATGTAAGTCACCAATGATGATGGACAGTGTAAACACGTCTTTAACCAGGGATGTATGGAGGTCACCAATGATTATGGACAGTGTAATCAAGTCTTTAACCAAGGATGGATGTAGGTCACCAATGATCATGGACAGTTGTAAACACGCCTTTAACCAGGGAATTATGAAGGTCACCAATGATTATGGACTGTGTAAACAAGTCTTTAACCAGGGATGTATGTAGGTCACCAATGATTATGGACAGTGTAAACACGTCTTTAAACGGGGATATATTTAGGTCATCACTGATTATGGACAGGGTAAACACGTCTTTAAACAGGGATGTATGTAGGTCATCGATGACTATGGACAGTGTAAACACGTCTTTAACCAGGGATTTATGTAGGTCACCAATGATTATGTACAGTGTAAACACGTCTTTAACCAAGGATATATGTAGGTCACCAATGATTATGGACAGTGTAAACACGTCTTTAACCAAGGATATATGTAGGTCACCAATGATTATGGACAGTGTAAACACGTCTTTAACCAGAGATGTATGTAGGTCACCAATGATTATGAACAGTGTAATCAAGTCTTTAAAGAATGATGTATGTAGGTCACCAATGATTATGGACAGTGTAAACTCGCCTTTAACCAAGGATGTATGTAGGTCACCAATGGTTATGGACAGTGTAAACACGTCTTTAACTAATGATTATGTAGGTCACCAATGATTATGGACAGTGTAAACACGTCTTTAACCAGGAATATATGTAGGTCATCAATGATTATGGACAGGGTAAACACGTCTTTTACCAGGGATGTATGTAGGTCATCAATGACTATGGACAGTGTAAAAACATCTTTAACAAGGGATGTATGTAGGTCACCAATGATTATGGACAGTGTAAACACGTCTTTACCCAGGGATGTGTGTAGGTCACCAATGATTATGTACAGTGTAAACACGACTTTAACCAGGGATGTATGTAGGTCTTTAATGATTCTGGATAGGGTAAACACGTCATTAACCAAGGATGTATGTAGGTCACCAATGATTATGGACAGGGTAAACACGTCTTTAACCAGGGATGTATGTAGGTCACCAATGATTATGTACAGTGTAAACACGTCTTTAACCAGGGATGTATGTAGGTCTCCAATGATTCTGGATAGGGTAAACACGTCATTAACCAAGGATGTATGTAGGTCACCAATGATTATGGACAGGGTAAACAAGTCTTTAACCAGGGATGTATGTAGGTCACCAATCATCATGGACAGTGTAAACAAGTCTTTAACCAGGGATGTATGTAGGTCACCAATGATTATGGACAGTGTAAACATGTCTTTAACCAGGGATGTATGTAGGTCACCAATGATCATGGACAGTGTAAACAAGTCTTTAACCAGGGATGTATGTAGGTGACCAATGATTATGGACAGGGTAAACACGTCTTTAACCAGGAATGTATGTAGGTCACCAATGATTATGGACTGTGTAAACAAGTCTTTAACCAAGGATGTATGTAGGTCACCAATGATTATGAACAGTGTAAACAAGTCTTTAACCAGGGATGTATGTAGGTCACCAATGATTATGGACAGGATAAACAAGTCTTTAACCAGGGATGTATGTAGGTCACCAATGATTATGGACTGTGTAAACAAGTCTTTAACCAAGGATGTATGTAATGATGATGGACAGTGTAAACACGTCTTTAACCAGGGATGTATGTAGGTCACCAGTGATGATGGACAGTATAAACATGTCTTTAACCAGGAATATATGTAGGTCACCAATGATCATGGACAGTGTAAACACGTCTTTAACCAGGGATGTATGTAGGTCACCAATGATTATGGACAGTGTAATCAAGTATTTAACCAATGATGTATGTAGGTCACCAATGATTATGGACAGTGTAATCAAGTATTTAACCAATGATGTATGTGGGTCACCAATGATTATGGACAGTGTAAAGACGCCTTTAACCAGGGATGTATGTAGGTCACCAATGATTATTAAACATGTCTTTAACCAGGGATGTATGTAGGTCATCAATGACTATGGACAGTGTAAACACGTCTTTGACCAGGGATGTATGTAGGTCACTAGTGATTATGGACAGGTTAAACAAGTCTTTAACCAGGGATGTATGTAGGTCCCCAATAATTAAGGACAGTGTAAACACGCCTTTAACCAGGTATGTATGTAGGTCACCAATGATTATGGACTGTGTAAACACGTCTTTAACAGGGATGTATGTAGGTCACCAATGATTATGGACAGTGTAAACATGTCTTTTACCAGGGGTATATGTAGGTCACCAATGATTATGGACAGTGTAAACACGTCTTTAACCAAGGATGTATGTAGGTCCCCAATAATTAAGGACAGTGTAAACACGCCTTTAACCAGGGATGTATGTAGGTCACCAATGATTATGGCCTGTGTAAACACGTCTTTAACCAGGGATGGATGTAGGTCACCAATGATTATGGACAGTGTAAACTCGCCTTTAACCAAGGATGTATGTAGGTCACCAATGGTTATGGACAGTGTAAACACGTCTTTAAATGATTATGGACAGTGTAAACACGTCTTTTACCAGGGTTGTATGTAGGTCACCAATGATTATGGACAGTGTAAACTCGCCTTTAACTAGGGATGTATGTAGGTCAACAATGATTATGGACTGTGTAAACACGTCTTTAACGGGGATGTATGTAGGTCACCAATGATTATGGACAGTGTAAACACGTCTTTAACCAAGGATGTTTGTAGGTCACCAATGATTATGGACAGTGTAAACACGCCTTTAACTAGGGATGTATGTAGGTCACCAATGATTATGGACTGTGTAAACACGTCTTTTACAGGGATGTATGTAGGTCACCAATGATTATGGACAGTGTAAACACTTCTTTAACCAGGGAGGTATGTAGGTCACCAATGATTATGTACAGTGTAAACACGTCTTTAACCAAGGATGTATGAAGGTCACCAATGATTATGGACTGTGTAAACAAGTCTTTAAACAAGGATGTTTACCAATGATTATGGACTGTGTAAACACGTCTTTTACAGGGATGTATGTAGGTCACCAATGATTATGGACTGTGTAAATAAGTCTTTAAACAAGGATGTTTGTAGGTCACCAATGATTATGGAAAGTGTAAACACGTCTTTAACCAGGGTTGTATGTAGGTCACCAATGATCATGGACAGGGTAAACAAGTCTTTAACCAGGGATGTATGTAGGTCTTCAATGATTATGGACAGTGTAAACAATTATGGACAGTGTAAACACGTCTTTAACCAGGGATGGATGTAGGTCACCAATGATTATGTACAGTGTAAACACGTCTTTAACCAGGGATGTATGTAGGTCACCAATGATTATGGACTGTGTAAACATGTCTTTAACAGGGATGTATGTAGGTCACCAATGATTATGGACAGTGTAAACATGTCTTTAACCAGGGATATATGTAGGTCACCAATGATTATGGACAGTGTAAACATGTCTTTAACCAGGGATGTATGTAGGTCACCAATGATTATGGACAGTGTAAACACGTCTTTAACCAAGGATGTATGTAGGTCACCAATGATTATGGACTGTGTAAACAAGTCTTTAAACAAGGATGTTTGTAGGTCACCAATGATTATGGACAGTGTAAACACGTCTTTAACCAGGGTTGTATGTAGGTCACCAATGATTATGGACAGGGTAAACAAGTCTTTAACCAGGGATGTATGTAGGTCTTCAATGATTATGGACAGTGTAAACACGTCTTTAACCAAGGATGTATGTATATCCCCAATGATTAAGGACAGTGTAAACACGTCTTTAACCAGGGATGTATGTATTTTCTTTATTACCCATCATTTCAACTTCACTTGCTTGTTGCATAAAATAGTAATTTCAAATCACTGCTTTTGAAAACATGCATATATTGCATATATCAATCACTCCATATGATGCATATATATCATATGAATCATCCCAATGGCCCAGATGTCAGCATGCGAGTGTTTAAATGTGGGAGGAAATCTGAGTTCCTGGATTACTCCCACATATGGGTCACCTATCCGGGCACGTGGGTTTTCTCCGGGTACTCCGGTTTCCTCCCACATCAAGTCACATACGTTACACTATTAAAACAATCAATATAATGATCATCACAGTATTTTGATTGATATCAACTATTCTGAATATATTGGAGACTAATCAATCCCAAAATAATCCAAAGCAATATAATCAATATAGGAGAATCTAGGCTATGTTTATTTAAACTATAGTTGCACAGAACAGAACGTTTGTTTACATATTCATGTGCATTTGTTTTTGTTTATTTAGTGTGCTTAAAATTTTATCGGGGTTATATATCGTGATTTCATTTGTCAACATCTTCATCACGATGTCTGACTTATCAGTAACAACTGGTGTATGTACAATTATCTGCGGTAGGAATGCGGTCCACTACCTTAGACTAGTCCACAATAAAATGGTATTGTGAAATTAAAGCCAGCAACGTTCTCATCAGCGAATCAACGTTATTGAGACATTTTTGTTGAGTTTTGCTACTGCTTTGATAGACAAAAATAAGATTTTACTACATGGTGTCAAGACATTTTCCTTCTGCTGTGCTTGACACCACGTGGATTACGCAGTACCGTAAGAATCTGTGAACCCGGTGTGGTTTAATTGGTGGGATAAATGGTATATACAATATTGTAAACACACTAAACAGGGTATTTTATTACAGTTTAATGCCGTTGTGTTACCTGTCCATGTTACAGCTTATCTACGCCCGGTATGTTTACATTCATGGTCGCTGTCAGGGTAGGTTACCGGAAGTGTAGGCCGTATGCGTTATCAATTTCTAAGGCGGTGAAACGTCCATACATGGACTAGCATATCTGGCGGTAGGTGGCCATTTCTTAGTTTGCGTTTTATTTGTGTTTATGACTCCGTCTAAATAGAAAGATAATTGATAACATTTTGTTAACATTAATGTCGATTTGTCATATACAGAGTACGTTGTCTTTCATGCAGAATATCATTCAATCTGACCAACGATGTTGCTATTTATTTACATTCCTTATGGTTGCTTTTACCAATTTTTTGTAGTATATTTCAATGTATTTTAGTTTAACATGTAGGTAGTATAATAAGTATTACACAGCTCTTTTAATATTATTGACCAAGTCTATAGAATATACTGGCCTGTTCAAAATGTCTATAAAACCCGTCTTTATTGCTAATATGTATGCTAAAGTATGCGCTTGTACTAACAGTTGGGGTATTGCATAACTATAAGTAGTTTGTGTAACGGGACAACTTGTCCATAGCGTTGTATATCATGCACATTTTACCTTGCTCCTTATCAAATTTAAAAACCTGCAAACGTTAATCCATCGGGTCAACACGCCGTCCCGGTATGTTTGCTCATTTTGATAACCTCTCAATCTTGTCACTCGTTATAGCGACAGGTCAGAGTTCATTATCAATATCCTATGGTGTCTGGTTTATGGCGTTCTCTTTGCGCAACAACGAAATTATTCAAACCAGCCACCGCACAGCTATCTGCCGTAGATGTTCGATAATCCCTTTGAAGTTTAAATAAAAGATGGCATGTAAAGAAAACTGAACAGAACAATGCTGCAGGATTTTTATCAATAGCGACCTATTAACCTACAGGGTAGATTATTACTTTTATAATCCCTTCACGATAAGACTTTACTGCTGAATTCTTTATATCGTGTTCTGCTATGTTTTATTCTTGCTTTACTCACGAAAAATTAGGACGGTCTTCTTCCGGTACAACCTAGCTGATAAGCGCTACACTTAGTATTGACAAAACCTATTAGGTGTTTATCTAAGTAAATAGGATAGATAGTAAATGTACACACATCATTCGTAATCCTCTCTCATCCTGCCGTGTCAGTGCCTGAGCAAGCTAAGCTGCTGCACGCTATCAAACGGACAGTTTGTAAATAGCTCTACAAAACAACATGAACTTTTTACTGACCACACTAATTGTTTACCCTAGACGTTTAAATCAAGGCTGACGATAAATAGAGAGATTCCTCCTCTTTCACTATTGACAAAGTAATTAGTTGGTTTGCTGGGGAATCAGGGAGGTGGTGAGAGTGTGTGACAAAGTAATTATTTGGTTTGCTGGGGAATCGGGGAGGTGGTGCGTGTGTGTGACAAAGTAATTTGTTGGTTTGCTGGGGGATCAGGGAGGTGGTGCGTGAGTGTGACAAAGTAATTAGTTGGTTTGCTGGGGAATCAGGGAGGTGGTGTGTGTGTGTGAGTGGGTGTGTTCTACATGTACGAATCAATGCGATAATAAGGCCACCAGAAATATTTAGTTTATCAGCACAAACAATTAGTTGGTCGAAGTAAAAAAATAGGTAAAAATTACAGCAAAACCAGCATAAGGACTCATCAGTCGTGTTATAGATCAACATAATAAAAACCAACGTATATATTGTTCAGATACATACGTAATAATCCCGAAAACATGCTGCTTACAAACCCTTTCATAACGTTAAAAAATCACAATTTTGGCTTCACCTAACTTTGTGTATTTTATAAGGTGTTGCTATTGGTATGACGCTTATGCCTATCATGACCTCTTTGTATTTTGTCACCATTTCTCACCCAAATGTGATTTATTTAACAGGATAAAATCAGTTTATCAATTTTTAATGATGAAATACATATTACGAAGGAATACAATTTTGTTACCCTTACATGTATCATGTCCAGGCCTCGCACTCGGGAACACTTGTGTGTTGATCTGAGGGTTTAAATCAAATTCTTAGAGTAAAATGTATAGCATACAGTAAAAAGGGATAGCAACCTGTTCAAGCGGCATATAAAGGAAGCCATCTTGAAACCCCGCAGCGAGCCAGTTTGATTCGAGATGAGGGGGTTCATAGATTCGCGAACATCAATGACCATGTATTAAACAAAGTGTAGCCGAATTGATTCGATGATTTGATCGTCAATTTCGCACATTTATATCAACTTAGTGTACATACGCTTAAAGCGTAGCAGAATCGACAGTTTATTGTCTACTCATACATTTGTTATATTTCAGTGTGCATGTGCTTTACTGTTCATTTTCTATGATGAAGGTAATAGAGTTCATATCGTACTTGTCACTGAAACGTCAAACAAAAATGCTTGACTGGTTGTGCTATATGAACATGTATACAATTAACATTATAAGAAAAAGTAACTCAAAATATCAGAAAATGACAGCTAAGGTTCGTATAAATGTGTATTAGGTACAATAATATATATACGGATCGTGGGGTTGAGTTTTGTTGTCTCCCCATGTGAAGAAATAACAGGCAGCTTTATCGTTACAGTCTGGTGATTTTAACTTCATTTAAAAAATCTTTAACCACTGATACATCTCCGCAATCTTAAACTTCTGGAAAATTGTAGGTCTGTTCCAACAGATGTAATTACAAGCCATACTAACTTTAAATTCACTGTGCTATTTATGATTTGTAATTACGATGAGTATGACGATATTGTTACGTTTAACCTTTAACCATTCCAGACGGATGTACAAGACGATGAAGTCCCTTAGCGTGCTGATCGTCATATCGGTATTGGCTATGGTAGTGGTGGTAAGCTATGTATATGTACAGTACTCAGGCCCAGTGTCCAATCAGACTAAACCCACCAAACAACAGGAGACAGATACGTGGAAGGAAATTCAGAGGCAGCAATTACAAATAGAACAGCTCAATCAGAAAATAAATCGCCTGCACTCAAAACTAAATAAACAACGAGCTCAGCCAATACCGAAACAGAAGCAGAGTCAGCCGAGTGCCTTAGAAGAGAAACAACGCCAACTGTTCGATTCCTATAATAATATACCCGTAAAAGTATATGCTAACAACTATAGAGACAAAACCTGGACCAGGGTCCCTGAGTTGTGTCAGAACTTAGCAGGTTTTCAATCCACCAAACTCCACACATTGTCCGGCGTGTTGGACATATATATTCACGACCCAAAGAAGGACATATGGGTGAGTGGTGCACTAGCCAACGGACAGATATGGGAGTCAGGATTAGTTAACTTAATTTTAACAACATTAAAGAAAGAGAAAGATGCAGCTTTTCTGGACATTGGCGCAAATCTCGGAGTGTATTCATTGTTTGCTGCTAAACAAGGGGTCAATGTTATATCTATAGAACCCTTAATGGTCAACGTCCAGCGGATGTGTACTTCTATTCGCGCTGGTCATCTCTCGGACAAAATGACCATTGTCCGTGGCGCCTTGTCTGATATGTCCGAGAATGTCACGCTCGGTATCGACGCTAATAACGTGGGAGGATCGTTTGTCATCCAGAATCAAAATGAAAATAAAGTCAAGGCAAGTCATGTGGAAGGACAACACTCAGATGTTGTCATGTCAGCTACACTAGATGACCTCTTAAATCTTCCCGATTTTAATTTTTCACGAGTGGTTATAAAAATGGACGTTGAGGGATATGAACATAAAGTGGTGCGAGGAGGGGTCGAATTCTTTGACAAAGTCGCTGTACCAACCATTCTCATGGAATGGGAGTTTCATAAAGGTGCTGAGAGTGGAACGGAAATAATAAAATTCTTCGGATCTAGAAACTATATTGCATATGACCCGATGGAAAATACATTTTTGGATTCGAAATTGTCAAGGTCATGGCCACATGAAATAGTTTGGAGGAAGAAAGTATAACTCAATGCATATTGCAATACCGCGAAATGCGGATAATTATGAAAGTTCTTATTTTATATCTTAATAAATTTATTAAATGATTAAATGCAGAATTACCGCCCCTTTATTTGGTCCCTATGTTACACTAGTTTTTTTCTTCTTCGAATAATGGTTTATTCCATATAATGTAGTTCCCGTGGTTAAGTAAAGTCACCTTTCTACATTTAGCTTTCATTAGCTTCCGCAGTCATCATTTTAAAACATATATTATGACTCACTGGAGAATATTTAATCGCTTCGCTTGTAAAAGTAATTGTTGTTCTCTCCACTTTGTTTATTATTTGTCATAAACAGCTGATTTTGTTTGCCTCTGATATTTGCTTCATCAATCCTTCTTTCACTTTAAAATGATAAACGCAGAAAAATAACATAATCTGTATAACAAATGTGATCGTTTTGTCTAACACGACAATAGTCATATCTTGTTGCATTGACATTAGTCTACCTAAATTACAATGAGAACAACTAGCACATCTGTTGTTAATTCAGGCAAATTTCTACAAGACTATAGGAGGTATTTGCCTGATGATTTCATTCATGAATACTTCTATATATTGGCCTTCATCTAGTTAAAAACAATAATGATTACTTGACTAACTCCATGACGACGACTTTACATTCACCTCTATTAAGTTTACTTTTCTCATAATTTAGATTCCGGTCCAGAGTTTATTCGTCATACTTGATTCAAGAAGTTCTTAGGTAGAGTGTTTATCAGAGAGTCTATTATCTCTGTTAATAAAATTTTAACGTGTTTATGCCCTGATTTTCACCCTTGATATCCTATTGTCTACCATTATAAAACATTTCCTCATTATTTCTTTTAACTGCGGTCACCTAAATTACTGCCTTTATTGCAATTGGTGACCTACAGCGCAAAAAAACGTACCCTGCAACAGCACTAAGAATCAAATCCGAGTTTTAACTGAAGTTTTGAGGCCACCTCCGAGTTATAGTGAGGATAAATAACGTCATCTATTAGTTTAAGTACGGGTTAATGCCGTCACTTCTGAGATTCAGTCGGGTTAATGACGTCAACTCTGAGTTGAGTGAGTTTTCAATGTGATCCCTTTGTTCGGTGTTTCCTTAACCTTCTGGTACTGTCCTTTTATAAGAATTTGAGTTAAGATTGCGCCTTTATAAACTGGTGTTCCGCATTTGATATAAATTATAATGTGTTTTTATTTTATAAAATACGGGTCAATACACAGCTGCTGACAGTTCGATAAGTTTAACGACAATTGATTGGAAAAGTTTGTATCTAGTGTTTTGATTAGGTTTAGATTTAGTATTGTGTAATTTCCTATCAACAGCTATGGTCTCTTTATTTTATCAACCTTACCATTCCAAAGAAATTCATAAAAGATACAATTGAGTTTATGAGGAATTTGTTCACTTGGATTTGGTAAAGAAATAAACAAATGATTAAATTGGGATACCATTAATGATTTTATGACATGTATTTTACCAATAGGTGTAAAAGATCTTCTTTTCCATGAATTAATAATAGATTTAAGCTTAAAAAGTTTTTTATCAAGTCTATCATAAGTAACATCCCAGGTATATTTTTTTTCTTCAGTATAATGCATTATGTCATAAATAAGCCTAGTATTTTCACCTATATATCTTCCTGACAAAAATCAAGTCTGATCTGAGTTGGTAAGTTTTTGCAATACTGTTTTTACCCTACGTGCTATTGTTCCTGAAGCTATTTTATAAACTATATTCAAAAGTGAAAAAAGGACGTCAGTTTTTGATGAAGTGTCTAGGTTTATTATCTTTTGGAATGCAAGTAATGATACCCTGTCTTTGAACAATGGAAAGTTGACCTATTTCATAACCAAAATTTATAGATCTAACTACAAAATCATTTAAAAAAATCAGTAGTGAAACCATCAGACCCTGGGCTTTTAATCTAACTTCTTCGATAATTTCTCTCTGATTTGTAACAATCTCTCCATTTTCTTTTTCCAGTTTCTGAATAATCTTAGAAGTGAAATTTCTATTCTCCAAGTTAAAAAACATATTTGGTAGGCTTTTCCCCTTCTTCTACCCATATTACTCTTGATATTATAATACTACCCTTAATCTTGTGTAGCCTGATATTTTTTAACTCAGTTTTTTTCATTTAGTTCCTCAACATCTGCATTATTCCCATCTTCCAAATCTTGTATTAAATCTTTAAGTTCTTTTTCTCTTGACTTTTATTGTTCTTTCTTATACGAGGTATAAGCAATAGTTTCCCCTTTTATTTCTATTAGAAGAGTATCTAAAAAAAGGTGATCAGCAATTGTAAACTGAATTAATTCATTTGGAATTTCCGATAAACTATTAACGTTATATATGGGTAGAGAATACTGCAATTAAACTGTAGTAATTGTTTTATTGATAAAATCAGGAAAGTCTAAATCAGATATTAAAGAGTTATTAAACTCCACAGACCCTTTCCCTTCTTCAATGTATTAAACTTTGTAGAAATGTTTGGAGAAGAATGATCCGATCTGTATCCAGCATCTATACCTGCATTGATAACACCACCCAATAAACACTCTTAAACTAGAAAAAAAAATCTAAACGTGCTTGCTTCAATGGATTAGTCTTCCTCCAAGTAAATATTCTTGTATCAGTGTGATGTTCTCTATAAATATCTACTAAACTAAATGTATCTATAATTTCCCTTTGGATTATTAACTTGTCTTCAGTTTTGATCGTAATCAAGCTCTGGGTTTAAAACCAGATTAAAATCTGCATAGTTTCTGAAATCATTTAACAAAAACTCGGGAGCATCTGTGTTAGGGCCATATGTTACAATAAGTGTTAGTCGTGAGCCCTCTATTTCTAAATCTAGTCTCAAAAAATTGTCTGAGGAATCTTTTTTGTCTTTATAAACTTTAAATTCAAAATTGTTGTAACACAGCACTGCAACTCCCCTCGAGTTCGACTTATATGAGTTAAAATAGCAGCTTAAACCCCACTCATTTCTTACTATTTCTTCATTCTCTACCTTAAAAAGGGTGTCTTGAAGACAATAAAGATTATATGATTAACCCCGTTAGTACGAAAACACATCCTTTCTTTTAACATTATTACCTAACCCTTGACAGTTAACGAAAAAAATGTAATGCAGTCAGCCATATTTGTCACACGAATACTTCAAAGGAATAGTGCCGCAACGCAAAGGACAGTATAGAGAATAAAGAGAGAGAATGAAGAGGAAAAGGAGTTAAGATAAATCATCTGTGGTCAACTGATATAGACTACTGCTAATTCATGCATACTTTTTATTACACCATGCACTCGAAGGGAAGCTAAGTGTATAACCGGAAGTAGATCGCTAGTATGCAAAACATACATAAATATTTCCGGATTTGTAAAAAAAGAAACAACCTTTTCTTCCAAGTTATACTAAATAAATAATAAATCATAATATAAACATAGGATATCGAAAGTAGCATCAGTAATAAAATAGCCACACAGCACATGAAATTAATTATTAATTATTAATTATTAAATATAATAATACAAAGGTATTATAGAACCATCATCAAATGTTACATCAAGTGTAGTATCAAAACATGTTCGTTCATTCGATTTTACACCGCTTATTACGAGAAAGATAATTACGCTAAAACTTGAGAGAAAAGAGAAAACAATCGAATAAAACTATATACTTCCAAACTCATATATATAAACACATATAAATACTTATCATTAAATAATAACTCTATACTGTCCTTCAATAAGAAGAGACGTCAATAAAAAGCGCTGATGTGATCAGCATTTATACACGTATAGTAATTCTCAATATATTACAATCGCTGTATACATGTATCACGAACTGATGTATATTAATCGCATCTGACATTTAAAAATACTTAACAAATACAATACGTACTCCAATTGATACATTTAGTATAGTCACATATTCATTGCATATTGTATATTATGTTTTAGACATACGTACTGTAATAAAGAACTATAGCCGGACGAAAAAGGAAGCATCTCAAAATGAGAAATGCGTAATAAAACAATCATCGCTACTGTTTTGCCTGGCGTAAAAAGGGGCCATCTCAAAATGAGAAATCAGAAACATTTTGAGGACAACAACAAAATACATTCACTGTGTATCAATCACTTATTTAGTAATAAATACTATATTTACTTCAATTCAAGTAGTAATTACACAATGACCTTGTATATATTGTAGTAATGTAAATGTTTTATACATAGTACTGCAGTACCAGATAATAAACTTAGATGAGTTATAAAGCGGACGTAACAAGGGGACATCTCAAAATAAAAAAGGCGTAATCTGACGTAAATAATGGGCCATCTCAAAATGAGAAATCAGAAACATTCTGCGCGGGAAAAAAATGGGGTGAAACTATATTGTTACGAATTCATATATGCAAACATATATACTTATCTGTCTTATAATAAATAGTCATAACAATAAACACTTCACTCTATCATTCAATGCTTTATATCTGTTCTAACAAAATACGCTGATTTGATCAGCATTTGTAGTTATGCTCAATAAATATATTACAATCGCTGTATATGAAGAACTGATCGTATATTAATTGCATCTGATAAACACTTATAAGTACAATATTAGCTCGAATTGAACTCATGTAGTAATTACACAATTACATTGTATATTGTAGTACTATAAATGATAAACTTGGTGAGTTGCATAAGTATATAGGACAGCAGACATTCTTACAGATTAAAATGTATACTTTATATGGGCTTACCTGTAGCTACGTTTTTATACAATCCATGCACACATCCTCACTATGACGAAAATCACTAAATGACACACAACACTATTTACACACCGATCGGTATAGGCAAAAGACCGTGCCCAAAGCCCTGCACCGATCTTCACAATCAAAGTTCAATATCGTGAAAAGTTGGCGTCCTCCAGCAAATAGTTCTCCTCTAGTGGGGTGTCAAAACAAAGTTGTCTATTTTTGCCGTTCTGCAGCACTACGAAAAGTTTGCCATCCCAGTTCAACCTAAACGCGTCCCGCAGTCTCTGCTGGTTGAATTTTGTCATGTCCTCGAATAATTGATAATTTCCTGCTTCTTCCTTCTGTGTGTAAATTAAAAAAAACAACAACGTTTGTAGGTTTGTCCCTGGAGAATCGCCCTAGCCTGTGTGCAATGTCAATGACCTCACTACGGAGGGACGCCATACGTTTCTCGTTCACACATTTCACTGCATGTCCCACACATTCCTCCACCGTCTCCTTGTCCGAGGGATCGCTCAGTCCGGATATCCGAATAAATTTTTACGTCCGTGCTGTTCTATGTCAATATATTTGGACTCCAGGTCTATCTGACCAAATTCCATCTCATCTCCTTTTGTCTCTAGATTTTCTATTGTTTTTCTCAATTGGTCGTTCTCCGTTTCCAGCTCAAATATTCTTCCCTCAGGTTTCTCCAGAAGCTCTCTATTGTCCGCCGTGATGTCATCCGTTAGCTTGGCTATCTATTCGTCCGTATGTATTTTACCAGCGTTTCTGTTTATTAATGTAATTAATGCAATGGATTATCTTAGTATTTAATTCAATCCATGTGTGTTTTTATTTCTATTTTGTTTTTTGTTTTTGTTTTACAATATATCAATTACCTCTTCAGGTAAAAATGATTGTGTTTAGCGTTGTTAAGGAGACGGTCTATAACACTTTGTTAAGATTTAGTTGGTATTGCAGTCTTTGTTATATTTCTGAACCTGTCCGTGATATATTTATGATTTCTGAGTAATCTGTACACATCGTTTTTCAAAGAGATTTGTAAACCTGATTTGTTAACAAAATTTAATCTGTTAATAAATTGGAACTTGTATAAACACTGTGTAGAAATGCTTAGTAAAATATTTGGTTTGATTATCTCGCATGAACAACTATTTCCATTAAAAGCATACGATTATTCCGGGATTGGCTATATCAGCAATGTCGTTTGAACTCAAGCTAAAAGTAAGTATAATCAATATGAATCTTTATAAAATTAACTTAACAATAAGAAGGGATGGCGACTAGGTTGTGATTCATGCGAGGTGCTAACTGCTGAAATATTGTGACCTGTAAACGAGACAAATGTCTGCTAATATATTCTGTTTTCCTGGTATGTGCTGAGCTTTAAGCAGAATGTTTAATTGCGATGCCTTTGCTACTAATCTGCGGAAAAGTTTCATGATAGTTGGTTGTCAACTACAGCTGAATAGTCGGTGTGAAACAACACGCAGGAATTTGCCAGAGACTGGTTTATATATAACGGGGCTTTATCTGACTTTAGATATAAGGGGGTCAGATCAGACTAAATATAACTGGGTCAGATCTGACTTTACATATAACGGGGCCATATTTGACTTTATATATAACGGGCCAGATATGACTTTATATATAACGGGGCCAGATATGACTTTATATATAACGGGGCCAAATATGACTTTATATATAACGGGATCAGATATGACTTTATATATAACGGGGCC